TCTCGCGTATTGCATGTTCAATTTAATTTAAAATCAAAACACGCGATCGAGTTTTTCAAAATTTTGCGGTAAACATGTTTCTGCTGCAGGTTGTAGTCAATTCAAAATTAGTTACGAATTCTCTTTAGTCATGAATGAATTTGCACATGCTTTATCACGCTTGCACAAAAATCTAATGTTTGTAAATGAAGAAAAAGTTATTTGGATATGGAATCTAGGAAAATTGGTATATGTCTAGGAAAATGGGACGCTAAAAAAAACGTCTCGAAATGTAATTAATAATATTTTTTTCGCATTTTCGTCCAACTATGTGTATAAACGGAAATTGAATAAAAATAGTTTTTTTTATTTTTACTTTTCTTTCGTTACGTTATTATTTACTATTGACAAACGCGCTTCTCGATTACTCTATGGAAGGAGAACCTTTGGGATATAGATCTGCATGTTTTTAACCTGTTTCAGATATACGTGTGCACGCGGGCATATTTAATTTTACGCGCACGTATAGCTTTTGAGACAATCGATAGATTTCACTATTCATTGAATGCCAAATGGTAAACAAGTCGTTTGTTGGGAAAAAAAGTGGGCCCCGATTGTGTTGCGTCCGACTCTTCAACTCTAGTACTTTTTTATTCAGGAATACTAATGGCTTTTACATCTCAATACCCCGGCGCGCGCGCAGCGACGTTGTTGATTTTTTTTATTACGCTTTTTTTTTGCAACACACAAAAGTTATGCCGAAGTAAATATGAAAAGAATACATTTTCATTGATAAAATCTATAAAATCCCGTTTTTTTTTCACTCGCGTTCGCAGATTTATTGGACAATAGCGCACGTTTTTTTTTTTACGGCCTCTCATAAGACTCGGGGGTACCATTTGTACGCAAATCACACAGTCGAATGAAAAGGAGCGGAGAGAGGGGGGGGGAGGGATGGGCGGAGGTACATGGGGGAGAAGAGGGCGCGGACAAAAATTATATGCATAATAATATGCAACGTTGCGTATCGCGACGTGAAGAAACTTCGTTACGGCGTAACGTCTGCCGTAACGCATAAGAGAGCGCGTTATCGCATCGCGTCGCCCCGAGCGGCATGAGCCGTGACTTGCAAAAATGAAAAAAAAATAGAAAGGAGGCGAGGAGCCAGCGAAAACACGGCGACATAGTTTGAATTTTTTTTTCACATGCACCTAAACGCATAATTGCACCCGTGTTAATTTCTTTTCTCTCTCTCTCTCTCTCTCTTTCTCTCCTTTATTTACGCAGGCGATTAATCGTAATTAAGTTCTTGCGCCCGTTCCCGTAATAGGAGAGTCTTGAGGACAGGGCGACAGGGGCAGCAACAGCTCGTTACAGAATCAACGAGTCATGTAATTCGTCGGCTCGAACCGCGCGCTCTCGTGTAATTGCCGCTTGCAACTGTCCGTTTTTCTCTCCGTCGCCGTCGCGGTCGCGTCGCGCCGCGCCGTCCCGTTCCAAGATCGCTTCGCACGCGGGTCGTCGTCGGCTGGATCGTTTGGATTCTCGCGGAGGGAGACCGTCCGCGACAATGCCTGCCAGTGCGTTGTCGCGCGCGACGGCGGTTGTAACCTCGTGCGACGTCGCGACGGCCGGTTGTTATCGTGCACGCACTTCGTGCGCAAAACGTGCGCCACGCGCTGTATAGAGCTACTCTGTGTCTCGATTATATACGCAGCCCGCGATGATGAATTATCGTGCGCATATCTCTTACGAAAGGCACAAGGTATATTGTGACATATGCCGTGCCGGTAAAAGCCATTACAGGCGGCATTCGCGGGGAATTAAGCCCATATACGTGATACTCTGTCGCGTGCGGCGGCGTAACAGTCGCCGCCGAACGGGAGAAAGGATTTTAATCATTGTGGATGTACATGATGATAGCGTACCGTTCCTGTCCAACGCGGTATTAACGTCAATCAGGGTGGCACATACTCGATTTTTGTGTGCGGGCTTGGTATTACGCGTGAACGCGCGCACGTATGTAGATATATATATATATATATATATATATATATAAAATATATATATGTACACGCGCGCACGCGGAATGAGTCATACGACTTTTTACGTATGCCTGCTTATCTGATATAATCTTCGTAATATATTTGCAAGCGATAATTGTCGAGTGTTTCGTTCTATAGATACAAACGGCGAGCGCGTCACAAGCGCCTCGAAGTCGGACCGATAATCACGTCTAATAACTATCTCAGCGACGGAAATAAATGTTATTCACGATCGTAAAAAAAAAAAAAAAAAATAAGAAGGAAAATTAATTCGCGCTGTACAAACATACACGCGCAATTTGCGGGGAGAAAAACACTGTTGTTTATTAGAAAAACGCAACGCGCCGCGGTGTACGTGTGTGTGTGTGTGTGTGTGTGTGTGTGCGTGTGCGTGTGTCGCGTATCGCGCACCTAAATAAAAATAGCTCGCGTGCGGAGGAGGGAGAGAACGCGAATCCGACGCTCGCAATCTCTCGTACAACACGAGCCTCCCTGTTTCCCGAACGTGAAACGTCTCGTTTATCGGTGTATATTACAGAAGCCCCGCGTTAATCTCAATCTGACAAAACATCGCGTCGTTTGGGCACAATGCGGCGACTATCTCTTCAAGAATAATGCGCGTCAGCTGATTCAGTTCAGCCGTATGAATGAACGAGCGGCTTGCCAACTGTGATAGCTCTCATCAATCACGTCTTGGTGCATCTTTGCTCCGAAAAGAGAAAGAAAGAAGAGTGAGGAGAAGCAAAGGGAGGGAGGGGGGGGGGGAATATTTATATATACCGTCTCGCGAGCTCGCTCTCGAGGGGAATAATCGAGAGGAACGATTCGAACGTGGTATCGCGAGAATTCGATTCTAGGCGCGTTACTCTTCTCTCGCACCTTTCGCGAAACGGCCGCCGACCTGGGACGCGGGAGGGCTGGGTGGGGGGGAAGGGGAGGGGAGGTTTTTATTCAATTAATTCACCGTCGCCGAGGAGAGCACGCGATCCGACCGCGACGAGCATGTCCTAGGGGGTTTCGACTCGCAGTTGGCACACGTGCGCAGGTGGAGTGCGGTTTTTGCTGGGCGGCGGTGGCGGGTGGTAGTGGTAGCAGCGGCGTGGCCGCGGCGACGGCAGCGGCGGTGGTTTTTTGCGCCAACCGCGAGGTCTCTAGTGGCTTTTTCCCTTCTTTTCTTTGGTACCCACCCGTGGCACGAGGGAGGGGGAACAGGAGCGGCGGGGACAGGGGAGAAGGGGAAGCGAGAGAGGAAGAGCGCGACATATCCCATGGCTGCATGACGAAGGGAGAGCGAGCGTATAACGCTGCCGTCGCGAAAAAAGGAAGGAGAGAGACAGAGACGAAGGGAGAGACGGAGAGAGGGCGAGAGGGAGAGAGAGCAATCGGATCGCGGTTCGCTCCTTCCAGCTGGCCTGGCACGACGAGAAGGAGGCCTTGTCGCGGCTGCTCGTTCGGTCAATGTCTTCTCTTTCTTCCTCGCTCTCTCTACCCTCTCTACTCTTTCTCTCTCTCTCTCTCTCTCGCTCTTATCCCACCGTTCCCTTCCACCGTCTCTCCTAGCGCGCTCTTTCTCTCGCTTCCTCCCGCTTCCCGCTCTCTTTCATCGCTGCCCCCACTCGGTAGCGCTCCCGTGCTGCATCGCGCACACGAGACACGGGTGCCTGCGAAATCCCTCTGTCATCTTGCGAACGAACGCCCGTCCGCGGCCAGGATAATCCCGCGCCGTGCGCGCTCGCGAAAAATCCGAGTTCGTCGCGCCCGTGACGCGTCTTGATCGTCGTCGTCCTCTCGTCGTCGTCGTCGTCGTCGTCGTCGGCGGCGGCGAGTCTCGCGCGGCGAGAAATCCCGGCACCGCGGATCACCGGTAACATTGTTCGGCCGGAGAATGAAAGAGAGCGCAGTGCGTTCGGAAATGTGCACTCGTACCGCGGTTTGAAGGCGCCGTTCCGTGGGCAAGGAGGAGGCGCAAAGGTTTTCTCTCGTTCGGGCTTTTTCCGCCGGCGGCCGCGCGCAACAGCGTGAAAGTTCCGCGATCGTACGCCGCGCGCTCTCTCTCGACTGCACGTCGTCGATGACGTTCCCGATGCCGTCGTCGCCGTCGTTCGCCTCGTCGCTGCTGCTCCTGTAGCCAGAGCCGTTACTCGCGGCGCTCCGGGCGAGTTTCGCTCGCGGTGTTTACAACGCGCGGTGTGTTACCACGACGTGTGTCGAGGGTGCCGAGTGCGCGTTGCGTTCCGCGGCCTGCGTGAGCGACAGTGCGGACCCTCGATCGCGCGACTCGGGAGCATGGCTCTCGGCGACGTCGTTGTCGTCGTCGCCACCGCCGCTGCCGCCGCCGCCACCGCCACCGCCGCCACCGTCGTCGTCGCCGCCGCCGAACGTTAGGAGCGCAGCGTCGCGCGGGCGCGAAGAATGAAACTCGACACCGCGGACGGAATACTACTAGCGACTGCGGGTGCTCCGATTGCGGCGACGCTTTGCGCTTTTCGCGAGCACAGGTGGGCGCATCTCTCGCATAGCCGTGAATTGATTTTGAACCCGATTTTAACGTTGTGATATCGTTAAATATGGTGCTGATGTTTCGGTAAAAATGACGGGTACGGACTCTGCAGTTCTTGTTGTCCTTGACGGTTTAATGACAAGAATGATAATGCAAATGAGATTTCTTGCTGAATGTGAGATTAAAACGTGTGATGGAGTAGATTTTCGCAAATGTGTTATACACAATCTCGACTGTTTTCCGCATAATGCAGACAATAAAAAAAAAGCAAATATAATACACAAATAAAATATTATATTCATGTAAACGAAGTGTATTATATGTGTGATTGTATAGGAACACATACCACACACACCATATACACACAAAACACACACACACACACACACACACACACACACACACACACACACACACACACACTTTATACACATGAGATAGTATTTTTACTTTATTATTCTTTTCTCTGTTTTCAGAGTGCAATAAAGTTAGCTGGTAAAAATAATGTCAAGAAACTGCACACGTTGCTATCGATAGTGGAGGAGAAACCAAAGGTGGACACGGGACAGAATAACAGGCACAACGAGCACCACATCAAAAACAATTTCAAGCACAACCATTACACACATAATTCCATACTGACACCCTCGACGCTAAACCAGGTAATTGAATAATCTTAGTTAAATCAATCGCGTGAGGAGTCGATCTCGCTGACATACACCAATTAGAGATGGTAACAGTGACAGTGGCGTTTTTGTAATTTGTCTTACAGGGCCTAGATGCAGGTACAAGCGACGATAGTGGTAGAGCGTCTGAACAGTTGCACGGCCCTGGTATACCTAGGGATTGCCAGGACGCAGACAGTTCTAGGGACCATCTTAGCGATGTGAGTGTTTCATATGCTACAGTTATATAACTTGGAACATTTAATACAATTTCATAACTTGGAATTTATAAGAAATATTATTTCACGATTCTTAAGTGTGAAAGATATGTATTATTGGCTATTAGCATACCATTATACTTCTTTTAGTTTCCAGTTTGCGCAATTAACATAAAAATGTATTTATCATATGTACATCTCGACATCAAGTTCTGCATTGAATGAGTAATGAAAAAGTTAGACAGTCAATTAGTACATTTATTCACGAATCTGTTTTTCTGTTTATAATACAGGCTAGCAGTCATTGCAGTTCGGGTAAAGGTTATATCGTAAGTATATTTAATCGGAATACAAACGATCGTAAAAAAAAATCGTAAATTATATTTCTATATTGCCGTGATAAATACAATATTATTAATTCATTATTTCTTTGTTTCAGTGTGATAGTGAAGGAGAAGACGATAAGGTATGCACACTTCCTGCAGATACTGTACTACCTTAAAGAAAATAATCGATCCGCTTTAATAATTCCGTCGTTTTTACGTTTTACAGGGCTCGGATGCCGAATCTATACTCTTTGAATCTTCTACCCCACCACCTCTCACACGTAAATGTAAGTAATGCTTTCAGAAACGGGGAAATGCAAATATATAATATACATCCTTTGAAATTACGTTACTTAACCTCTGTGCAACGTATTTCTCATTTTGCCTTTTTTTTTGGTCTTTAGACGAATTGCCGTCTTCTTCGCCACACATTTTACCACCCACAAACGGGGCAGGTGGATCTCCACCGGACACGGGTGGTCAAATTTCTAATCCAGCAACGAATGCTCCGGCACCTATACCACCTCCTGTGCCTGCGTCTGCACCAGTTCCAACAGCGCCGAGTCCTCCTAGCCCCACGTTGCCTCCACACATATCCCAGCCTTCTGTAAGCTGTTACTTCGCAAAAACTCACTCTTCTTTCGCAGAGAAGCGGACGACATTCATTATTAATGTATTGTATTTCAGATGACTAGTCCTTTGGCAGCGAATCCACGTGCAATAGCTCCGCAACAGCGGCCAGCTTCCCCCGCTCTGCCACCACCCTCCCTATCCCAGCAACCACACACTACGATACCTGCATTGCATCCACCCATTGGACCCCTCGTCTCGAGTCATACAACTAGTCCAGCGGTAGCCAGTTTAGGTGTTACGCCGGCAGCACCATCGAACGGAGCGGCCACCACGAGTTATCCACCGCCCATTCCCATAGCCGCATATCCGCAGACGCAACCGTCGTATCCACCGCTCTACACTCCGTACACCGCACTGAATCACAGCCCGTATCTTCCGCCCGCGGTACCATCCCCTTCTCACTCTGCTTCGTCGCGCGCTGACGTGGTAAGTCACACGCGTCGTTATTGTAACATGGTCGACATTATTCAATTATGTCACCTGACAGATCTCATTTATCTCACGTACGAAATACGGGTGTTTATAATGAGGGTAATAATTATATTTCAGAGAGGGAGCAGAGCTTCCCCCTGTACCAACATAAGTAAACAGACCATAGGAAATAACCTCGCGAGTCACAATAATACTCCACTGAGCGCTGCTACCACAACATGCGTATCCACCATAACTAATACAGTTACCACGGCAAATACTATCGCTCACAGAGACATGGTGGCCTGCAGTCTGTCCGGGCGAAACAACAACTCTCCACGTGGACACAGCCCCAGTCGGGAAAGGGATAGTTACAGGTAAACTATCTTCTTCTCCGATCGCAACATTACGATCGCGTTCGTCAGAATTAGTAGAGTAATTAACAATTCGACAATTAAGACAGAAAATTTTAATGATAATTGTAATGTTTGTTACAGCAGTAACGTGAGTAGTCTAAGTCGGGGCAGCATAACGCCTGTTAGTGTGCCAAACACCTCCTCTCCAGCCAATTCTAGTCTACCTGCTTATACCAAGCCACAAGGTTGGATTAGGTAAGCCTGAACAAGTGTAAACTTTTCAATAAAAGTATATCAAGCACAAAAAAAATAACACTTAAAAATCTTTTATTTAAAAAAAAAAAATAGCAGCAACACAGCTTCCCAGCTATCCCCAGCGACAGCTACATCTGTTCCGAGGCCAACTCCGCCGCCGGTACCACTCGGCATACATACGTTTCCACCACCGATGTTCGCAGCGCCTTTACCACCGCCAGTGTCTAGTTCAAGCCCGCATACTTCACTGCCCTCACTTCCTCCACCGACGACCAATCCCAATCCTTTCTCTGCGGAGTCTCTGTTCCAAACAAGTAAGCTTATAATCTGACTTCTCTCGATGCATTGTGCTCTGCGTGAATATGGGCAGATAATAAATGCATTAACCAAAAGAAGGGGTGACACATGTTGCAGGTCAGGCAGATCTTCTGAGGAGAGAACTTGATAATAGGTTCCTGGCGTCTCAAGACAGAAATGTTGGAGTGGGAAATTTGGGTCCACCGGCGTATCTTCGAACGGAAATGCATCATCATCAGCATCAGCACACGCATGTACATCAGCACACGACACCGTTGTTGCCAACAGCCGCAGCGTCGACGCTTTTTCCTCCTCCAATTGTAAGAAATGTATCTATTATCCAATGAGAAAATTTATATGTCTACCATAACTGATCATCTGATACTCATTGCAAACTCGTCCGAATATGTAAACTGATGTTAAACGATTGTCTGTTAATAGTTTAAGGACATCCCAAAATTGGGAGGAGTCGAATCGCAATTTTTTCGTTCAAATCTTCCTGGTTATTCTGGTTTTAACCCCGGCCTTCTTCATCCCGGAATTGGACCGCCTTCGACGCCCTTCGTGCCACCCAATCACTTGACTCCGTTTGCGCCAAAGGTTGGCATGAAATTTTTGTGCAAAGAGCCAAAGATTCTTTTTTCAGCATTTTGTACATATTTATCTAAACGGTCGCTCTTTTAATCCAGAAAAGTGGAAAGTGGAATGCGATGCACGTGCGCATTGCGTGGGAGATATATAATCATCAACAAAAGCAACAGGCTGAAGCTAAGGCGGGAAGTGTCGTTAGTACCAAAACTGAGTTATTAAGACCACCGGGCCATCTTTATCCAGGGGGACCAGCCAGTGGTCTTGGGCTCAGTGCACCATCAATGGCACCTCCGTTTCCCACTAACATGCCGTCTGCCCATCCCGCGCCAGCGCCACCGCATCCTGTCAGTTTTCTGTCTACAACGGCCTCACATTTAGGTAATAGAGGTAACAAAGATTCACATTTACTTTCACGCGCGCACGTTCATGTTTGTAAGATACATACATTGAACTGCATTATAATTATCAGCGTTTGCATCATCGTTATGATCCTTTTCTCTCGTGTTACAGGAGCAGGTATATCTCCCTTCGGAAGGTATCCCTCAACGTTCGGCGCGCCGAATCCCAATTTTCCAAATCTTTCAACATTTCCGCCGAGGGAAATGCCGCCTCTGGGTGGACTGGGCGCGGTGCACGATCCATGGCGAGGGTATGTATATGAAACATTAATCAGCTATCGAGTCAGTCTTTTTTTTCTCCTGAATATACCTTTTCACTAACACTATGTATATATTATATGTATATGATTTCAGATTGCAACGCGCTACTACTGGATTTCCACAGACTACTGTCTCGTGGGGCTTGAAGCCGGAACCTCCTGCGATAGACAGGCGTGCCGAGTTGGAGGAACGGGAGCGCGAGCGTGAACGGGAGAGGGAGCGCGAACGGGAGCGTGAACGCGCCGAACGGGAGCGCGAGCGCATCAGACGCGAAAGAGAACGGGAGAGGGAGAGAGAGGAGCAGCGCGAGAGGGAAAGGCGGGAGCGCGAGAAGGAGGAGAAGAGGAAACAGCAGGAAGCGGCCGAACGGGAGCGTGAGAGGCGGGACAAGGAGCGCCGCGAGATGGAGAGACGTGAGATGGAGCGCGAGAGACTGCTTCATCAGAATCGACAACACGTGGTCGTTTCCCGGGATCGTTCGCCGCTCAGGAACGGCTCCGCGCCCTTGGATACCGGGGAAGTGCGCGTGAAGGAAGAGCCACGCAGTAAAGACGACGAGGTTGTAATGCTTCCACGGCCGCCAGTACCCGTCTCCGGAGCGACGGGGTCCGCGCCAGGACCTGGACCAAATCCACTGCCCGACCCGAGACCATACCACCATCCGCATCCGCACGCCTATCTTACGAGGCATCCGCACACTATGCCAGCTTCGCATTCCATGCCGCGCAGCATGCTTCCCAGTTTAAGCGCACATCCGATGCAACATTTTCCACCGCCAACCGCGCCTGGCGGTCAACCGGGAGCCGCATGGGCGGGTGATCCCTTCCGGGAGATCCCTTATCGGTTCGACACGCTACAACAGTTACGATATAACCCGTTAGTGGCGGCGTTCAGAGCCGAGGAGGAGGAACGGGCGAAACTGTACGCCGGTTATCCTCCACCGCCGATAAACGCACTCAGGAGTAAGGACCCCAGTCCAGGTCCGCTCAGCAACTTGCACATGCATCATAGAGCGGGACCCGGCCCGGGGGTACCGACGCGTCCGCTCGAGAACGCCCTCATGCACGCGGATATTCACAAGAAAGAGGACGGATCGCAGTCCCGATGATACATCGCTTCGGCGTCCTCGGCTTCTGCGAGTGAACGCACCGACGGGCCGACCTTTTGAGCATCCAGTTAATGCTCGAAGCTCGGTGCTGAATATTTTGCTAACAGAGAAGAAGCGTTATTTAAAGAAAAAGAAAGTGTAAATAGATACTATATATATAATATATAAATATAATATTTATAGTTATCGAGAAAAGGAGTACGAAAACGAGTATAGAACTATGAGAAAACGTAACGAAGATGCCTTGCTAACTAATGCCGGTGTTTCCACCAATAACGGCGGCTAAATGAATAATGACGTTTTGTGAAATATTTACGGAGGGGGCATCGCTGATGTATCACAAATAATAACGCTATCGTTATGTGATTTCTGCAGTTTCAGTGATCTGACTGTCTGTAGTGGTAACGAGCTCTAATTATTACGACGATAACTATGCGTACATTTTAAAAAGTATCGTGTGTAATATTAATAGTTATTATAGAACGTGAGGCGATGGTTACATAAAAAGGAAAAAAAATGAATTCAAGATAGGAGAAAAAGTTAAGCGGATCTCTATTATTACTCAAAAATTATTTAATTATTTATTTATTGCGACGTATAAACGAACTTGAATCTCTACTACTGACGTACAAGTGCGTAAGATTTGCTCTTATTTAATTGATGTAATATACAAATGATCGAATGTAAATTTTACTTAGACTTTAATTTGTATATTAGAGACGGTAAAAAAAGAGGAGAAACTATGTCAAATGAAAAGTGTTCTTTGGCTTTCGGCGGCACGTGCTTTTTTCATTTGCATGCTGGCTAAAAGCACTCCCGTGCTTTCCTGTGATAAAAAAAAAAAGAAAAAATTAATCAAGAATAGTAAATCGTTCGTTTCGTTTCACCGAAAATTGAAGATGCAAATACAATAAAATCAAACTATCTCTGCTAAAATTATGTTTTGCAATTAGTTTGTTTTTCTATTATTTTTTCTATTTTTCTATTATTTCGGAAAACACAGGATGACGCTTAATATAACAGCAGTTTGTCCGTGCCAAAGTGCTTCAATCAAAGAATTTTTAATACTGTGTGCATGTGCATATATAACATTCGCCGTGTTCAAGTCGGACGAAGCTGCTAACCTGCCGGCCAAGCAATTGAATGTGATCGATAATGGATTTATCAATCACATTTAATTATCAGTAAAAATATCATCATGTTTATCGCTCGGCGAGCAAGCTACCTACTTTCGGCTTGAACTCGTCCATTCAAAGTCTGTTTTTTTTATATGTTCCCAATGAAAATGGCAGTTTCACAGTTTTATTCTTCTCTTTTAACCATTCTCTCAATTCTCAGCCATATACGTCGTTGTGTTACCAGAGAGCCAATTATGAGATCTCTTAAAAGTTCTGTGCCATGGACCAGGTTACGTTCGAATATTCCTGGTGCCTCAAAAGAAAAGAAAAAAAAAACCCGCGACTTTTCTGAATAATCGAAAGAATTCCCAGACTCTGTTCCGTTTGTACTGTAAAATCACAGTAAAATTGTATATTATATAATTAACAACTATACACACGCAGTTTAAAAATTGTAGATATTTTTTATCGACGCAAAGTTACAATGTGATGCAATGATTTTATGTTCATGTAGATATCGCGAAATATAAAAGAGGATTTTGTGTGAATAGGTTTTTTCTAAAACTGATTCTTTGTAAAAGGATCTAATAATCATAGTTTCTATCAATCTGGTTGTTTTCAGTATTTTTACCAGCCCTGTATAAAATTATAATACATATAAGGAATACAGGAACGGATTAAAAAAATAAAGATAAAAAAGAGAAAATTATATTCCTAAATATACATATACATAGGATATACATATATGGATATATATGTCTTATGTATAGTATATGTATAAACATTTTATGTATTTTCTCTTTTTTATATATACATATATGTATTAAAAATTATATGTATATATACACATATATACATATAATTTTTTGTATGATCAAATAAAAATGGTTGACTTTGCTTTAAACACATTTGTCCCAATAATGAGGATTTGCATATGTCAAAATTTGAATAGATAAAATTCTGAGTTACACACAAGCACAGCGAACGAGTATGTACGAATTTACATGCACCTCATTTGCTAAAAATGATAAAGACAAACATTTTAAAAAGCTAAGTCGATATTCTAAAACATTATGTTCTTACATTAGAGGAACATATTCCGTCATACTGTCGTTTTTCTTACATTACTAAAAAAATTATTTTATTCAATCTCTTTGTTCATCCACATATAAAAAATTGTTCAATTAACTTCCATGATTTGTAGCACACCAGACATTAAGAGGACAGACAAAAAAATATATTCTAATATCAAATTTTTTTAAATACATAAATTCTACAAATAATTTTTGCTTATCTTACGATAATGTCGTGAACGTAACGATGTAAATATTACAACTAGTTCGTAACTTGAGGTGTTAACTACGAATGACCATCAATACATGTTGCAAAATTAGTATATTTCAAGAGTGTGCTTCGACGAAACATGAAACTATTGTGATATTTATAAACGAGTCTATGATTCGCCATTGACGAACGTACCTTATGACTTCAAGACGTTTATACGTTATTTTTTTTTTTTTTAATGCATTAACATAACTATACGACAATATTCGTCATATCCAGTTCGATATCTTGTATGTACATTGCAATGAGGAAAACCGCGTTATCGGGAACTACTCGAGCTGGACCTTGTGTAGCGACGATGCCGATGTCGAGGATTTCCCGGTGGGCTCCGCGACCGAGTTCGTATTCCGCGGCGCCGTGGTGGCCGTGGACTTCTACGGCGGTTCATGAGCGGCGAACGTCTGCGGTAACGTGGCGGTGTGTTTCTACCACCGCCGCCCCATCGTGGCGGCGCGCGTCTTCCCATGCCCGGCGACATGCGTCGCATCGGCAACGGCCGGGGCTTCGGCAATAATACTGGAGCAGCCGTGATTTCCTGGCCGTCTATCTGCCCTGTGAACAGATCGATGCGAGACGCGTTATAGTATGACAATAAAAGTAGTAGTCCCATTCAACAAGTGGTACAATCGATAATTAATCGCCGCGCTTTTTACCTCCGTCCATGTGTTTCATTGCGTTCTCGGCTTCGTCCGCGGTCTCGAATTCGACATAAGCGAATCCCCTACCCTGATTTGGATGAAGCTTATCCAGCGCAAAGTCGACCATCTTTATTTGACCGTACGCCGAAAATATCTCCATGACGTGTTCTTTGCTAACATTTCGTGTTAGATGGCCAATGTGTATTTTTGTCGGTCTAGGAATCGGCGAACGCTCCCTACGCTTCCTACGCGGCGAGGGAGATCTGTGAAAATAAGAAAATTATTGGTAACTCGCTTATTGATTATAAATGAAAGAGGAGAGAGATATTAAAGTCAACTTTATAACGAATATAATACCTGGATCGTCCTTTTTGTTTAGCTTTCTCGGGGACAGCATTGTTTCCCTTCTTCCTCTCCTTGTCACGGTCTCTGTCCTTATCCCTATCCCTTTCCCTCTCTCTTTCCTTATCCCTCTCCTTTTCTTTATTTTCATGCCTCCGCGTAGCGTCGACGCTTTTGCTGCGGCTTCTCTTTCTTCCACGATCTCTGGAACTGGCTGAAGAAGTAGGCGAACTACTGGACGAGCTACTGGAAGAGGAGCTTGATCTGGAACTGCTGCCACTGCTAGAGCTCGAAGATCCAGAGCTGCTATCCGATGAGCTGTGGGACACAATTTTATACATATTCGTCAATTAAAATGTAATTCAAAGTATTGGAGAATTTATTAGTATTAGAATTATTAGTGAATAAAAGTTTAAATAAAAAAAAAAACATTCTATCAAGACATCCAAGTGATCCAAAATCTAGGGGTCGATTGTGTAGCTCGGAATAAGGTGAAAATGACAAAAGTGAGCAAATTCACTAGAATATTTTTAATTTCATTGGCCAATATTTAGTGAGTTTGCTCATTTTTGTAATTTCCATCTTATTTTTTGTGTACCTTTAAAGATGAAAATTAGCAAAAATGAGCAAATTCACTAGATATTGGCCAATGAAATGAAAAATATAGTGAATTTGCTCACTTTTGTAATTTTCGCTTTATTCCAAAATACATAATTGAGGGCCTATATAGTTTGCATTACATATACTGGCAACGTATGTATGTAAATCAAAATATGGGCCTTAATTCGATAGTAAATATAAATATTTAATGAATATGTTGTCACTTCGGCATTGTTACTATTACCCACCTAGACCCACTACTGGAAGAGGAAGCCGCTCGTTTTTTCCGTTCCTTCTCTCTGCCTCTCTCCTTCTTGTTCTCCTTATCCGTGGTTTCGGAGTCGCTCTTACCCGTGCTGTCCTTTCGGCTTCGGGCCCTGAATGACAAACAGCGGGGCGGGGAGAAAAAAAAAGAGGAGTTAAAATCCAAACAAGTGTTACATAATTTTGCCGATTACGTGTAGGAAAGCTACTCACATGATCGGCGGCGTGAGAATTTCCTGATTGCACTCGCGGGACGAGGGATTCCAGCTTCGAGATGAAGCCGGATGCGAGTGATGCGACCGTACGCGAACACGCCAGTAATGGCGGACTTACCGGGATACGAATGAAGCCGATGTTACTCACGATAGTGTTTACCGTCGCAAGTAACGCGCCCGCCGCGCACGAAATCACGCTAGTCGCGAGAGACCGTCCGGACGAAAGCTCGAATGTACGGCGCTATCGAATTATTTTATCAAAACACCCTTGGCGCGCGTAAGAATAAACGCGATTCGGTTAGCCCACGGATACCGTCATCGCACTGAATGGCACTTATGTCGCCGAATTCGCCATCTAGCCGCAGGCGCCATCCAACACGCCACTACTGACACTACTGTTGTTGCGCCGGTTGCGCGACCCATTGGTGGGTCTATAAAGGCCAATTCATATGGCCTTCATATATTCAATTTAGGCCAACAGTTTTTCATTTAGGCTACAATTAATGTTACATTCCAAAACGTTCCGAGATTTTAAAGAGCTATAATTTATATTAAGGCAATCACACGTGCAAAAATTTTAGTTATCATATAAAACCTGTCCAATCGCAATCGAATATGAAAAGAATAATCGATTACAATTAGTCAATTTACGGAACTTAAGCTGTAAAACATTTTTAACAATATTTTTGTGACGTTAAAATGACAAATATCAACTTGCTACCTGGAAATAGTTTTATATATTTTATCCTAATCTTTTTTTTTATTTATTTTATTTTATTTTGTAATATATTACGTATTAGTGAATTATTTTTTTCTATTAAATTCCTAAAGCTTTTCTAATTTTAGTATTTTTACAAATAATATTTTTTTAAGTTCACTTGGTTTTTGTAAAATGATACAGAAAAGAGGAAACGAACAGTATATTTTCGGTTTGGTAGTTGCGCGGTTGAACGTTAGATGTCGCAATTGTCGCAATCACTTTTGAATGAAATACCCGCCTATAGCGATGTTTGTATTGTTTGTTGCAAATTTAAATAACAACTGACAAGCAAGACGTCTGTTATGAGATTTATGAGAAGTAAGAAATTGACCCTGATTGACATGTGACCAATCTCTTTGACTTATTGTTTTATTTTAACCTTTTGATTCTGTTCAAGTCGAGTAACATGGTGTCAACAATGAGGTTTCAAGTCCCTGTCAAACTTTCGCCGAGTAGTCCTGGTGATGAGTATCCTCATGATTTACAATTGTATCAGGATGTTCCGTATGGAGAGATAACGTTAGACGAGCTGTGGGAGATCGGTGAAATGCGGCTCAAAGGTTAACTGAATATCGCACCTTGTTTCTTTTTTTTTTTTAAACACATATTCATATATTAATATAATAATTTTTTCCCCATGTAAAACCGATGCGTTTTTGTATGTTATGTAGTCCTCTCTTTGGTGGAGCGTATCCATTTACGAAAACTGACGATGTCGGTGTCACAACGTAGAGCTGCCCTGGTCGAGCAGTTACGCAAAGAAGGGATAGACGAATTTGCAGGATTGATTGACAGCCCCGGATGCAAATCGCACACCGACATGGATATACGTGTCAGAAGAAGAGATCATGTATCTCACTTTGTGTTAAGGTCCACAGTTGCCTTCAATGAATTGAAAAAGCGCTGGTTCTTTAAGCAAGAGGCGAGGCTGTTCAAGTGGAGATTTTCCTCATTAGATAACGAGGGAGTCAGGCGGTTCATGTGCGTTAACAATTTCGACTTTACACCGGTTGGTCATTGCTTGTTGCGACAATTTTTCTTTAGATCTAATGTCTTTCGAGTCTTAGATTAGCAGTATTCTCTATTACTTCCAGATCAGCCAGAGCGAGAAGGATGACATCAGGGAACACCTTCAGATGTCTTCTTCGTATGTTAATGATATTGACAACACACAATTTTACAGGATACCTTTCTCCCATACCGCCAATTTAATTAAAAAGCGTAAAGTTTTCGTTATGCGAGGTGAAGCTTTTGTACCCGAGCAAGAAATGGCATTTGTGCTTGTGTCACACTTCAGGAGAATTCTCATATCGAGCTTTGAAGTAAATATAAACGTGATTATTGTGAATCTGTCGATCAAACTGTTATTGTTTTTCGTTCTGTTGTTGTATTTCAGTTTGCACGCGAAGCTAGAGCCAAATTGTATGATGACGAGAGGTTTACTGGCATATTTGCCAATTTAGAGAATAGTATTCATACTGAGAGTACCGTACTAGTACAGGATCAAGAGATAAAACAATATATTTCGCTCAGCCATTTGGATGAGGTGAAAATACATGTTCATTTACAATTTAATTATGAAGATTTTGTAACTTAATGAGACATGATGTTGAATTTTTGAAAAACAACATGAGTCTCTTGTATAGCAATCTTGTTCGATACACGCTAAATGTGTTTCTTGGCAAATAACGGGATTGTTTTGCTATAGCTTGCAGAAACCTCTTATCCGCTGTGCATGAGAGTGCTTCATAAAGCATTAAGGAAGAATCATCATCTTACACACGGCGGTAGAGTACAGTATTCATTGTTCCTGAAGGGCATAGGGCTTTCTTTGTCCGACTCGATGACTTTCTGGAAAGACGAATTCACGAAAGTAATGGACGAAGCTGTATTTAACAAGGAGCACAGATACACCGTAAGATTCGTCTACGGGCGGGAAGGTAGTCGGCGAGATTATCAGCCTTACACGTGCCTGAGAATTATGGAGTCGTCGACAGTCGGACCTAGAGATTATCACGGATGTCCTTATAAATATATGCTGCATGATATACTCGAAGACGAGCTCACCGATTGCGGTTTTAACGCATTGGGTAAATATCGAAATATTAATAGAATCGTAATGTGAGTTCTTTTATCTATTAATTGATTTGCTACTTACAGAGAAATCAGAGATAGTGAAATTGTCCAAGGACGGTCATTATTCTGCAGCATGTAACAAGTATTATGAAATTAAACATGACTGTTTTAACGACACCGTGTTTAAGCATCCAAATATATATTTTAATGAAAGTATGAAATATCGCACTTCATATCATCATTCATGGTGAGATTTATTTCATTATTCTATGTGTATCAAACAATTTACTATTTTGTATAAAATTTGAAATTACATTAAAATTAAAGATCTGGTTCCGGAGACGGGAGATGCATACTAGTCGTCAGAATAATAACATTTGGGGAAGTTAGAACTATTAGGACCGTTGCAAGTTATATTTTTCATCTACAGCATGTATATAACGTTTTTTTTTATTACAGATCCCTGATTGTAAATATATATATATATATATATATATGTATATAAAGGCTAATTTATTTTAATTAATGCTAAATTAAAATGTAAAATATGCCCAAGATAGCGTTTCTCAAGACGGATAAGCAATTGACACTCATTAGCTAATATTATCTTGCTAATAACTTATCAAAGTCAATAAGTTTTTAGCAATTTTTTGAATTTTAAATCAGATTATCTTAATTACCATAATGAACGAACAATAAGCATTTCTTAACAATGAAAAGAATAGTTTTGTTTCCAATTTCAAAGTTAATTTAATTATAGAACTTTTAGGCAATTTAATAACTCGTATTTAAATAGCTCATATATTTATGAAGCGTAACGTGAGACACATTGTAAAAACACGCGTGCGTTGATGCTGGTGGACACACATCTTCATGCGGTATTTTTAGTTGCGAGATGTAGTTCAACTTGAATAAAATATTTCTACAGTAAATATGATTGAATTTGAAAACGCGTTTAATCCAATGATAACGTGACTCTTTTTTTTTTCTTCAACAAAATAACAGGCTTAAACACAAAAACAGAAACAAAAAACATCACATCAAAAAAATATTGCCACGATACAACACAGTATAATTTACTATGTTTCATGATTTTTATTCTGTAGATTGCTGCGGCGATACGTAAGTACCGAATGATATATGTATGTACATTTAAAGTGATAGAAGTAACGAGCAGTATTTATGTACAAGTACACCGAATTATAAACACTTAACACTCGCCATACCTTACACATTATTATATTACCTTAGTCAATTCGTAACGTTGTACCGTTGTCTCATTAAATGCTATTTCAAGCAAGACTACAATGATTGAAGAGTATGGGGGAATTTTTGGCACAGTTTCGTTCGTCTTAGAAACAAAACGAGTCTTATTAAAAACGAATCCTAAACGTATAGCTTATCGAGAGATATACGGAAGAAATGCTTATAATCCTCGTTATAATACTCGTGTGTCCGTAGTTAAGCAGTCGTTTTATACCAAATGCAAAAAGTTTATCTTTTTTTTTTCAATCTAAAAAATATTCGATGTCTGACGTCGAAATGATATGTTGCCGTGTAACACTAAGTCGATTTCCCGCGCAATCCATCGAGTGAATCGAGTGCGTACGCAAAATTCAATTAATGTCGCGTTGCAGCCTGTAGCAATGTAATTATAGCCGATAATAATTGGCTCACTATGCACATACACGATAGAGAAAACCATCATGCAACTTCAAAAGCGGGATATATCACAAATTTAACAGCAGCGATGGATGCAGCAATGGATTTATGCAATGCGTATATATATTACAATTCTTTTTCTCTTTTTTTTTTAACAAAATCAAAATAGTTTTTATTTTACGTTCGCGCATATATATTATGAACAGCCACCCTTATGTGTATGTGTGTCAGTGTGTGTGTGTGTGTGTGTGTGTTTGTGTGTACATTTGAGAAAACTAGAAACTTACTTTCCTACTTTTCTTCATTCGCACGTTAGTTTTTTTTTTTACACTCATACTTTTTTCTCTTTCACATTCTCTTCTCTGCGAGAACCCTCTATATAGAAATAAAATATGTTAGTGGGCACATCGATAAAATCATCATTTATAACAAACAAGTCAAATTATAAAGTCTTATATTTTTTGTTTAATCATTTACGTATAAATAGTGTTAAATATGTATATTAAAAATTTGCTACATATTCGACGATTATTTAACACAGATTTGTTATTCTATTCCCGATAATGACTTAAGTTGGTTAAGTAACTCCCTTTTTTCATTTTCAATGGACTCCTCTGTTGTGTCCGAGGAGTTAGTAAGGATGTAATAAAATGATCCCTAGTGCTTTCCTCGTTTATCAAATCATGCACCTTATCGGCAATGGAGGTATGAACAAGAAAAAAGAGAAAGAAAAGGATGACATTGGATTAACATCGTATTTCTATAGGAGGATGAGTCACGGTGTCATTGTATAAAAATCTAAACTGACCTACTTAAATGTGTACTAAAAAATATAATTGCTTCTGTCAAGCGAGAGGACCGATTTATCGGCGATGGCTCCAATAAAGGTCAACCTCTGTGCGCTCGGGATATACTTTCGTTGACGCCTCCGTGACTCATTAATTCGGATCGTCAGTCGGACCGAACGCTGTTATTATTCTGAACGTCGTGACGGGCATACTTCGCTGCTACGCACGTGGAATCTATTTTTCATTAACGAATAAATCAATGATATTACCAATACGACGACGGGAACGTTTGCGTTGGCTCGTCTTGCGTAAAATGCAAGTCGAAATCTCTCCTACCGTCGTACCGTAAGGATTTCAATGCCGAAGGAAGAATTGGGGGAAATATAGATTCGTCGCATATTTTTACTGCTTCGCGAGTGAATCCAGTGAATTAAATGCGTCGACGGACCGACTTCCTCGCCGAGAATGAATGCTATATACTGTCAATCAATCACGATATGATTCGCGCGCGCGCGCGCGCACGCACGCACACACACATATATATAATCACTGATAATTTGTCAGAAGTGCACATCGCGTGTATCCTGATTACTGTGGCAAGTTCCGATGCTTCGTAAGAATAATCTATGGCGATAAACGAAACTGAAGAACCAGCCGCGGTTTGCGTCTATTGCCCACATTTTGCATAAACGTTAAACGCGCGTTAATAACTGCATTAAACATCGCGGAAGAATTCAGACGGATATCTCGTAAACGGCATACATCCTTTCCTCGTTGGAGCACAAGACATGCAGACTACTCGGCGGCTCTCGTAGAATCTCCGTCCAGCCGCAGGATGGTGCGGAGACCGGAAAGGTGGGCTATACGGATATCTCATAGTTCATATCGTATACGCTCGCGCGGTCCGGCGTCGGTGTGGTTGGTCTCTGCGATCTCGGGTCGTTGGGCGCCGAAACCATTTCTATGGAGTCGGTCATCTCCAGGGCTCTGACGAAGGACATCGGCCGACGTCGCGCGTCACCCGAGGTCGGTGTGGTCGGTGTCGCCATCGTGGTCGCTTTCCGCTTAACCTGCGGCGACTGGTGCGGTTGATGCGGCGGGAAGACGGGCACTCCACCCCTGAGGGCCGGATGATACGCCGCCCGGGGTGCGTTCGTCGCGTACTGCGACTGCTGAGTCGGGCTCGTGGGGTTGGAGCGATAGTAGTCGTACGGCGGGAGCGGTCGATGGGAGGGCGACTGATGCGGCGCGCCGCTCACCGCTCCCCCAGGAGGCGGGCCTGGATAGCTGCCGGGTGAGTTGTCCTTCCACATGTAAACACCGCGCTGCGGCGAGCCCGCCAGCTCGCGTATGTTGTCGACCGTGTTGTTGGTCCGCGCGTACGGATGATCCGTGCCCTGTCGCACGAGCTCGCTCTCCGACAGGAAACGCCGCTGCGGGCTGTAGCCAGTGATGACGGAGCCGGGAACGCCGACACCCGTATTGTTTCCCTGCTGTACATCGTAATACGTCGGCGCCTCGTTAACGCCTATGAAATCCGGCCGACGAACCTGCGTCGGTGTGCCCGGGTTTGATCTGCAATCAGACACAGCGGATCTTAGATCCCCCCGAGATCCTCCGCGGCGCTAGAATGGCTTTCGAAAAATCGACAAATGCACAGTACAGTGAACCAAGATGAATATGCGAGTGCTTGAGCATTGTAGCCATACAAATACGGCTCTGGCGAGACATACAGGAGAGAGAGCAGCGCGTCATTCCTGTTAAGAAATTAGCATCTATTCAAGAAACATAAAAGATAGCGAACCTAAGAGATGTATGTGGTGTAATGTGTGTATGTGTGTGTTGTGTGTGTGTAGATGTGCCGTATGTGGGTATATTTTTACAACCATGTTTTTCTATACAAAGATATATATATGTATGCAAGAAAGCATAATTGTAAACTACGGTATGTCCTCGTAGGATGATGAAGTTCGTGTTTACCTGCAGTAGGTTGCAACATGATGGTAGAAAGCAGCTCCTTGCAGTTACCACCCCCTGCAGTGGGACACAAACTTATCTATATACCATATATCTTGTATAATATGTACATGCAGAGAGACTAATCCTCTACAATATTTATTGTAAGCTACATTGCGCAATTTTCCTTTTTGACACGGTCCTTCGTCCTCCGGAAGGCGAGAACAGTGGTGACAGAAGAGGAGAAAGAAGAGCAAGAGTGAGGTGTTTGACAGTGAGGGATAGGAGATCTTGACAAAACAGGCCGACATCATATCGAAGGGTAGCAAAAAGGACATCATAAGAGGAATATCGTTCACTTTGTATTGGCAGCGTGCTCAAGAGATGCATTGTAACTATTACTATAGTGTGGCGCTTCCCTCTTGCTCTCTACATTGAGATAATTTTGTGCAATGTGAAAATCGCGATATATAATATATATATATATATATAATTAAAAGTAATAAATTTGTATTTGTATATAAGTATATTTCGAATATTTCGAATGAGAATCGACCAAACGTAAAAGCACTCAATCAATCAATTCTTCATTATTATTATTATTATATTTTTTGGTATCACGTGTAAATGTGTTTATATTAGAAGATATTTAAAAGATATCTTTCATCAAATATATATATACCGGGCTAATATATACTTTGATTTTTCTTTCGTTAATGCACAAGTATAATGTACCTTCGTATTGGGCTGGATATGGCAAGCGGAGTGGGTACTCCAATAGCTTTGATACGTTGTTGCATCGTCGGGCTGGCGCCACCCTGACGCTGAGGGACCGTGGCGGGCGAACCACTCGTCTCCGGTGATAACGGGTCGGGTGTGTGACTTCGAGATCCGTTCATCCCTCTGTGAATATGATCGACGTGAGTGTGTCGCGCGCTACAGCGTATTCGCGGGGGTTGAGTAACCGTCACGCTTATCGCAAATTACCTTGGCCTCGGATGTGGACTGCCTCTAGGATAATGTATTGGATGGCGATGCTGCGACGGCGGGGGATGCCTGGGAGATTCGTTGCTCTCCACAGGTGGCAGGAAGAAATTGCTTTTGGAACCGTGTCTCTGCAACGGCGGTGTGGGTTCGCAGTCCGCAGACTGGGACGCCGTCGGTTCCATGTCTGTGTCCGATCCGTCACGTCCGGGCGATAACTGTAAAGAGTCATCGACGATGTTGTCATCGATCGCATCGGAGAGAGATATCTCAAGCAAGAATAACATATTTCTCTGTAATATACATTACGTATATTTCCTACGAATATTAGAAATCAGTTTGGATGAATGGGATATGCATGACACGTAGGATGGAAATCAGTAAAGGTGTCTTAGGATTCTGGATGGAATGGTACTTATAGACGAGGTATCATCGCTGCAACTCATACTCTACGGACAGAGAGTGAGAAAGACGTAAATTTATGTTAATTTCTATAGTAAAAACACTAAAATGTGTACTACGAAGCTGGTGGTACTAAGAACTGCGCAACTGTTTGCTCTAATATAAGTAGTACAACTAATGTTGCCTATAGCCATGCCTGTACATGCTCGAAAAACTGCGTAAATCAGCGGAAGAGTGCTTAAAATATAGGCTTCGTCAAAAATTCGTCCAACTTGTGCTGATATGAACAGTAAGAACAGTATACAAATCATAATAAAAGTACAAGCTTGAGTTGAAGCGTCAGATTTTCGAGAATTGAAGTCGTGTCGTTCACAAAGTAAAGAAGATAAAGCGAGACTGCGCTAGCTCTTACCTTATTGTAAGCATTTGAACTGGCATTTCTAACACCATTGCTGCTATCCATGTAGGTCTTTACCTGGTTCTCACTGCCTATAGTAGATATCTCTGACGCGCACGCCCCACGTCGCTTCCCTGAATACTTATCAGACTTAAGTAAGCTGCAAAGCACACAGAGAATTCATTATAACAAAATAATCGCCACGTACGTAATTAATTTTACAATACCTTGGCTCCTTGCAATACCTTGGGTATTGTGGTCCAAACTGCGTGTAACAGCAGTTGTGCAGACAACCACGTGAAAAAGGATTGTAGCCCCCGTTAAATTTGCCTGTTACCTGTTCGTTCGTCGTACGCCCTCTGGAGACGAGGACCACGTGAAAGCCGGTCAGTCCAAAGATTGGAATGAATAAGAGCATTACCACTCCCATGAGTATAAGTCTATATTAATTAAGGTTAAGGATCTCATAAAATTCGACATTGAATGTTGCAAACGCTCTACGCGCAGCCGCATTTCACGAGTGCTTTGGAGATAATTGTATATCGTAATGCAAAGGATACGCAACAATAGTATTAACTTCGCTCAGCTGCTCTTTGTGCTCCAGCAAGTAATACAGACAGAGCCCAAATATACTGAGCATATGAAAACTGAGCGACAGAAGAAAAAAGAAGAAGTATCTGTAGTTCCTCCTACCAATACAGTTGTTCACCCACGGGCAGTGATGATCGAATGTCTGAAAATATAGAGTTAACCGCCGTTAGTGGGATCTCCTCTCGCGACCCGGGCCCAAAACGTACGTTAAATGATGGGAAAACCCACCTCGATACAGTGATTGCAGACGCTGCAATGTGAGCAACGTGGAGGTCGATAGAACTTGCAGGTGACGCACCACTTCATGCGCACAGTAATACCGTTGATCTCCACGCTCTTGTACAACGGGGCTCGGAAGTCGTCCTCCCGGTCTTCGTCAGGAGGCGCTTTACACAAAAAAGAAAATAATAATAAATACCACATTGCTCCGCGAGATTTCTGCGGATCTTCGTACTTGAGAGTACAACGCAAGCACGTATCATATGTTTACCTTTTGGTATAACACCGGGATCCATGAACGTCGCCAGCGAGAAGTTTATCACCACGAAGAAGGTGATGACTCCTTGCAGAGCCGGTACCCACAAGCCCCATCGAGAGACATAGTAGTTCGAGCACCTGCGAGAACGTTCGAGAACACGTGAGACTTTTTCGGCGGCCCCGCGAGATCCTCGCCGCCGAGAAAGCCGAGGGCGGGGAGGAGGCGAGCTGAGCTGCTGCTGCTCCCGTCACGACGGGGGGAACGTGCTCTCGGGGAGCACGGCGGCACGGGTGCGCGCGGGGAGCGAAAGGGAGAGGTAGGACAACTTACGGGAAGATGAAGAAGAGCGCCGTGGTGACGAGTAGGACCGTCCACGCGAACGTAGCTGGCAGATACCTCGTCTTCACATCGCATTTCGGCATTCTGCACGCTCCGCTCTTCCGGTGGCACACGATCAGCAGGCGGCGCGAGTCACCTCACTAACGGACAGGATTTCTGCTAGCAGGAAACATGGCCGTGTCCATCATCGCTCGCTCGGCTCACTTGCGACACGTACGTACCGCGGCGAGGGCGGCCGCGCATTCTAGCTGCCGTCCGGGCGCCCGCGACGCAATCACCGCGACGTGCAGGGTACGACGGGGTTCCCGGTCACTCGCGCGTCATCCCGGCGCGGGGAAACGTCAGGCGGCCTTCTATCAATATATTTAACAGATCGCGGTATATACGGGGTAACCGAGCGACGAGCACACCACCTCGATGACATACATATATAGCGTGCAACGCATCTCTCGCTCTCCCTCGGCTGAATCTCGCGCGGCAGCGCGCGTGTCAATTCCCCACCTCTCTACCACCAACCCCCTCTCCGTGTTGCTCCGTATTTTGCACCGCGCTTTATCCCATACTTGCGAGTATTTAATTCGTAGCGTGTGGCACACCGTGAATTTCTGTCTTTCTCTCTCTCTCGATTGCATTTACTTATTGCAACATATTTATATATATTATGTATAAACATATACATATAATATATACAATATTTATTAAATTATTTATATATACTTTATATGTATTATTACGTGTTTACATATTTGTTATTTAATTTTTTGTTGTATTTATTAGAATTTGTTCCTTCCATACATATCATAAATAATATGTATAATTGGGGAAGGGAAAGAATAACATTGAAATGTGTATCGAATTGCCCTTATCTCAAGTCTCAACTGTAGATCGGACTTTAATCGATAAATTAGAGATACGAGTATCGATATTGTCGATCATGGCTGATATCGCGCTCGTTTCCTTCTGTCTAGAGTCCCTCTAGTGACGGAACTCTAGTTCCGTCGATCGATCGAGTATCGATAAGATCGCTCGAGAACTGTAAAATGAGTTGGGTATAATAATTTCGTTGCAATAACCTCCAATTTCTTCTAGCTGTTGCGACACCCTTTTCCGATACGTTCAGACATTAAAAAACATTTCGATGTTAAATCTATGGATTTAATGCAACTCTCACGAAACGCAAAAGTGAAAATCGTACAACTGTTTGTTTAGGACAGGAGAGATCAAGGAGATCAGACCTTTCGAAATGGCGCGAGAAAGGTGGGTAAAAAGGGCAGTCCGCCAGAAGTGACGTCCGCGCGAAACGCGGCCGCGATTGGCCGTGGTACACGTGACACGGCCTCGCTCGTCACTTCCGTTTCGCGGGTAAATCGCGCTCGGGTTAACGTTTTCAATCACGCCGGTTGAGTGTTGACTTGGTGTTGACTCGTCGTGCGGCGAGCCGAGAGCGAGATTGCCGTGGAAGAAGTGCCCTGCTGCGACGGCGACGCTTCCGAGAGCGTCCGAGGAGGCAACATGCACGTGCTCAAGCGTGGTAATTTGCGCAGATGTAAACAAACGCGCTCGAACCTACCGCGATCCTCGATCGCGGATCCTCGCGCGAAAACTGCCTTTGACACCGTCTTTCCCCTCTTTTAAGCATCCACTGTCTCTTTCGTTTGTTGTCAGATGGACACAAGGAGCCTGTGCATTTCGACAAGATAACCGCGAGAATCGAAACGCTATGTTACGGCCTGGACATGAATTATGTGGATCCGGTAAGCGTTTGCACATGTACCTTTCTGTAAATTCTTGACACTGTCGAGAAATCCTGTCTCTCATCACTTCTCTCGTCATCTCGTCTCATTCTATTTACATCAACGAATTATTTTCGTCTGAAGGAGGCCCTGAAAGTTTTATTATAACTTGTATAAAATCGTTGACTTAAGAGAACCGTTTTCTTTCACATAACCAATATAAATTGCCTGTGCGAGCTATCGCATTTGTAGATACGTGAATCAATATAAATTTGACGGGGAGCAAAATGTGTACTTGTTTACATTACATTGCAGACCTTTCGACTCCAGATTTGAGTCCTCCTCAGTGTGGATAACAAAGCAAATTGTAGCGGTTCAATTCGCTTTGTTATCTGTACTTCAGAGAATTCAAATCTGGAGTCGAAATGTCTGTAATGTAATGTAAAGCAAGTACATACTTTGCTCCCTATCAGATTTGTTATATTGATCCACGCAACTGCGGCAGCTCATACAGGCAATTTATATTAGTTACTTGATTTATTTGTTGGAGCCTTATTGTAATAATTTTCTTATTTATTAATTTTTCTTTCACAGTCTGCAATCGCACTTCGGGTTATAACCAACTTATGCTCCGGAGTGACGACAATCGAATTGGATAATGTGGCAGCCGAAACTGCGGCGACTATGATCAATCAACATCCGGATTACGCGACCTTAGCAGCTAGAATTGCCATATCTAACCTGCACAAGGAGACAAAGAAGGTTTTTAGCGGTGAGATTTTTTTTCGCAATCATCGATATATTCATCATCATTTGTCAATACATAATTCGTTATTAACACCTTATATTTTACAGAGGTGATAACTGATTTGTATCTCACGAAAAACTCGATCACGGATAAACGTTTACCTATAATCAGCGAGAAGTATTACAAAATTATCCAAAGCAACGCGGACAGATTGAATTCCGCGATAATATACGATAGAGACTTCAATTATAGTTATGCTACATTTAAAATGCTCGAGAGCAATCACCTTTCGAAACTGAATGGAAAGGTTGTTGAGAGACCGCAGCACATGCTGATGCGAGTCGCCGTAGCCATTCACGGCGAGGACATCGATAAGGTCATTGAAACGTACAATTTTATGTCGAAACAATACTTCGTACATGCCGCACAGACGATAGATACCGCATGTACCGTTACGCAACAAATGGCTAGGTGATTATTATTCTTTAGCAACTAGTAGATTCATCGGGTGTTTGCAACGTGTCATTAAATACGCGATATTTTTACAGCTCATTTCTGTTGACGATGTCCGCCGATAGCATAGACGGAATATTGGACACGTTGGAAAGATTTGCTCTTCTCTGTCGTCACAATGGCGAGATAGGATTCAATGTACACTGCATTCGGGCGAAGAACACGCCTATAAGGGGCACGGGAGGCGTATCGAACGGATTGGTGCCTATGTTAAAAGCGTACAACACGGCTATTGCAGCTGTCTCCGAAAACGGCATAAACGAGGGACCAGTTACTGTATACTTGGAACCATGGCATGCCGATATTTTTGAGTTCTTGGATCTCAAGAGGAGTATTGGTTATTATCGTTTACTAAAATTCTTTTCCATCGCCTCTCTCGATAAAGACGTGCAAGTATATTTTTAAACAACTATATTTTAGGCGAGGAGCAATTGAGGGCGAAAGGCATGTGTTACGGATTATGGATTCCAGATTTATTTATGAAACGTGTTTTTCATGATGATGTGTGGAATCTGATGTGTCCACATGAGTGCCCTGGGTTAATTACAACTTGGGGTGATGAATTTGAAACCTTATATACTAGGTAATTGGTAGCACATTTCTTACTTCATTTTTAAAAATTACATTGATTTTATATAATTTACAAAGGAAATATATATTTATATTTAGGTATGAAAAGGAAGGACGTTCTCGAAGACAAGTTAAAGCCAGGGACTTGTGGCTTCTCATCACGCAGATACAATTCGAGACAGGAGTGCCATACATACTTTATAAAGATCAATGTAATCGCAAGTCGAATCATCAGAATCTGGGGACAATTAAATGCGGCAGTTTCTCCACCGAAGTGGTTCAATATTCAAGCACCAAGAAAGTTGCCATGTGTAACACAGCTTCGATCGCTGTCAATATGTTTGTGAATTCTACGAAGAGAACTTTCGACTTTTATAAACTTAAGGAAGTGGCGAAAGTCGTCACCTATAATTTGGACAGAATGATTGACGTTAATTTTTATCCTCTCCCAGAGGTAAAATTGTCGTGTGATAGAGCTATCGGTAAGTTATTTACGTGTAATTCGCGCGTAATTGTAGATGCGGTGCTTTTTTTCTGAAACTCATTTTTAAAACTTCAGGCATCGGTGTACAAGGATTGGCAGACGCGTTTATCTTAATGAGATATCCCTTCGAAAGCGAAGAAGCTAACGAACTCAACGTTCAGATTTTCGAGACTCTCTATTACGGCGCCCTGGAAGCTAGTTGCGAAATAGCTACTGAGAAAGGCCCTTACGAGTCGTATAAAGGCAGTCCAGTCAGTAAAGGTGTAAGTATTTCGGAAGAACATTCTCACTATTATCTACTGATTTGTTACAAATTATTTACACGTCTGAAACGTGCAATTCTTTTCACAGATCCTCCAGTACGACATGTGGAATGTAAAACCAACAAATTTGTGGGATTGGGATATTCTAAAGGCAAAAATTGCCAAGCATGGAGTGCGGAATTCTTTGTTGTTAGCGCAAATGTCGGATGCATTTATGGCGCAAATGTTGGAGAATAACGTATCAGTTGAGCCGTACACGAGCAACATTTATACGATATACGCACTATCGAAACAACATCCAGTTATCAAGCCACGTTTGCTGCGAGATCTAATCGAGAAAGGGCTTTGGAATGAAAACATGTGTAACAACATTATTACTAATGGCGGATCCATACAGGTAAATATTCATTTTTTTTTATTTAACTATATTATAACGCAATTTCTAACGTTATGTAAATATTAAAAAGATATATAGATATTGTGTACATTTTATAAGTAAATCGTGCTCTCTCGTTTGCAGAACATTGAGAATATACCCGAGGATTTAAAGTTATTATACAAAACGGTTTGGGAAATGCCACAAAAAACGATTTTCGAAATGGCAGCTTCACGGGGACCTTTCATTGATCAGTCACAATGTTTAAATGTCCACATGGTCGATCCATTACAGAAGCTTACATCCATGCATTTTTATGCTTGGGAAATTGTAAGTAAAATGTAAAATGCACATCTGTTACGTATAGTGTTATTTTTAGATCATATATGAATTTAATGTATTTTTACTTGCAGGGTTTGAAGTCCAGTATGTATCGTCTCATAACTAACGACAATAATATAAAATAGATAAGATAATGTAAAAAAAAAACATGTGCCTTGAAAGAGAAGTGAGAAAAGAATACAGAAATTCAAAATAGGAGTAAATAGGAGTAAAGTAAATTTTTTAAATAAAAAATTACAATAAAGATTGTCTTTTAAAATAAATATAGTAATAAATAATAAAAATGTATATTGCTTTTATATTAATATGTGAAAGTAGACAGCAAGTTACTCCAGTTTTATAAATAAAATTATGAAAAAAAAATTTAACTGGTTATTTTCATAAAACGTTTTGGAAACTAAACTGTATTTTGAATTACTTTTGAAACAACACTGTATTTTTCCCTTTTGTATTTTTTTTCCTGTTTTATTGGATATCTACTTCATTCTAAAATAAGTGCAGCCTTATAAACATAGTTGGCTTTTTCATGTTTGATCGCATTAATTAGTTACCAAAAACATGATGAATTTCTAGTAGTTCAGCTTGCTTGCGATAGATGGATCTCACCATCAGTCCAATTGTATTTTCAATAAGAGGAGCACGAGAAAATTATTAGGTTAGCTTGGATGTCCAATCTTTGAGAAAGAGAACAGTTTAATCAAAATAATCTTTTTAAAATGAAGACTTCGCGAACCAAGAAAGCCCGGAAAACTCTTGGGTTTTATGTGAACAATTACAAGTTTCATCAACCATTTCAAGTCCTGATTGACGGCACATTTGCGTTTGCGGCATTACAGGTTAGCTATACGTACTATTTTCTATTTCTATTTATTATCAGTTTTCACAATGTTTTAATTTGATTTTTTATTGTATTTGTGCGTTTTTACTCTTTTTTCAGAACAAATTTAACATACAGGAGCAACTTGCAAAGTACTTTCAGTCTGAAATAAAGCTCCTAACAACTGCATGTATCATCTCGGAAACCGAGAAACTTGGTTTATTCTCGCCAGCAGTTAACGGTGCCACGCAAATAGTGAAGCAATACGTTGTACACAGATGTGGGCATGAAAAGAAGCCAATAAGCGGCACAAAATGTTTACTATCTATGATAGGAAAAGACAATAGGTAACGTTGAATTTTATTAGAAGAATACTCAAGAGAGTGAAAATATCAAGTTTTTAATTTTTATTTCTTTCTTAGATATTTCAATATTCCCCGAAAATTTCAAGCTTTAATTTATTTAAACGAAAAAAAAAATACATTTTTGAATTAAGCTTACGCATATCTTTCATGTCTGTTGGTTATCAATATGGAGACAATGATAATCTTTATTCTCAAGTATTGAATTAGAAGATTCAGGAAGATGACTTTAGAATTTTAGTGTACTAATGAAAAATTTTTAGTATCAGTAACGAAAAAAATAAGGAAGTTCTTTTCTGTTGTGTGCTAAGAGTGTAACCTAAATTATTTCAGAAGAAGAGTAAAAAATTTTTATTACGATCAGTTTGAAACTTTCAAGAAAAAATTTCATTTGGCTAAAACACATAAAAGATTATTTCTTCATAAAAAATTTTGTTTTGGGTTGCATGTTACCTTCTCAGATATAAAACGTTAATAAACAAATCATTTAGTATATGATCAAGAACAATGTGTAATAGAAGAAAGTCTTTTTTTTTAAATAATAAAACTATATTTGTTCCTTATAGATATATTGTTGCAACGCAAGATCGTGAACTTCAGGATAAATTGAGGCTAATTCCAGGAGTTCCTGTCATTTATTTACATGGAAAAGCACCCACGCTGGACTCTCCTTCGGAGACAAGCCGCAAACATGCCGAAGCTATGCAAAAAGGTTTAGGCATGACTACATGGGAGAGAGAGAATGTAAAGGTATTGCGAAAGCAAGCAGGATTAGAGGAGGGGAGTAAATTGAAGAAGAGGAGGAAAAAGGGAGGACCAAATCCGCTTAGTTGTCTGAAGAAAAAGAAGAAACCGGAAACAACAATGAACAAAAATGGTACAAAGTCATCTGGCAAGGTCAGAAAAAGGAAAATTAAAATAGCGTCACACATCAAAGAGGCTTTACTGACGGAATTTAAGAATGAACGTAGAACGTAGAATTACGTGATTCATGTGAATTTTCAATATATATTCTGTGAATACAAAATATTAAGAAGCGAAATTGTTAAAAACTGCAAATTGAAAAATGCGTTTTTTGCATATTGGATCAATATGCAATAGCTTTTGTTGACTTGGAGAAAATAAAGTGTGTATATAACTATATATATTGTATATATTGTTTTATAATAAAATTGAAATATAGTTAAAATGGATATAATTTCTATGATGCTAAATCTAAAATGTTGAATTTTCATGGAAGAAATTTTGCTAATTCTACAGTTACATATTAATAAAGCTTTTTTTATAAAATGACCAAAGTGATTCTTATTTAATAGAAGTAATTTATTCGATCTCATTAACAAAAAAAAATAGCGACGCGTGCTATCTTATAAATTACGTTTAATATCATTTAAATATAAAAAGATAGTGAATAAGAAAAAGTAACAGAAAGTGTTCACTTCAGAAAAAAATGTATATTACATCCTTCAATACGATATTAAATAACATTGTACAATGTTATTTTCCTAAGATACCTTAACATATAGTTGAACACATGGAATCTGGAATTAGGAACTTCCATATATAGAAAGTATAAAAATGTTGGAAAATAATCTTTTCGATGTAGGTGGCACAGTGTTATTTACAGCCGTTGTTTAAGAACTTTCAGATAATATTTAATACTACATTATCATAAGTATACATTTATTAGGTAATCATAATTGAATAGTGGCAGATCTGTAATTTCAGAAGATTAATTTTTTTCGAATAGAGTTAAGAAAAAAAAATTTAATTCGTAAATATAACAAATATTTATGCATTTAGTTAAATTTAATAAATAAATAGTAAATCATTATTTGTTAATATAAAGTTGATTTAAGTAAGAATTTTTTAAAAATTACATATATATATACGTATATATATACACATATATATTATATAATTTTATATATTTATAAAATTAAGCGTTAATGATATTTAAAAAAATCTAATTCTTTATTGAGAAAATAAGAAATTTAATATAAAAATATTTTAATTAAAGATGAAGCTCTAAATCAAAATGCACTCTTGATATGATGGCTCTTTGGCATATCAAGGCCTCACAGTTTATAAGCTTCATCTTATAAACTGATCTACCACTATATATTTAAATAACATAATCTTTCTATTAGGTACAAATATTTGAACTCAATCATATAAGTAAAACAATTTCAACTTTATCTCTCATTCAGTTGAATTACAAGTATGTAGTATATTATTATTTATTCCAATATAGACTTTTCCTAGTTCACAAACCGCTAGTCACAAAAATAGAATCTTTTTCGGTCAAAAAATTATATTTTTAAACAATTATTAAGCCAAGAGCTTTCAAAGTTAAAGGTTTTTAATAAAAATTTTTACAGACGCATTCTTTCATACAAGTGATTAAATATAATATGTCATGAAATCCATGCACTGTCTATATTAGGTTACAAAATTTAAAGAAATTTACTATTAACTTACAAGTGAAAATTAATTTTAGTCATCACACATGTAGGATGTAACACTATTCATGCAGAACTTAGCAGTATGAAACAGAAAAATTATAAATTATTTTCTTTCAGCATTAGCACTGACCATTTTCTAATACTAATCTATCTTCAGATCATCAACATTGTGCTGAACTTAAGAATGTTTTTTTTCTTATTTTAATTCATTTTTTCAATTTTATTATTTAGATACAGTTTATGTAAAAACTATTTTAAAAATTTCATGAAAGCATTTAAGCGCATAAGAAAATGAATAAAGATTCATGGCATATTAAACACGTGTGTTATCTCTTAAATAAAATTAAATCGAATCTGAATGTTAAAGTAGTGTGAGTGCCTCACACATATCTATATTTGCTTTATATTCTAGACGAAAATTACTGCCAGTCTTAAACATGACTTTTGTTAATATTGCTTTTAGACAAAAGTAACCTTTAAACAAAAAATAAAAAATCTTACATCATATATTTGAATAATCTCACAAACGTGGTGGTCAAGGATGCTGATTTAATAGTGCGCGCGTAGCCATAGCGAGCATTTTCATGCGGCGCGTCGATCGATGATTCGGATTACTTGCTACAAATGTAGCTAATTGATTTTGTAGAGTCATTAGCACCGTGCCCATATGTTCTCGTGTTACAGGATCGGTTGGATCTAAATTCAAGATTGCTTCTTCTAGCCACCTAAAAAAAAGAGATAATTTTTATTTAAAATATCTTGTGATATCTGCAAAAGGTACAAATGTCTGTTTTTATATGATGTGTATATATACATTTATATATATATAAATAAATTATATATGATATATAATTTATTACATAAATAATATGTACATAAATTAAAAAATAATTATTAATAAATACCTGTGCTTCAATTCTGTGCGATGTCCTAAATCAGCGGACAACTGTTGTACAAGAGAAAGAATCACGGGTTGCTGTAAGACGCATCTTGAACCTTGTCCCGTACACGAAAATACTCTTGAAGGTTCTGTCTTTTCACACACTAGTACTACCAATCCTAAATCACTTGCACTCAGAGCCTGTTGAAAAGCGGCGTTTAGTTGACCTCTTTGAAGTAGGGACATGACACGTGATTGAGCATCAGCTACAGCGGTTACAGGTATAGCAGGGGTTGTGGCTCTTGATCTATAGGTTTCGAGAAAAAAAAGTGTGTTTTAATGATATGATTATTTATCTGCATAACAGTATCTGTATGGCAATGTTGTAAGATTTACACTATATTTCTTACCGTGCGCTAGAAATTTCTGTAAGCTGCTGATTTAGATTCTCTCGTATGGAATCGCGAACTGCTCTTAAGGTATTATCTTGCATCGTCGTTAAAACTCTATTCAATTCAGTCTGCATCTCCTCACGTATCACGGTTGATAATATTTCGCTTAGCTGCTCATTATGATGCTGATACTGTTTATCGATTATTGAATCGATGTGTTGTAGATCTATAAAAGAAAGTATTATATAGCACATTGAAGAAATATTTAATTCTCTGCTGACGTTGACGGAATAAGCTACTTACATTCGCGAGTACCTTTGGCAAAGACGTCCTGGATTTGCTTAAACATGATTTGGCAAACCTTTTCCATATTAGGTAAGAGGACAGTTGTGAAGGCTTCCTTAAAGGCAACATCCAGGGCTGGTTTAGCTGCGTTCGCAGCTGTCAGAGATAAGGTGTCTTTTACGTGTGAACTGTTTATCAATTCAGTTACGTTCTTTTGGAAGAGCTCGTCCATTTGATTTGCGTCCAATCTCATTTGGTGTTTCAAAGGCTTTATCGTATCTTCAACTATACGCGGTAAAGTACTTTCAATCTTATCTTTGATCGTTGTTTCAAATGTGTTTAGAAATTCATGCTGACGTGTCATTTGATCGTACAGAGTTTGTTCCAAGTTGGCATTTTGCTGCTGGGACATTCTCGCCATCGCGGACTCTATTCTCGCGGACACTGGCGATTCTTGCCGCAATCTAGTAACCTCCGCGCGTAATTCCTTCAGCTCTTGACACTGATCCTGAATTATCTCTAAGATAGATTTCAGTTTGTTGTTCAGTTCAATATCGTTGTTTGTTCGCCATGACGTTCCAGGATCGTCGGCGGGAAGGGACGACGCGTTCGGTTCATCCTTCGTCTTCTGCCTTGGCACGTTGTTCTCATCGTCTTCGGGAAATTCTTGGGGCTCTTGCATCGCGTGCACACTAACGTCCTTAAGCAAGACCATTGGGATATTAGACCAATCCTCATCGGCGTTCGTCTTCGTCTCCGGCTTGCCGTCGATATCAGTTTCCTCGTCCGCTTTAGAGAGAGACAAGATCTCTCTCACTTCTCTAGACGGACTGCTTCCGCAGCTGGCAGGCGCTTGCTCTTCTATCTCGTCCTCCTTTCCGAGCGGCGGATCATTGCCACTTGCATTTAAAGCTTGCACCGCTTGTGCGAGTGGACTGCTTGATAAGACTTTCCTCAAATCCGGACTTTCGGGATTAGATTCCAATTCGGTGTTCTCTTTTTTTGCGGGTGAACTGAATGCGTCGGGTGTCATTAAGTTTAAGCCACCACCACTATGATTAATTGTCGCTTCAATTGTAGTAGATAATGACAGTTTTTCTTTCTCGCAATTTTCCCCGGACATGCCGTTGTGAGTAGCGGTTCCCATGTCTGGTATGTCTTCGGAATAATCCAGCGAAACGTGAGTGAGCGTGTTTATCAGGTAGTTGCCACTTGCGTGAGAGGCAGGTTTAAAGGCAATGTGACACTCTTGTAACGACTTTGGTTGGACTAGATACATGTAAATGACAAGTTGTTCATCGTTCTCTTCAATCTCTTCGCACAGATCTTCGAGCGATTCGCCAGTCGACCGTATCTTACGTTGATCGGCATCGACAATTCCGAAACTTAGAATTGGATATGGCAGAAGAAACTCTGATACCGTGCTTATGCATGCTAACGCTTCACCTTTATCCTTCGTAAGACTTAGTATATATAAAATTTTATTATATATGTCTGATAGAAATAGATATCCAGCACTAAGGTCTAAGCCTGCTTTTAGCACCGGCAATTTGCCCGTGGAAGGATTTGGAGCAAATTTGATTGTTTGTAAACAAGTCCACACTTCGCACGACCATACTTTTAGTTCTGAATTATTGTCACATCCCGTCACAGCAAATCTCCAGAATTGAACACTGAAAAAAATAAATATTTTTACTTCAATTATATTCAATTTATCGAATAAAAATGTATACGATAAATTTACATTCTCGAAATACTCACTCAGGCTGATAATTCTTATGATCATCAAGAAAAAAGAGGCAGGAAATGGGTCGTCCGCCATGAGGCCTCCATTGATGTAAACAACGTGGTTGCGGTTGATTATTGTGAGAATTACTATGAAGGAAGACTTGAAAGAATTTCACTTCTCCGTCTGTACTAGCAGTTGCCAATGCAGTACCGTCTGGACTAAGTGCGGCTTCGACAATAGTCCCAGAGTGTTGATCAATTTCCATCATGCCACCGCTTTCTTTAATACTTGGATCCGTTGCCTGATTTAACAGAAGAAAAAGATGAAAATTATATTCATCATGTATATATTATGTACATATATGATAAAAATTGTGTAAAAGTATATATGTACCTCCACTGATCTAAATCTTGATGCTATTGTCGCAACCGACCATAATTCAACCTTGGAGCCACGAGTTAGGACTAATAATTTTGATACTTCATCGCCGTCAGAGGCATCGTCCTCTGGGATGTACGGACACCAGATCACTCGGTGACTAGTCGGGGATACATCTTCCGCGTCTACTTGTAATACTAAACTACATAATAATTCAGACGGCGTAGGTTCAATTGTGTGTATAAAAAGTGATCCTGTATAATCGATACACGCAAGAATTGCATTTGAAACATGGGCGAATGCAAGATCTTGAATAACACCACGCATTCCTCGCAGCAGAGATCTATGTTCTAATTCCTTGTACACAACACGAACTACCCCACCACCGGTACCAACTAGAAGATGGAAAATTCATCTGAGTAAAAGTATAACGGCATGAAAATTGCTTTTGTAGCTAAATATTATTTGATTAAAAAAAAAATCAACTTCCTTTGTTGAAACATATCATATATAAAGCATATTTCAATTTGCAAAAAAAAAAAACATTGCAAACAGCAAACCTCAATCTTGTCAAATATTACCTTTTAAACCATAGGCTAAATATTTTCCGGATACATGAACAGCCAGCAACTGGCCGCTGTAAAGATGATGATCCCATGTGAAATCAACGATGTTTTTCAATTTTACTTTAGAACTACCATGGTCGTGATCGCCAGGGGAAGGGGTAATGGTCACGTCTGTACTACATAGTTCAACTGAATGTTGATCCTCCCGTCCACTAAACTCTCTGTAGAAATAGAATGCTATGTAAGGATCTTTGTATTCAAATTACAGCCTACATATCATATTTATTTACATTTTCCAATGGAAGAAAAAAAGAAATCAAGCAGACAATATAAAAAAATAAATTCATAAAGAAACGTTAAGCACTTTTGTAGGGAAACTTGTTTCTGAAATAACTGAATCTAATCTTAGGAGTATGGTATTTGATTGAAATGTACTAATCAACGTGATTATACCTCAATCTCTCATACAGGGTAGTAAAAAAGAACGGTTGAAAAATTTGAAAATATTTATTAAACTAGATAAAAGAATGTTTATTCAACGTAAATTTTTTGGAAATAAACAAGCAATTGTTGCTTAATGCAAGCTACTTGTCTTGTACTGATACAAGCAGACGCGGAAATAAAAAGATCATTTATGTTATCGTTATCCAATCCATACACTGATCATGTTTTTTGTGATTTAACTAATATCAAAAACATTCAAATTTTTAAGCCGCTCTTTTGCAATTCTATTTTATCTCGTCGAAAGTTCGTTATCGAAGTGACAATCGCAATACTTTCATTCTTGCCACTTGCCAGAGACGCGACAGGATTTCGAGATGGACGATCGTGGCTCGAAAAGCTCTAAAAAAAACTTCAAAGCTCTAGAAGATCTCTCTCTCTCTCTCTCTCTCTCGTGGAACTTACATCGATTGCTGGTAGTGGAGATGCCTCAGATTGCCCTCCCCGGACTTGCTCATGTCGCCGGCCGTGTTCCTGTAAAACAAGAAAATTTACTTACGGGATCCGCAGAAGGCCCCGCGGTGGTCGATTTCGCGAACGATTTCCTAACCCCTAGCCGGCGGTGCCGCTCATTACGAGGGACCGCTCTACCTCACCTCTCGGGCATAAATGCCGCCGTTTTTCCACCGTGCCGCTCGTTCGGGATTGAATGGGATCAGCCGAGCAGCCGCGCGCTCATCACCGGCACCGTTCCACCGCCCGTCGCAGCGATCTCGGGCACGCACACGCGGGACCAATTCGCTAAATTCCAACGAAAGTGAAACGTCAGGCAGCCATCACCCACTTGTCAGAACGTACACGAGCGTGAGCGCCGCGAGCGCGGAGTGAACGTCAGTGCGGGCAATCTCCGCCGAGGTCAGTGTTGTTTAAGTTGTGTAGGGTTGCAGCGAAGTCGCCTATTGCGCATGCGCGCCGCAATACTAGAGAAATCTAGTAGTGTAGAAACTGTAGAAGCAGAGAGAACGCTTTTCTCTCTCTCTCTGACTGTATATATTATTTATGTAATTATATAAATGATATATATTATGTACTTACTATTCGCGTTTAAAGTAAAATTAAATTAGAATGTTCCTCCAAGTGAAACTTAAAAATAATCGCTATCTAATCGAGCGAAATGTGATCAACAATTTAAGTTTATTCGAGCTGTTTTTATTTCTTAACGTATATGGTACCTATATATATTATTAATTTTAATAACAGCGTTTCTAAAGCCGTTCGAACCCTAAGAAATTGACCAGCCGATTATGCCTCCCAAATTCAACTATGATTGGTTAATTTATTCTTACAGCTCAAATTTAATTCTCGATGTAATGTGAACAGGACCAGAGTGATATTGCGTTCCCTCTGACAGGACAGAATTGCTTGAATTTTACGGTGACAGTGGTACGTCGTTTTGTCGAAGGTATGTGCAAAAACCCAATCGAAGCGTATAGAAAAAATATCAACAAATTTTCTGGAAATGTTCCAATGTGTATATTGCATCACTATATATATTTGCATCCGTTTTTCGTACGGCGTCTTCCCTTGATTGAGACTGCATTCATGCAGTATTTCGATAAGAGCAATAATGTTAAAATCTGCACTGCCTCCGAATTCAAATAATAACATTGCTCTTATGGAAACACTGCGCGAGTGCAATCTCAAAGGAAAACACCAGTAGTATCGCATTAATATATTACAAAATTATATGTATTATTATATGGAAAGGTATAATAATGGTTTGAAATTCGAGGTCGTCTTTATAGTGTTCAAGCATGAAATCTGCTGCGCTTGTTTAAATTCGTGTTAAATTCTATCTGTAAGATAAATAAAATATTGATATAATTTGACACTATTATATATAAAATATTAAGAAAGTATAACTATATATATTAATAAGATTATGTATCAATAAGTCTCAAGGTTATAATTTTTTATCTAACAATTATAGTTAGATTTTATCGAACAAAATTTATTTGCAAATGCTTTCAGTAACATATATATATATATATATATTTGTGTGGAATATATCAACAAGAAACCATACAATTCAATAAATGCATTGATTATTATTGATTAATTAATTAAATGCAATAATTAATATATTATTTAAAAATAACAATAACATAATTTTTTAACAATAACAAAAAAGTAAGAATAAACATTATCGTAAGAGTAATCATTATCGTGTTATAGTCTATAGATCAGTCAATTAAATAGTGTGACTTTTTATATTAATTTATAATAAATACTGTATAACAGATATAAATGTTTATCTGTGGGGGTGTACAACAAAAATTGACTTTATGCCGATCTTTAAATATTCATCACATTAATGTGGTCCTTGTTTTACAATCCGGAAGATTATGTTGTTGCCATCTGTGCCAGCCAGAATATAATGACGGTTTGCATAGTAGAATGGCATCATCGTTTGTAAGCCGTTTACGACGTGTTGCATTTTCATTTGGAATTTCTGAAAATATAATTGCGGTTACGCGTACGATAGTTAATCTTAAAATTATTTCGTATCATTGCATTTTGTAAGAAATTTTCTGATAATAGAGAGATAGAGAGAGAAAGAGATTGAAGGAGAGAGAATTTATTCCTTTTGTTTCTGAATAAGACAGAGAAAGATAGTATAGATTTTTACCCCGGCAAACATATATTCGTAAATATAAAATTGTCCACTCTGCGTCGTAATAATCACAAACACATCGCTATTGCCAAAATCTGCAGGAGAAAATAAAATTTATATACGTTATCACATCATTAAATCATGGCAAAAATCTCAATCGTAATAATAATCATAAATTGCAAATTGCGATGCTTTGCAGAAACGTGATGTAAATATATGTCTTCTAATTATATTAATTTATTATTTTCGATAATCATACGTACCATCAGTGTAGAAGTACTCAATCCCGTTAATCTGATGCATATGAAAAATGCTTTGATAACTATAAAAATTTCGAGATTCGGGGTCGTATTTGTAAATGTTCACGGCGTTCGTATCAGGATTATCTAGCAAAATGAAATAATCCTTTTCCTGCGACAGACTTTTTACGTAACGGCTTCTGCTTGCGAACGTCCTCAGCTGTTCGAACTGCATTCGAAGAGATAGAAAAGTTTTTATTTTACAAGAAAAGATGAAATTAATTTTTGTTTTAAGTATTTTAATTAAATTTATATTTTATATGATTTTTATATTGTATATATTTATAGTTTTAAAATACTTTCATGTTTTATAAAGGGTTGTAAAATCGTTCTATCATGATTATTGATAATTATTGTACCTTTTGTGTTATTGGATCGAATTTGTACAATGAAGATTTTGAGGATTCGCCGAAACAGCCGATGAGGAGAAATATTTCGTGATGCTCGATCTTGAAGATCTGGATGGCCCAAGCACCATCCGTAGGAATTTCTTGAACTAATTCTGGACTGGCTGTGTTTCTCAGCGAATGAACTCTATAAACCAAGGAATTTGTCTGATGCGTTGCGCGTGCTTTATCGTAATATATCGCCAGAACTACGTATACATTGCCTGCAAATTAAACATTACAATAATTTTTGGGAATCTCATTAACGCATTATCCGAACATTTTTTAATTTTAATGACAAATTCTTTAGCGTGTCGCGTTTACCGTCGTGCTTAAAAATCTTGGCGTCTTTCAAGTATCCTGTTATATTACGAAAAACGTATTCGCGATGCATTTCAAGATTTTTGGACCACGTCACGGAAATCACTGTGTGCTCTGGCTTGGTTCCTATTTGGATGCATTCTTTGCTGCTTGAGACAGTAGTCGTTATGAGGTTTACGTCGAACATCTCGTCCGGATCGTGAAAATTCTTCACGATCTTCCAATTCACTTGCCACTTTCGCATTTCTTCAGTTCTGTTTGCGCCGGCCTTATTAACGAGTTCAACCACAGACTGACGCGTACACGAACAGTTGTTTAACATCAGCCAGCAAACTCTTCCGGGTTGCTCGCTGTACATGTTCAATCTGATCGTGCTCTCATTGAAATACACTACGTCGATCTTACTGACGTTGGTTCCGGGTACCTCCAGATCCTCTTCCTCCTCAAGATAGAGAAAGACATTGCGCAGAGTTTCGGATATCATCGAGCTACGTTCGATGTTATGCTCGATTATTTGCCAATGTTTCTCCAAGCTCTCAAGAGTTTCATTTATCTGCTCTTCTGAATTGTTGTCGATAGAATTCAGATCCACGTTGTTCACCAAACCGGAAGTACTTAAATTTTGGATCCGAACGTCCGCCTTGAAAATCTGGTGGAAGAGATAATTAAAGAAATGTGAGCCATGCATAAATTACAAATGCAATACAAATTTTTTTAAGGAATAGTTTCTTTTCGATGCATATATAAATTTTTGTTGAACATCACGAAGATAAAAGATTTTAAATTACAGCATTAAAATCAATTCAAGCCATGGCAATTTGAGGCAAATACTTATAAAATATTCAAGCCAATTTTGACATTTAAGAATTAAAGTTAACGCTTATTATTTAATGCTGTAATTTAAAATCTTTTATCTTTGCAGATTTTTCTTTTATCTCATAGAATTTTAATGATTTTTTTTTAAATATTGTACTAACAAGATCACCAAAGATATCGACATCTTCGTCAGTGTTTTGTACACCGTTGTTATATTCTTTCATTATATCGATATTGTTAATTCGTGGGGCAACAACGTCTCCATCGACTATTAAATCTTCTTTGAAAGTCTTTATGCCATTTATGATTTGCACCTCGTCAACATCGTTTAGGACGAAATCAGATGGATCAATCCCATTAATTTTGCCTATTTTCGCATTGCCTAAAACACGGCGAATAAGAAAATGTCAGATTTTTCCTAAATGATTCTACAAATAAAACTGTAGTCAAAACTTTCATTTTTTTTTTTCTTAAAAGGACGAAAACAATTTTGTCGCAAACTCGTGAAATAATAAGTTCTGTGAAGATTGTCATGTTTTTTTTCGACATTTTTTAAATTCAAATAAAAGACGATGTCATCGAATTATTTTAAATAAATTTAATTCAGATAATTGTTGCCAATCATTTACCTGTTACTGTAACGATACCATTAAATCTCACGTCGCACGAGATGTCGTGATCTCCGCTGAGGGTGACACGATTCTTTACAAACTTGTCGAAGTCTATCGTGTCCAAATTTTGCAGATTCACATCGCCTAGCACCTCAAGTTCCTCGAAGTGGATATCCGGGATAACTTCGTCAATACGGATCGCCGCGTTGACAGACGCGTTGAGATCGGCGTCGTTCACATAAAGCTTCTCCACCGTAACGTCCGCGAGGAACGTCAACGGACCCATAATCGTTTCTTCGCGATTTTGCCTAACGACAGAATCATTGAACTCGAGGATATTCACGTCGTTGATCTTGGCAATACCCAGATCGCCGTTCACCGTCAAACTGTCCGCGATGAAGTCTTCCTCGAAGTACTTCGTTCCGTTGATCTCGATGCGTTCTCCATAGTCGATCACAGCGTCCGATATTACATCTTCAATTTCCTTGATTTCTTTGTAATTACCGCTGACCGCCCACGCGCGAACGTCCTTCGCAAAGATCGCTTTTCCCGTAATAACTTGATTCGTATCTTTGGTCACGGCGTTATTTAACAGATAAGAGATGGAGTGAGGACTGGTCGATGGCGTCTCCCAGGAAATATTTCCGTGCACTTCCAATAGATCGATATTTCTTGCGGGAATGTACAACAAGCTATCGTATAACTACAAAACAAAACGAAAAAAACAGATTATTTTTCTTGCAAAATATCGACTAAAAGAATGATAAGATTGTATGATAAAGTTAGTGGTTGTGTATCGAAGGTATTAATTAATTTTTGATTAAAAGTATATATATATATACCTATATATATATATATATATATATATATGTATATATGTATATATAAGTTTTAAATACAGCATTTATATATAATAAATGTAGCTTTAAAGATATTTTAGCAATTTTTAAAATAATTTTAAATAATTTTTGTGATACTTAAAAATAAACGAAAAAATGTTTTAAAGACATCTTAAATAATTTCTATCTAATAATTATACTTAATTAGATTTTCTATATCCTCGCTTTAGATATACTTCAAGATTATAATTCAGGAGAAAACCACGAATTCCTAATTCACGATTAACATTCGTTAAATTAATCGATATGACAAGTTAGATCAAGGTATTAAGATAATTTTTTTGCTTTTACTACCTCGCATACATTGCGTCCATTCATCTTTAGTATATTCACGTCGCCCTTGACGAATAGATCGGTGAACGTTACGTTTTCCGTGATTGTCAGAGGCCCGTCCACCCACATCAGCTGTGAAGCGTTTCGTTTATTAATGAAATCCGTAATTGTGACGTTGTCGGAGGTGACGACGTGAGCAGAAAAGTTTCCTGTTATCGTTTGCTCCTTCGATTTCGAGAGAATACTAGCGGTCCAATCGTTAAAGTTCCGTCCATGAAGAGATTTCAGCGTTATATTCTGAACGACCAAGTGCTCGATTTTCCTCTTCGATTTTATCTCGATGTCACTCCATGAATTCCACAGATCTTCCAAGAAGCTGTCGACCGATCGCCCGTCCACTTGATCGACTATCAGATTCTCCACCGTTAAGTCACCGTCGACGACGATTTCATTCGGATCGTAATTCGCCATATTCCTCAATTGCGTCAGATTCATCTCGATCCCGTTCAATCTCTCCACTTCCAGGTTACGTACGTGGAACTCTGGCACCTTCAGGAATGCCAGTTGATGATCGTCGTCGACGTGAAGCCCGTCCTCGAAGATGACCTCGCGATGATTGAGAAGACGAACGTCGAGATTGTCGACGAGCACGCGACGCGCTTGAACAGTTGGAAATTCCACGGTTCCCGATGAGAAATTCACAGGCCTCTCGTTCATGATGTCGTCCACCCTGATGCCATTGAAAGTCAGAGTAAGGATATCTTTCGCTCGGAGAGTTTGCACGTGTAACATCTCTCGGATCGTTATTGAATTTGGTTCAACTTCGAAGAAACTGCTTTTGCCCTCGTTCTCGTTGGAAAATTGTTCGACGTGGAAGTCCTCGAAGCGCAGATTACTGAAATCGCTTGGTATCTCCTCCATTGTGGTATACAGAAAGTCACTTTCCGCAAAACCGTTGAGATATTTCGTATCGAGTTTGTCGATGGTGATGCCGGCCTCCAGGGTGATCTTTTCCGTGATCGTCTGATCGGTGGATTTTGTCCAGTGTCGATCAAACATGTCGCTCACGTTTACCGGGACATCCTCCACAAAGAGTTCCGCTGCGTTCTCGACCTTGATATTCTGAATGTGCAGATCACCCAGAATCGTGACGTTTTGATAGATCTGAAGCCGCTCGTCGGGTATTTTTATCATAGAGTCGTTCATGTCGATCACGAGTTCCTCGATGACGTTAAGTTTCGCCAGTTTTAATTTGCCTTCAAGAAATTAAAATACATGAACATATGGAATATAATATTATATTGATATCGCGGTAAAGAAAAATTTTTGAGGAAAAGTTGATTTGAAAATTATTCTAACGCATACTTAGATTATTTTAGTGAATTAAATAATTGCCCTTGTATTATATTGTTATATTAATAATATATTGTTAGTTATATCATTTATAATTATTAATTATTAAAATTATAATCGTTGTAAACTGTTACAATTGACAGGTCAAACTGACTAAAGAATTACCCTTAATAACGTTCTCGCGTGACTTTCGCGCGGCTTCTTCAACTGGCACCCCATTAATCGTTTCCGCGTACAGATTTTCAATGTGCAACGTTTCCACATAGAGATCATCGAAGCTCTGATTTGTCATTGTTGTCATGAGTTTATCGGCGGGAACACCGTTCACCATCCGCGCCGTAAGGTTCGTAACTTGCAGCGAGTTCTCATACGTAATTGTACCTGTGATAAAATATGTACCATGAAAATGCAACTAACTATTGATTTAATTGAAACCTGTCACCAATCGTTTTTTCATCGATTTTTGCACGGTTAAAGACAGTTAAGAATAATAAACTTATTACTCAACCTTTGATATTCTGGTTGCGGTTAATGATGAACAAGTCATCGATCAACTGATCGATGATTATTCCGTTCAGGCTTTTAATCTTCAACTTCGGTACTGTTAAATCGGAACTCACTATAACGGTGTCGTTTGTATACTCGAAGGAGCTGTTTGCAATGGCAGACGCGATCCCTTCGTCACTTCGTAACAGCCAATCTGTAGAGGCATCACTTGTACAAATCGATATGCATAAAAAGATATACGATAGAACTCGACATTTATTCGAACATGTCGGGAGAAAAAACAGTTCCCGCGATAACCGGGATGATTATAAAATTTCGATAATAAAACCTCAGTTATGAGTTCATATATTTGGAACTAACAATGAGCACAAACTTGTTTGTACAAATGGAATGCGGATAAACAAAATTTTAATACCGTATCGCATTGCAGAAGCTACGTGCAGTTTTTATCAAACTTACGTTCGGGCGCTATTCCACAGAGAGACTCAACTTCGAGATTGTGTACAATGAGATTTTTCGTGCGTAACGGATGCGTGAAGTGTTGTTCACCCTCTGGGAGGATCGTCTTTCCCGATTGCATGTCCACGTCGTTGACGAAATTCACGTGCATTTGGTCGATCTCCAATTCCTCCAAATGTAGATCGTTAGCTACAATCTTTTCCTTCAACATATCCGCAATCTCCCTCGTCTCTTGCTGCGTCTTTGACTGTTTTGCCTGAACGGCGTCGTGGACACTGCGCTCGAGCTCGTCCAGAGCTTTCGCAATCTGATGAGGTGGCAGGATGTCCTCTTCGGTCGCAATCTCTATGGTGTCAACCATGCCGGATCGCAAGGTCAAACTGTCGAAATTCACTGGTTCTGAGACTGTCAAATTTTCCGCAGCTGGTAAGAGAAACTTCCAGGACGCTTCAGCTTCTTTTACGGCCGGCATTCTCGCTTGTAGTGTTTCAATCAGATCCGATAAGCATTTTCTTGTTGCATCGGTATCTTCCACGTTGCTATCTAAAATAGAAGTTTTATTTTGAATTTTTTGAAATTCATCAGGCTTGATACGATTTCATTGATATGAAAAAAAAATACTTATAAAACATCTAACTTGACATTATATATATAAATGCAAAAGAATTAATAAGAGAAATTTGAAAATGTTTCGTAGACAATATATATATACGTATATATAGTTCTACATGTTCCACAGAAAATTCATCATTCTTATTAATAAAGATTATTAATATTCTTATAATAAAAAAAAGTAATACAATAACGAGATAATAATATATGTACGATTCTTTTTAAAATAGTCGCTCCTTCATGATGAATGAAAAAGTAATCAATAATAATTATTTACCTATTGATACCGAAGTCATCTCAGCCTCCCATTGTTCCACCCAATATATGTTCTTTTCATCCACAAGGATCAATGTTACATTCATCATATGTTCGTTCAACGAGACCGTCATATCGACTATCTTCTGATTATCCTTAAAACGTTTAATATTCTCGCTCTTCCACTCGGACGTACTATGAAATTTGTACAGCTGGACGACATTCTGTAAAAATCATTTGTCGCATTATTACCATATCACACTTCAATTGTTCAGTTTACTTTAATATGGAGCGATTTTGTGCTCACATCGTGCGCCACAACTACGAAAGTATCGCCGTCCATGTGAAAAATTCTTATCAGGCTATACGGTTTGATGTCGGGAAGGCTGAACCAATCCAGCAATTCTCCCCCTGAAAACAGTACATTTCAGGAAATGAACTACTCAAAAGAGAGAGAAAAAAAGAAAAAATAAAATAAGGAGAGCGACTTTATCGAATGCACCAACCATCCCAGCAGAGCACGTCGCTCGGTCCTAAGTCATTTATCATCAGGATGAAGTTGAAGTCTCCGTGGACATAGTGATGCACCGACGTGGGACGTGCGGTAGACAGGAACTGTATTCTCTCGATATTGTTATCCTTGAACTCGTACACGTCGGAACCGATCCACGGGTTTGCGGTGTAGCTCTGGGCGAACACGATGATCGCCGATTGCTGGTGCATGAACGCGGTGACCGATATCGCGCCAGTCGTCGTCACTTCGCGGACGATATCCATGTACGTGCCGGACCATCGGTAGATCCTGCAATTTAATGGGACTGTGAGAAAGGTAAAAATTAAAATAAAAAAAGGAATATTTATCGATGCATTTGCTTTTACCGTATATTTCAGGAAGTTTATTTAAATTTATTATTAATCTGTCTATCTCAAAGATAAGCTGATGAAACTCACACGGACGGTATGGGAAATTTGTCGGCGTTGTTAGCGATGATCAGATAGAGTTGAGAGGCTTGTGCGAAAAATTTAGCGTCTACGGGGATTCCTTTGTATCCTATGTATCCTATGGTGTGGCGAAACCGCAACGGGTGATTCGATTTTGCCGTGTAAAGTCTGCACAGACCGTGATCGTAACACACTAGCAGGTAGTTGGTGTCCTCCCATACGGTGCTCTGCGATATATCATAATCGGCGTAATTCGTTTACAATGATTTGTAAGTAAAATTAATTATTATATACATATCAAAAAATGCTATATATAAAAATATTTATATTGCAATATATAATATATTTTATAATACATAATTTCATAATATTAAATTTTATGATACATTTTATATTATATTTTATAATATAATATAAAAAATAGAGTTTTATATTATCAGAGCAATATTTTCTATGAGAGACTTTCGAAGATCGAGATTATTGATGTCATTAGAGAGGTGATTTGTGTACCCTGACAAACTTAACGACGGACTCGTCTTTGATCCGATAAATTTCGCGTAACGTGTCATAAGTCTCATTCCAGGATGTTACGTTGAGAGAGGGTAACATCATGCGATTGCCGTCGAGGACGAATACCCCATCGAACATATCGATTGTGAACGGCTGATGATCGCTCGTTATAGGTACCCGCCATGATCTGTCCCAGTGTACTCTGTACGATTTTTCTTGCACTGTAAACAAAATGTTTGCTACCTTATCTCTCGATAAAAAAATATATATTTCTATCCGAGATCTAAATATATTATTATTATATTTATTATATAATATTTAATTGGCAAAAAAAATTGGAAACTATCGAACTCTTAACACGATCAGTTTGGAGATATTCTTTCGAAAGAAAAAAAGATATATGTAATATTTGTCGTTAAAATAATAATATAGACTTACCCGGCGAAGTCTCTTGGATGTGAATCTTGATGAATTCTATCTTGGACTGCCGTAGTTTTTCGTTCAGATATTCGTTCAGATCTGTTGCGTACACGGAAAGTAACAGTAGAGAGACATAACTCGCCAGCTGTAATATCACAGATATTAGAATCGAAGAAACGTAATTGTGTTTTAACGGCGATTCGTTTGCATTTACACCGGAAATAATAACAGTACTCACGAATAGTAAGAGGTGTTTCATGGTTTTGTGATTTTGATAACGGATACCGCCGCCGTATACCGAATCCGTTCACGGCAAAGGCCGCGCGAACATTAAGAAATTTTCGGAAACAGTTCGTATGATATTCGGGTGACCTTCTTCATGCCTCGCGCGTATGAGAATAAGCGAGTACGAATATACGGTAAATGTAAATAGACGTGTATTCGTGGAATCAATATTATGAAGCACGGGAATATAAATATGAATGTATTCCCATTTTGAATTTAACAACACGTATAGCATCTTGCGAGCAAGGTAGAAGATAACGTGTGTTACATAAAGAAACAAGTGCAATCATCATGTATTTTAATTATTTTTCGGAAATTGAAATAAATTAACAAATATAATACAAAATAAGATAAGAATTTTTTATAAAATTTGTGACAATCTGCTTTCAAAAAGGAGCATAAAGAATTTTAAGATGTATATCTCGCGCATAAAATTAAACTCAAACTAATAAAAAATATTATGATTCAAGTAATTTGAAAAGGAGCATAAAGAATTTTAAGATGTATATCTAGCGCATAAAATTAAACTCAAATTAATAAAAAAATATTATGATTCAAGTAATTTGAAGTAAAGAATATGCAATATATATATATTGGCGTATGCATGTTCGTGCATATCTCGGCCAAATCCATCGATATTCTGTACAGTGTTTATTACAAGTTTTATTGGAGAACAAATATTTGATACAAGACCTAGTTTGATATTATATATAATATATTATATTGCAAATTCGAATTTGAAAGATTCAGAATAAACTAAAAACTAAATTTTTACAATGTATCATGTTAATAATGCCAAATAAGTGTAATATTATATTGACGTACCACGTTCCAGACTTAAAACTTTTTTATATACTGTTGACAATTTCCTCATTAAATCATGTAAAAATTTCAGATAAAAATAAAATTCTAGATTTAGCAATTTCCTATTACATAACAAGGTACACGTGATAAAATCTATTATAAATTTTGTCAATAAAACAGGCTACAAATTTTATTTTAATCCTATATTTTATAGGATTTGATATATTTAATTATTGTCGTATAAGAAGAATTGTTCTGTAATTGCTGTTGCAGAATGCAGCAGAAATACAGAAGCAGAAAAGGGAATTTATTATATCTGCTTCTTTTAATACTAGCTGATACCAATAAGTTGGACACATAGATCTCACTCTGTATTACGAAAAGAAGAAAAAGAAAAAGAAAAAGAAGATAACGTATTTGTTACACAGACGTAGATTATTATCAGAAATAGATTAAAATTTACTAAATGCAAATTTAATTCTTTCTGCCGTTAGTCTGCTGTCATGTTGTACCAGCAAGCTCTCGGCCAGCAAGATATAAATTTAATGCGGATACGCCAATTAACATCAATAATTATTTGTTAGCAATTACCAATTGAATGCTGCTAATCCACTGGCGTATTACGTAAATAATTTGCTTACTGGGCATATCTGCATTCGGCGCGTGAATCTTTAGATATAAACTGTGTTTCAAAATTCACTGCTACATAATTATGTTAGGGCCTATCCAGACAAACTTGCATAACTAATGCATATAATCATATGCATAAAGAAAATTATCCAATCGCATTTTTATAATAAAAACGAATGCAAAGTGCGATTGGATAATTTTCTTTGTGTATATGATTATGCAGCTAATGCAAATTTGTCTGGATAAGCTTTTACTTTACATTACGTGCGCTATAGATTCTCAACATTGGCAGTCAATTTTGGAACACAGTTTACATAGAGAAGATATAAAAAACAAGTTTGATATAGATTTTGCTTTTGCGCTGCGATACGATTATTATTTTCATTATTTTAATTCTGCGTTACATTCGCTTCGATTCAGAGGAAAATGGATAAAGCAATATTATTTCAATCGCAGCCATATTAAATGCATGTCGGTAGTCTTGCGGGAAACATCGAAGGCAAAATAGATGTTATATATAAAAAACAGATTCTCATTTTTTAGACTGATCATAAAGCATCGATAGAAGAGAAAATTTGTATTTCTTTTTAATTTGCTTAATTAATAATTGCAAGTAGGATAGTGTTTACGGTTCGTTTGTTCCTACATTTTCTGACATTTTTGTACTTAAAATAAAATAGATACATTTCTCACGTTTTGAATTGCAAACTAGAAAGAAAAGAAAGATCATGAAAATGATCGTGAAAACAAACTGCAATGTAAAAACAAAATGACACGGAATAACTTATGTAGAACGCAGCAAGAATTCCATTGGGTTTGAATGCATTTGAATTTGCCTTCGATCAAAACAAAATAATTAAGCAAGACATATATACGTTTCATTCTCTTAACCCTCCAACTTTTAGTGTTTAAGATGATTTTATCGCGCGAGTTCCAGTGACAAAAGTTAGAGTTCCTCCATATGTTTAATAATTCTATAAAAATATTTCGCAAAAGACTCTATATATACATACGCGGTTATGTGACAATTACGTCACGCTATCGAGTTGACGTCGAGCGACAAAATCATCTTAATCACCAGAATAATATAAATCCGACGATAAGAAATATTCTTCGACGAGCAGCGTAAAGAATGCTTTTTCAAAAATCAAAAGCGATTTAAATTTCCGCGCTTGCGCGCGCTAGGGGAACGGTGCCGCGGTCACCAGCGCGTTTCGAACGCTACGCACGGTGGCGCGCATGCGCACTGGCCCAGCGGCGAGCGGCGTCGCGCGCTCCGATTGGCCGGGCGGTCGGTGCGCGATCAGTGCGATGCGACGCGGCGACGAACGGCGAATCGCGGGCGCGGTCTCGAACGCGGCAGTGGCCTGTACTTGACTACTTCGGGTGAACCGTCGACGGTCCGGACCACTGTGCCACTGTGCCGCCGTGCAAGTGCGCGCCGCCGCGTTCCGTTACCGAAGCGGAGATCGGAACGGTCGGATTGTCTCTCCTGTCTCCTGGCGCCGGTCTCTCCTCGGATCTTTCCTACCTCCCTCCCTCCCTCCCGCCCTCCCTTCCCCCGGTCCGTGTCGTCCGCGCCGAGTCTCGTCCGGTTTTCGTTTTCGTTTTCATCCGAGACGACGAGCGCCGGAGTTCCCGTCCGTCGCCGCGGGTACTCGCGGACGCCGGCGCGCCGGGAACGCGACGCCGCGAGAACGCGGCAGCGCGCAGCTGCGTGTGCGACCCGCCGAGAGAGAGAGAGAGAGAGATACGCGAGAGTAGAGTACACGCGCGCGCTCGCGCGTGCCACATATAAACGCGTGCGCTTGTAAAGTGCGTGCGTGCGTGCGTGCGTGAGTGAGTTGGGTATGTGTACGCGTGCATGGGCGCGCGCGCGCGACAGTGAGTGAGTGAGTGAGTGATTCGAGACCGTCGTCGGGCGCTCGCGTTCCGTGTATATGTGAGCGCGACCGCGTGCGGGCGGTTCCCACACTACGTGCAACAAGTGTCAGGAGGCGACGGCGGCGGCGGCGGTGACGGTGTTTGGTAGCGGTCGTTGGAACTGTGCGGTGCTGTACACGGAATAACGTGCGTATGCGCGCATGGTGCTGCTGTTGCTGGTGCATCGGTGGTGCGTGCGACAGGATTTGCTCGATCGACGGATCGGCACCCATCAATCGTCTGCAGTTTCGTTATCGTCACGACCCATCGTCACGACGACGTGCTGAGAAGGAGACCGTCACCGGCGAGGGCGCGGGGATGGGCTGCGCCGTGAGCACCACCGGCGAGAAGGAGGCCGCCGAGCGATCCAAGAAGATCGACAAGGACCTCCGCGCTGATGGCGAGCGCGCCGCCAGCGAGGTCAAGCTCCTGCTGCTCGGTAAATGCCCCGCTTCTCGTATACCTATACGATAACCCTCCTCCCCCCCCGGTATTCTCTCGAATTGTATAATGTATTCCTCCTCGCGGGTCCACCGCGAATGTCCTCCGCGTAGCTAACGTGCGCGAGCGCGTAACAATTAGTTCCCGAAACACAATAGATGTGTAGTAATAAGCCCTTAAGCCATAAGAAATTGACCAATCGTAATCCATTATTCTCTTCAAATTCAATTGCGATTGGTCCATTTTTTACGGCTTACAACACTTATTGTGTTTCGGGACTTGGGATATGTATCGTATCGTGACGAGAACTTCCGGCCGCGCTTCCACCGATCGTCGTCACTCCGGGTCCTCGCGGATTTTCGGTGGATCCGGTCGTCTCCGCGGAGGACGACGGAGTAGACTTGCATCCCCTGCTCCTATCATTCGACGGCGCGCCTATACACCGATCTCTTTCTCCCTTCGTTCCTTCTCTCTTCCTCCGTCCCTCTTTCCGTCTCGTAACGTCGTCTTGTCTCGTATCGCGCGTGTATCGGACACACACCACGCACCCGCCGTACGCTCCCAAAGGCGCCGCGTTAGCTGCATCATGCAGAATCACGCCTGCTTCGAGCGCGCTGCTGCGCTTCCGCGCTTCTTCCTCCCTGGAATTACGAAACGCTATTAGGAGGAGTATTATTATTAGATCCTATTTAGCGTTTCGTCATCGTTCCCCGATATACTGCGACGTATTATCCTCAAGAGAAGACATGGTGTTTTCAAGAAAATGAAGTCGTAACATATGACTTTCCGCAGATAATGTCAATATACCGATTCATTAACAACCGGTCGTAATCATATAAGGCTGCGTTCCAAAAACTTTACTCGGGTATAACTTTAATCTACAGTTTACGTGATGTAAGCTATAGAGTTTTGGTTAATCGAGTGAAGTTTTGAAACGTGGCCCAAGAGGATCGGATCCGCGAAGAGCCGCGATCGATCTATCGGTGGGATTTCATCTCTTCCAATCCCGCGTGGATCCGCTCGCTTTCGGTTCCTTGCCTTGGAGACATTTTCTCCTCTTTCTCCTTTCAGAGTCTCCCGGAGAGATCCTTTGGATAAGGTGAAAAGAGAGAATCGCGCCGAGAATGAAGCTTCCTTAGCGATTTCCTTCCCATTTCTCCCTGGAATTTTACGTATAGTCTACGAGTAGAGAGCGGAGCCAGCATGAGCTCTACAGGTGTCAGGGAGCAAGAGAAGGAACTTGAAACGCAGCGGTTGACGTTGCGCTGCGTCTAATCCACGGGCGACGACGAGGCGCCTTTCCTATGCGTCTCGCGACACGGCGCCTTTCGGTTAACGCGCTCTCGATCGCGCGAACGACGGGCGTCCCTCTTTCTTCGCGAGGCGCTTCCCGCGGTGACGTGCGCGTGTATCACGTTTCGCGTTCCTTCTGTACGGTAGAGCATAGACACACGGCCACGAAATTGCGGTACGCCGCACCGTATGCTTTAATCGCGGTCCCGTTCTCTCGTCCGCCGAAAAAACCGCGAGCTGTTTGCTGCCATGTGAATTCTCTTAAAAAAAAAAATACATTTCTGTTTCCTTTTAATAATAGAATTTAATAATAGGAACGTCCTTTTAATAATAGAATTAGTTACATATATTTATTTATCCTACACGGAAAGAATTTCCTTTTAAAATTTATCCTTGTAAAAATCATGTTAATCGTGCGAACAGCATAATATTTCGATAAACTTTACTCTGTGCGCTACAATAAATTTGTTGTAGTATATATTAAAAAAAAAAAATAGTGAAAATTACATAAAATTTGTCGAAATACTATGTTGTCCTACGATTAACATGATTTTCAAGGTAAATTTTAAAATAGAGTTCTCTCCGTGTACTTTTCGATACATTGAAGGATTGAAAATTAATCTCACGCACAGATATATCTGATCAAGAAGTAGAATGGATTTGATTCATTCAAATTGAAGAGCTGGAGTTCGAAAATTGCACGCCGAAAAAATGAATCATTCATTTCCGAATGATTCATTCCTCGGCAAACTCATATCTTTAGGATTTGTGAATTAAATATTTTCCTCCACGTGCGTCCGGTATTGCTACAAAAAGTACTATATTTAATTATGCGAAATTACTTCGATATCTATTATTCGTTATTATCGCCAAACATCGGACGAGTAATATCGATAGTAATATTAAACAACTGGTATTGTTTACAATTGTCTACGTATACGAAAATGTTCGAAACTCTTGACCGAGATAGCGCGATGTGCAGTCGCGGATGTAGAACGTGTGCACATTATTACGGGAAACTTGAATCATCGGCCGCGTGTGAATCACGATATTACGTCTCTCCGAGATCGCACGGAGTTATCTTCGTCTCGCTTATAGGGAAAAAAAAAACAATATTCTTCCTGGGAGGGAAAAACGGAAGAGTACTGAACAACCGCGATGATTGGCGGGACCGATCAATCGGACGAAACTCATCGGCGAAAGCGCGGATGATTAATCGGTTAATTGGATTCATTACGTATCCGGCGAAGTCTCGAGTGTGAGAGTTTATTTGCATAGACTCGCATTGATTCGAAAATAGCCTGCAAATCATTACGTTAAATGAATTGCGGCGGTAACAATGCATAGTATGCGATTTTATTGTATCAAGGAAAACTCGCGAACTTCTCGAACTCATCAAAATGAAATGATCGAGCGGTGATACTGCATTTACATTCGATACTGTTCGATATAATAGTATTTAGTACAAGTTCAGTACAATTATATATATAAAATCACTGAACTTATTCATTAAATCCTTGTGTTTGTATTGTTTTACGTGTTTTATACAATTTGCATATCTGAAATTTAAGGTGCTGGGGAGTCCGGCAAGTCCACGATAGTGAAGCAAATGAAAATCATTCACGAGACCGGTTACAGTAAAGAGGAATGCGAGCAATACACCCCAGTGGTATACAGCAACACAATACAAAGTCTAATGACGATAATCAGGGCCATGGGGGACCTTAGAATCGACTTTGCTGAGCCTACCAAGGCGGTAAGTCCGTCGAAACCTTCTGTTAGATCGTTACGAAATATTCATCATTTTCAAAAAGGATTGAATGTGATAATTCGAGTTATGTTTTTTTTCTCTTTTATTTTAAGATAGTCGTCATTATTGTGAATATATTTTTCGTTTAGAAAATAGCTGCTTTCGATTTCATTATGTAAAAAGTAATTTATTCGAAAGAGTAGCTTTTTTATTTACAAAATTTGTGATGACGACAAGACACGTCTAATGACATCATGCATTATTAACTGCACCCTTCGCTAACTTTCTCGTGTCCCACTGGCACATTAGATAATCGACCTTGTTTTGCGTTGTAGGATATGGCGCGACAATTTTTCACCCTAGCATCGGCGGCGGAGGAGGGCGAGCTGACCGGGGAACTAGTGCTATTAATGAAGCGATTATGGCAGGACCCGGGACTGCAGCGCTGTTTTGCGCGTAGCAGGGAATACCAGCTCAACGACTCGGCAGCGTACTACCTTAACGCACTTGACCGTATAACGCAACACAATTACATCCCGACGCAGCAGGATGTTCTGCGAACGCGCGTCAAAACCACCGGAATCGTGGAGACACATTTCTCTTTCAAGGGCTTACACTTTAAGTACGATGCATATCTTACATATCTAAAGATATTTATTTTAATCAAATTATAATATTGAATAAATTATCCCTAAGTACGCGTCGTAAGAAATATTTTAATATACACACATGAAGCCATTGTTTATGTAAATAAGCTATCGCGAAGGCGCTATAATTTTATGTAAACAAATATTTAGTTATAACTAAAAAATTCAAGACAAGGTATATTGTAATATTATTTTCTCTTTGCAGAATGTTCGATGTTGGCGGCCAACGGTCCGAAAGAAAGAAGTGGATACACTGTTTCGAGGGCGTCACCGCGATCATCTTCTGCGTCGCTCTGAGCGGCTATGATCTGGTGTTGGCCGAGGACGAGGAGATGAATCGGATGATAGAGTCGATGAAGCTCTTCGACTCGATTTGCAATAGCAAGTGGTTCGTCGAAACATCGATCATACTGTTCCTGAATAAGAAAGACCTGTTCGAAGAGAAGATCACCAGGAGCCCGCTCACCATCTGCTTCCCGGAGTACAAGGGCGCCAACACTTACGAGGAGTGCGCCTCTTACATTCAGATGAAATTCGAGAATCTGAACAAGAGGAAGGATCAGAAGCAGATCTACACGCACTTTACGTGCGCCACAGATACGTCCAATATACAGTTTGTGTTCGACGCCGTGACCGACGTAATAATCAAGAACAACTTGAGTAATTGCGGATTATTGAGTTAAACATTCCAATACTCGATCAGTAAACTATCGAAAAAGAAAGGATATATCTTAATACGTTGACGACTCGTTGATCTTCGCGAATGCACGGGAGAATGACGAAGAGACTGATTGAAAGTTTCAAGAGAGGCGTATCCGTATAAACACAAATACATATTAATTATGCGAGAATTTTATTCACATACCCACAACACACACACATACACAAAACACACGCAACACACACATTAGGCTCTTGGAATATTTTATCACGGTATCATGTAACTCTACTCGATTTTATAGTCTCTAATGAAATATCCTTTGTAAAAAAAATTTGCGTAAATTTATCCGGTTTTCTAGTACGAATATGTTACTCTTTAACTTATTGATTTTACGTTCGGCGATTAGACAACGAAATATTCTCAAATTACGAAAGAAGTATTCAAATTATTCGGGAGTTTAAATATCAGGCTGAAGCATTTCGCGTTGTCGCTAAGAATATTTTTTTTACGCACTGTTTATAAATGTGTAATTATTTTTTGGAAATTAATTAACATATATGTTGATCAAGTAGTCATATTTTCAAAAGGATTTTAATTCCTTGTAATTATGTTCATTTCTCCTTGTGCGTAGTCATATTTTCGAAAGGATTTTAATTCCTTGTAATTATGTTTATTTTTCCTTGTGAGTTTTTTTTCCAAAAATCGAAAGCAATATTTGCTTTCGTACAGTGCGCAAAAGAAAAAGTGGAAAAAAATTCATAGCAATGTTAAATATATAATACTTACACTTGCTCCCGATTAAAATCAGAAATGTTGCTTTGTTTCTGCTAAATTCTGTATTTAACTATACTAACCAAGAACTAGATAGCTATTAATTTAGTGATATTTCCTTGTATATAATTTATTGCGCTAAAAGTGATTACGTAAGTGAAAACATGTCTGCTCATATTTACTTGCATATTTACTTGCATTATAATGAATAGAAATTCTATATCTTTTGACGGACAACACAGCTCTCTGTGCGTCTTTTTTTTTTACAGTATATATTTATCATTTGAAAGAAAAATTTTTGTACAAGCTTTTCTTTTTTTTTATATATACGTATTAATAAATAATAAAACAACGAGGGATGTTATTATTTCTCGATTCGCCAAACGGACGTAATGACAATGTTAGCATTAGTACACAAGACGAAATCAAATCTTTATACAGTTTAGATCAATAAATGAAATCTCTTCTTTTTTAAGAGCCGATGATTTCTCCGTTCCCGATTTGATCTCTTTATTAGACCACTCAATACATATATACATGTCCAATGTTTTACATCTTGTACAGGTGAGGATCGATCTAATTGATAAAACGCATCAACTACGCACGCAAGCATTAAGAAGTGCGTGTTGCCGAGGTGCAGGACGAAACCCGTATTGTACATGTAATATAGGTGTACGTCGGAAACAATTTTCTCTTTTGTATTGGCTATATTATTTTTGTTATACTAATTTACACGTACGTATACGTCCACTTTCCCGCGATTAGAGCCACCTTTATGTAACTGAACTGGAAGTGATGAAAATTAAGGATTAAATAGGATTATGTACAATTTATAATGGGTATTTTCCAGCAAGGACAATACACTGTGTTGCATCATGTACAATACTTTTTGAAGTGGTTGTAGAACTCTAGGCTCAGTTACTAAGAGTATCAAAATATACAGATTTTTACTTTTATCGTTAGTCATTTATTTGTTAGTATAATAATTAAATAAAAACTACAACACATAATACAACATCAGTTAGTACAACAAGTGTTGTGACATTTTATCTTGAATATTGTTTTTTAATATTTGACCTTGAATATTTGTTTTTTAAAAGAAACCGCCAAAAGAAATTTAAGAAAAAATTCGAAATCTTTATAGATTTGTATCAAAAAATGAACACAGTTATTACTACAGTTAACCATAAAATTTGTTGAAATGTAAATAAGACTGAGACGTTTGTACTTAAGTTTTTACAATGTCGAGCAGTGCGACATTGTATTGCAATTAAAATGCTCCATGTTGAATACATATACATATATATATATATATAGATAGATAGATAGATAGTGTCATACTGCCATATGTCTATCTTGTTGGAAAACACTCATAAATTAACATTTTGACTGCCATATGTATGACATCCAGATTTTTTTTGTGAATTACGTTTATGAATAACGCTTACAGTGAACGAGACAACTTTATTTCCCATTTAATTCGCATTCGTTGTTCACTCCGTAACTAATGTGACAGTCAAAATCGCAGGACATCTGCACTATCTATGCACAATAGAAAACATGGAGAACAAAAATTGCGAGGGTTTAAGAAAAAATATATATAGGTGGGCGTTGGACCCGTTGGGACGGACGTTCTAGAAATTTTTTTAATGGAATGTAAAGTATAGGAACTTTAAAATTAAAGGAAAGAGAGATGTAAACGAAATATAATTACACGATGACCTTAAATTAGTAGAATTAGCCGCTTTCAAGCATCCCGTGCAAGAAAGACGGAAATTCGGGTGGGTAATTTATAAGAGAATATCTTACCTTGCATCTGTGAGAATACTGTTGTGTTTGAGTCTACCCTTTTCTTTCTGTCGCACCGTGCTACACACGATTGAGTGTAAAATTAAGTTTGCGCTCCTCGGAGTCTTGCCGCAGTTTTTGTATTTTTGGTAGTTTTTTACGCTACTAAGATATCGTGAAGACTCCCTAAGCCTTAAAAGTGATTCTAACACTGAGAGTTATACATCTTAGGTTAATTAATATATAATACAAGCAGTGACAACTATAACATTATTACCGCAAGTATTTTTGCCGTTTAAACTCTGATAATTATATTAACGTGTTCGTGATATATCCAATTTTACAACGATTTTTCAACGGGCTTTAAATATACATTTTAAATCTGTGTCACACGTCAACAGTTATAAATCGATTGGAAATCTTCGAACAATAGCCGTTTGTGCCGTTTTTAAACATCTCGGAGCGAAAACAGTGGTTTCCCGCGTCGTCGGCGAGAACAGGTCAACAGGATTATATATTACCACCAACATGGATACGCAAAATATAGTGTTCGATAAGCTCAAGAATGATCTACGAGTACAAATCTACAATTATAATTACGCTCGCGATCGGGGATCGAAAATAACTTGCGATTACGTTCTACTCGTGATAACCACCGATCACTTTCAGAGTAATCGCACAGAGCGGATTCGGGATTTCCTAACTATGCTATGCGCGGATCTGGAACTCAGTTTGGAAGTGAAGACTCGCGAACGACTACTGTCGTCTCGTCGTTTAATCTCATAAATAATCACACGTACTAAGATTAACGCTAAACGTACCGGAAGTCTGGCCTAACAGGATATGCGTCCCATTTATGCGTCCTATCTACTTCGCTTCTCTTTTTTCATTTTTAGTGAGGATTTCTCGCCGGAATGGGCGGCCCACCGGTGGTTCTCGCTGGAACGGGCGGCGGAGCGTTCGGCGGTGGCAGACTCGGTGGTGGGTGTTGCGGAGGCGGCGGGGCTTGCCTGTGCGGCAACGGAGGAGGTACCGAGCTGGGCGGTGGCCTGCTCATTGACTCCTGAGGACCGTCCATACGCGGTAACGGCGGCGGCGGCCGGTTCGGTACGGGATAGCTGGGCGATCCGTCAAGTATCTCCTCGTAGATGGCCGAGTCCGGTGACAGTCTCTCGTCTTGCCGATCATCATCCTCCACCACGTCCGCGACCGGCGGCGTCACCGGGCGCGAAAACTGGCTGGGAATCACGCTGAAGACGCCCGCTCGTGGCACTTGCTTTCGCTCGTGAATTGGACTCTTCGGTGGCTGAGAGGGCCGGCCCGGTGGCGCCGGTCGCGGAGGTGGCATCACGCCGTTCGGGCTGCCTCTGCTGGGGGAGGAAATCGCCGGTCGCTCGGCGATCTCCAGCTGCTCCAATCGTTGCATGGGACTTCTCAATGGCGAGTCCGCCGTGAACTGAGCGACCGTGGTGTTGCTGCAGATCTCGATCTCCTTCTCGATCAGCTGCACCCAGTCGGGCGATTTCAGCGACAGTTTCAACGTCTGGCCGCACACCTGCGTCATGCCCTTCTTCGCCGCGGCCAGGGCGCACTGGCCGTCCCTGAATGTCACCCAGATAGTCTCGCCGACGTAACGTACTAGAATTGCCTCGCCGATATGAGATAGGTCCTGTATCAGCGCGAACATGAGATTGTTATCGAACACGCTGTCCATATCCTCGACGTCCTCCACCGCCTTGACTATTATCGTGCCGTCGGGCGGACCCAGATCCTGTATCACCTCCTTGAACACGCGCTCGCGTTTCTCGGGATCGATACAGTGCACATCTATATCGATCGTCGCGAGTACCGGTCGATGGTCGCTCTGCTTCAATTCCGCCTTGCCGTAATAAACGAGCTTTCCTGGATTCCAATCTGTAGGCGAGTCTGAAATATACATTTTACAAATTGATACAATTATTAATTTATACTTGTTTAAATGATCATGTAGTAGAAAAATACTGACCAATGTCAGGTATTTGTTTCCTGCGCTTCCACAGAACTCTATCCGTCCATGCGGGTGTGCGACACTTCTCGCTGGTGTCGTAATCATCCGAGAACAGATCATATTTATATGTAGGAGCGAAAGTAATGGGTCCTTCTTGGAAGTTCTTAAAGACGTTGCCCTGTTCTTGCTGAACCTTAAAATTAAAAGATTCATAAAAGATATTGTTAGAGAAACCTTTCAATATTACAGCGCGATATAAAATTTTTTTTTTCTATAATTAAATAGTAAAGAAAAAAATTTCTTAAATCAATAATATGTCACAATACCCTCAATTGGTCGTATTGCAGTATCTGGTCGAATTCGTTTTGCTTGATCAATTCCTTCATATCATCCTTGTCCATATCGACTCTGTAGTTGAAGTCACCGCACCAAAACACGTAATCGTGAGTGTTCAGGGTTCTACCCATGGGAAACGTTATCTTCCTCGTGATCTCGGCATAGTCGGCGTTACGTTCGGCCACCTGGGACTGGCCGGCGGCGAAGTGCGCGCACACGAAACAGAAGGACGTGGAGTACAGCACGCATCTGATCGCTGCGGCGCCTTTGTTCCCGGTGGCGCCTCCCAGTCCCGTTTTCACGCAGTCCACCGCCACGTCTCGCAGATACGGCGCATGCACAGGTCGTATGAACAGGTACAGGCAGACGCCGACCAGCTGCTGGTACGTCACGAGGACGTATTCCGTGTCCTTGCACAGTATCTTCTGCAGCTCCTCGGCCCAAGCCTTGGCGTTGTCCGAGCTGGCGGCCATAATATTACTGGCGTTCAGGTCGACGATCTCCTCGAATCCTATCGCGAATATATCTACGGGAACGTTGTCTTGCTGCTGTAGCGATACCAAGGCTGAAAAGAAAATATGAAGATTGGATTATAAAAAGAAATATCTTTCGCGATATATGTATATATAGGGTCATTACAAAATTCTCTTCTCTTTTGTACACTTTATAATGACCCAGCGTTTTTAGAAGGATACTTACACGAAGATTTGCCTGGTCCATCGAATAACCAGTCCGACAGGGATACATCCTTGTAAACCACGCTTCTAAAATGCTTGCCCCCGTTAACGTTGTAAGTACCGATGCTCACCCTGAGGTTCATCGTATTCGTGTACTCGTTATAGCGCTTGCACACCTCCCGCAAGAGATTCGGCGCGGCGTGCAACATGTTGGACGACAACAATAAACGTGCTCTGTCAGCCAGTTCCGTGTTCAACGTTGAGCCTAATAATAAGATATCGATTGCCTCCTGCTTGTTGGAATCCAATAGGTTATTCTGTATCGTTCTAGCTGCCGATCTCGCGCCGTCCATCAGCTTAGAACTGCCCTGGATGGCGCCGGTGCCCGCGTATATCTTGCTGACCTCGTTGCCGTTGTTGATCCACATCTGACGGAACACCTCCTCGAATCTCGAGACCATCTGCTGCTTCTCCATCAGCTTTAGCAGGCCCATCTGTTTGGCCAGCATCTCGAGCGCGAAGAACGTTTGCACGCAGTTCGTTCTGTCCAGACAGTCCAGGCAGTTGGTCCTGATGGTGCCGGTCTGCTCGAGAATCACGGTATTGCCGGCGGCGTAGAACAGCGAGAAGGACTCCAGGTACTTTTCGACTTTTGCCTTTAACTTCGATAGATTCTTCATGTTTCCACCGCGACACTCCTGATGATAGTCGAACAGGACATGCGGCACGTCCTTATGCTCCGACATATTGTGGTGGGTTTGAAACAATTGGCTCAACATCGCTTCTCCCTCTTTGCTGCCGATCAGGCTGGAGCCAAGAAGATTGACGATGACTTGCTGGCCGTACCGCTTCTTGATCATATCCAAATGCCTGTCGAAGGCGGGCGCGGAGGTCTCGAAGCCGCGTGAGATCTTCACTTTGTGGGAGCCGACTTGTACACCAGGTTGCTCCCAGAACAGCGGTACTGAACCCCTCGTCTGAACGTAAGACGTCACTTCGTTGTCTATGTAGATCACCTGTTCCGTCTCCACGAAATTTGCCACGTGTCCATCGTCGTTAGTTCCTCTAACGTTGAATCTAGACAAAAGGTCATTTCTTTTACAGAAACTTTTAGCAGAAGCCTAATAACGGATATACCGCGCATTTTAATCGGGCCATATGTTCCAACAGATTATTATTTTATATTGCAACGCGATACGGATTAGTCATATGTTTCGCACGAGATATATCCGTTATCAAGCACTGATAATTCCTGACATAGCAAACAGAAAATTTATCTTCGAGTATGTATATCATTATGTACTTTTCCATCAAATGAGGAAAAATGATCTTACCTAGTGCCAGCACGTTCGCAGCTTAATCTAGACATGAGCACCGCTCGAGCTTGTCTGTGTCCTACATAGACGGTTCTAATCTCCACACTGCCGCACATTGCTTTCAATAACCACTGACTCGTATCTACGCCGTATCTTAATAGATGAATATGCAACATCCGATTCCTAATTGCAATAATTCACGAGATTAGATATCATTTATCAGAGATTCTTTTTGTCCGTATATCTTTCACGAATAGTGATGTAGTGATACATAATTATACAATTTGAATCTTGAACTTTCTCTGACAAAAGTCTATGTTATGAAAAAGAGTGTCAAAGCTTTATCGTACTGACCAGAAGAATCTATTATCCGTAGTCGTCGATTTGCATCTTCTCTGAGCGCTCAGGGTGATATCGAGCGACTCCTGCCCAGCGGACCAGGAGAAGTAAAATGTCCCGGAGTTCAGGACCTTCCTGACCTCGGACACGCGATCCTCCGCCCCTTGACTGTAGAACAGGGGCACGAAGCTCGACTGCGTTATTCGGAAGACCTCCGACTCGCCGATCTTTCCGACGGAGAAGCATCCGGTAACCAGAACGAGGTACAGCAGAGTGTTCTCGCCCGCGTTCAGCTGCAGAATGCCCAGGCATCCGTACGCGTCCAACAGTTTGGTATACTTCGGCTTTAGGAACTCGTGCTCCTCGGCGGCTGCAAGTGACGTACATCCATGAGAATCCTCGGTTGTCAAAATGACAATACTTTTGTAAATAGTATTTTATTTCACACGACTATGTTGCTGGGCTCTATAAAAGGCGGTTGAAAATGGAAATCGGAATAGGCACTTCAAAATGTATTTCACAAAAATCTAAAAAAATCTCCGAGATGTAAAGCGATGAGCACGGTTTACAGTTCAAGATCGCGTGGTGCAGGAGCAAGACGTTACGTTATAGAACGGACGCTGTGCTCCTATTCGCGTTCCCGTGACTGCGCGCAGCTGTCACAGCTGTAGTACGGTCTGTACAGGTTGCCCTCGCGATATCTATACTTACTTGCGACTCTCTCCTCGCGAGGCGAGGAGTTCTCGCGTCCGCTCAACTTCAAATGTAGGAGGTGGTGTAGGAGGATCACCGGAGGATGTGGGATAGGGATGACGACAGGTCGGCCGTGCGCGCGGCCACGCGCCGGTGTTCGCGATCGCCGGCGAGCGGATCGTCCCTATAGCGCTCCGCTCGACCCGGACCGGTTACTTACAAAGTACCGCGACCGCCTGCGATTCGAAGAGCAGCGTCTCCTTGCGGCCCCGCTGCTCGAGTATGACCGAGTGCGGCTTGGGAGAGTCCAGCTTCTCGTAGACGCGAAAGCCCTTGCCCATCGCCATTGTTGCGTGGCCGTGGTCTCGCTGCTGCAGCGGCGGCGATACGACGACGACGACGACGCTCTACGGAGCCGCGACAGGCCACCGTCTGTCCACAACACGTCGCGCCGCGGCCCGCGACAATCGGACACCGAGACTGCGAGTCCTCACCGTGGCTGGCGCGGCGACTGATAACCACCGCTGCTGTCAACCGTCGCCGTCATCGACGACACGCCAACGAAGACCCGCCAGCTACTGCGGAGACTCCCGCCGCCCGCGTACTCGAAGTAGCGGTTGGAAAATTTGTCCAACGCCCTCTCAAGAAATATATTGCAGGATCGCATCTGGGCGATCGTCTGAAAACCTTCGTTATGATTGATACCCAAATAGGTATGTCCAAAAGAAATTAGCGATTGTTCCCCAGCACAGATTATAATTACAATATTGCAGCAACAATATAATACTTTTGCAATGTAACTAGAATGTTACAATGTTGCAGGAAACATTGCAGTTATAATTTGTGTTTGTTTCGAAGCTGAATATATATATCTGTCAATTTGATCGCTAGATATTATATATATTATAAACAGCGTGTAAAAAAAATTTATACGTATAATATAATGTGCGGCGCGAAAGTATTTTAACAATTAAAGTCTCTTGAAATTTTCAAAAAAATTTCAAAGTTATAGGGAGAATATTTTTCAAAAGAAGGTAGCGAATGTGTCAAACGTCTTTCAAAATAATATACTCCACTTAAAATAATTGTATCGGCCAATCGGCGGCCCCTATATGTTTTTCTTTTGTTTCTGATGACTTTTCGAACACCGAATGTGCTCCGAAAGTGCTCGGAAAGGAGTAGGTTGTTTTCGTCAACAAGCGTACAGTAAGGGCAAAAATGCTCTTCTGCACGATACTTGCACCGAGTTCGTCTCAGTTTCTCTCTTTCTCTTTCCGCAATTCTCGCAGCATCTTCTTCAGTGGGGAAGTCGTTGCAGGTGTAGGTTCAAATCTCTGATCTCCACAATGCGGACTGATTTGGACAGCATGATTTTTGATCATGCTTGTACGTAAAGTAGTGAAGAAGGGTTGTTGTTGCTTGTCATCTGGTATCACTGTGCATGCATACGTTAGCCTATTGTAAATCTTATGAATTTCATAAATTATTTTATATATCTTTTTTTACTGCGTGTTTGACAATAATTAAGTCAGAAAAGCGTCGGCTCACACAAGGATGTTTATCTTAACGAAAAGCGGACTCCGAAAATTTATGGTAAATTATACGCTTGAGATAAGGCTGTACATATTTTTGCTGTTTCATTTTTTTAAGATGACACATCACGACTTTCCGTTTTTATTTCCTTCCTCTGTTATATACATTACAGATAAGCCGTGGAGGGGTGGCACTAACACAGCAGTTAGCTAGGTAGTAATGTTTTGTTTTTATGTATTTCTAACAGTAGAGACAGTGCATATATAGTATCACACGTTTTTCATTTTAAAATTAAATTCACATTGTTATCTTGACCGTGAAAACAGCTGCTGTAATTGTTATAATTAGTGTTGTAATCTGTAAAATATAACAATTTGAATAATTTTGTGAAATAAGTCCAAAGTTTAAATGTGCAGCTGTTTATAACTAAAGAGGCAGACATCAATTGTATGCGTTTGTTTCACAGGAGTACCGCGGCTCTCTACGATACCGCCGAATATCAATATATGCAGATAAGCAAGGTTCCAACGTTGCACTTTCAACCGTCTTTGCCTCGTTTACCGATACCGAAACTCGAAGACTCGTGCAGGAGGTATCTGAACGCGCAGAAACCTCTGCTGGACGGCAAGGAATTGCAGAACACGTCGTCCTGCGTCTCGAAATTCCTCGCCAGCGAGGGGCAGAGTTTGCAAAAGATATTGGTGCAAAGTAATGCCGAGAATCCGCACACCAGTTACATCAGCGAACCCTGGTTCGACATGTATTTGCGGGACCGCAAACCCCTGCCGGTCAATTACAATCCCTTCTTAGTTTATGTGCCGGAATCCGATCCGAAGTACGATGCTCAATTAGTAAAGGCGACAAATCTTGTCGTATCGTCGTTGAGATTCTTAAAGTCGCTCAAGAATAACGTTCTAGAGCCGGAGGTGTTTCACATGAAACCCGAGAAGTCGGATACTCAGCTATTCCGCAACGTCACAAGACTGATCCCATCTCGCTTCAGTTGGTACGGCGCTTATCTATTTAAGGTACGAAGAAATTAGATATAACGAAAAAGTAGTTATGCGAAATATTCCAAGATAGATTGATAAAAAAAATTTGTGAAAATTTAACTTCTTATTTTTTTTTATCGTAGGCTTTTCCATTAGATATGTCCCAATACAAGAATCTATTCAACACAACTAGAATACCAGAGTTAGGAAAAGATAGAATCTTCCACGATCCCTCAGCCAGACATTTGGTTGTACTGAGGAATGGCCATTTCTACGCGTTCGACGTTTTGGATGCGAACGATTCCATTCGTAGCCCCAAAGAGATAGCTGCGTCTCTGAAGACCATTCTGGCGGACGATAGGCCACCGAACGGACATCCCGTGGGCGTTCTTACATCGGCGGAGAGGGATCGATGGGCACGGGCACGCTCGCATTTAGTCGAAACGGGAAATCGCGAGGTTCTCCAGAAAATCGATTCGGCCGTATTCGTATTGATCTTAGACGATGAAATCATGGGTACCGACTATAAAAAGCTAATCAGATCGTATTTACATACAGACGGTACCAACCGGTGGTTTGACAAGTCGTTTTCTCTCATTGTCTCGAAGGATGGTTACGGTGGAATCAACTTTGAGCACTCGTGGGGCGACGGTGTCGCGGTGCTCAGATACTTTCAAGTGAGCATTCCGTTAACGCATTCCGTTTTATGAAGCATTATTAATTATATTAGGCAACTCGTTAATGCAATTACCGTAAACATTTGAGAATTGCGAAATGTAAAAATCTTCGTTACCTTGTAGGACGTGAAAGCCGACATATCGAAGAAACCTAGATTCCATCCTAACGACGTGGATGATCTTTCTGACGTAAGCGCAAACGTAGAGAGACTAGATTTCTCTATAGACGCGAAGAGCGAAAGTATCATCGATCAGCAGAAAGCGGATTATCAAGCGTGGGTGAACCGACTGTGCGTCGACTTTCTAATTAACGAAGAGTTCGGTAAGGATCAATGTAAGAAGCTCGGGGTAAGTCCGGATGCCGTGATGCAGCTGGCATTTCAGTTGGCGTTGTACACCCTAGAAGGCAAATTGGTACCGACTTATGAATCTTGCAGCACAGCTGCATATAAGCACGGCAGAACCGAAACGATCAGACCCTGCACACTGCAGACTAAAGCGATCTGCGTCGCTATGAGTCAGAAGCAGGTCGAGCTTTCTAAATCAGAGCTAAAAAAAATGATACTTGATTGCAGTAAAGCTCACAACCTGCTCACGAAAGAGGCCGTAATGGGTAAGTTAGTCTGATCATTGAGCAGCTTTTAACGGATTTAACGAAGGAACACATATTATAAATTTGATAATGCTTTACAGGCGAGGGATTCGACAGACATCTATTCGCGCTGAGAAGGATTTCAGAGAAATCGGGCGCCACTAAGCCAGCCATTTTTCAAGATCCAGCCTACGATGCTTTGAATTACAATATATTGTCTACGTCTACTTTATCGAGTCCAGACGTAATGGCTGGTGGATTTGGACCAGTGGTATCCGACGGCTATGGAATCGGGTAAGACATTCGTGTTACATTAACATTGAAAATGATGTAATTGTTAGCACCTTGTTAATATCCGTTGGATCGTAATTTTTTTTTTTAAACAGAACTTATTTATATTATTTAGGTATATGATCCAGGATAAACGTTTGGGTTCAGTCGTGACGAGTTACGACGGCAGTCGTAACGCTGGTCAATACGTGCAAGCACTAGCACATGCGTTCAAGAATATCCACGATGTGTTGCAGACGTAATACAAGAATTATCTTTACATAATTTGCTAGATATATTACTAATTACATCTTTGTTTGGATGTACCTTTGCCGAGAAGATCATTGACAGATATTATATAATATTGTACATTTACAAGAATGTTTATAATCCATGTTATTCATGTCAGAGGTAGGCACTCGTTCGAGATTTTAAACTAGAGAAAGCAATAACGATGACAACTATTACCTCTGATAATCGGACATTTTTATACAATTGTTAAATAAATATTTTTAATACTTTTAAATGGATTTGTGATTCATATTTTTTATAATTAAACAACTATCTTCTCATTAATTAGCTAATAATTAAATATACGATTAGAATATAAAGGATAAATTATAGCATTTTGTATATTATATACTTTTACTTACGTTGACAAGAGAATATGTACATTAACTTACGCAAAGGTGAGCGCTATAACGCACTCGAAAAGTGAAACAGAAATTATGTTATCTCTCTAATATCGATAAAAACTACGGCCTATTGCAACGTTTACACTTAATCTTTAGCCACTTTTAAAAGAATGATGCGTCCAAAACAATATAACAATATTCACAATTATAGACACAGAATGGATGTTAAATTATGTTATCTAGAATCGCGTGGATATAATTACAGACATGCAATAATATACCAAATTCGCACATTGGTATCCTGAAAAAATTCCTCCGATTTCACAATGATTTTGTAGATATGCAGTCATTCCTCTAGACTCTCTTTTATCGATGACTAAATGTGGAATGGAACACTGTGATCCCGATAAATAACTCCGTAGCTTATTCTCTCGACAACTTATGACAGCTTGTCGCCCATTTTCACTTTGGATGTCTAAAAAGAAAGTACCAAGATACGCTCGGTAAGGACATATGTTTGCATAAACTTAAAAAAATTTCCCATTCACGTTTGCGTTTTGACTTACCATATAAATACCGACGATCAGACCAAAGAGCCCTATGGCGGAACCAAAGATCTCGACTATGAGAATCTTCACGAATAGGGCGGAGTTGGCCGCGTCGGCGAGGGCCGCGCCGGAGCCGACGATGCCGACCGCTATGCCGCAGAAGAGATTGACGAGGCCAACGGCGAAACCAGCGCCGAACATCAAGTATCCAGACAGCCAGTTCTGATTCCTGATCTCCTCGTTCTCGAAAACTTTCGTGTAGGAGAATTTCTCGAGCATGCCGGACAGAACGATGGCAGTGATCAGGCCGTAGATGGCCACGGCCTCGCAGAATATCACAGAAATCAAATTCTTCGTCTTGATCCTAGGTGCTTTCACGCCACCGCCGACGATGGACACCCCCGTTGTATGGATACCTCTGAAAATGGCAAATGATAAATAAGCGACTTGGCGTAAAGTACGAATTGAAGTCCACTCGAAACTATAAATACGTCCAATTCGACTTACAATGCCGCCCCTACTACGGACAAAGCTACCGATAGACCTATCCCCAGCGTGCACCACATGTACGGTGAGGTGTTCGTCAAGAACCTAAATCAGGAAACGAACATTTTGTTTTAGGACCTCTTTGCGTCGAGAGTCAAGATGAGAGACCGGTGAAATAAATATATGGAACGTACCATCCAATGCTGACCTGCTCCCCCTTGCCAGTAAATACATAATACAAAACTGCAACATAAAAAATATATAAATGTATACAAAATATATAAATATATTCGAAATATTGTATTAAATATGTAACGTTTCTCTGCGGTGTAACTCGAAGACTGTACAGTAAAATAAATACGCCTGACACGGGATCGCTCGCAATGACACCGCATACGTATAACTCAGCGAAATATCAAACTGAAGAGGCCCTAACGACACGCATCTCTTCGTCTGTTTATTTATTATTGTAATATTCATGTAAAGTAGAGCATACCTAGAATAAGGATCGTTGTCGAAGCGAGGATCGCAAATGTTTTACCCAGGATGTACCTCATCGTCGCGACAGTAAGCTTCGCCGTCCGCGCAACACGATACACGCAATATTCCGCGGTCCTCAAGTACAGCCGACACTCCGGGGAGAAGCTAAGTAGCCCGGTGGTCCTTTCGTTTTTCGCCTAACGAAACCTCGATCCTCACATCGAGAGATTCACGAGATATCACGCACACCCGTCGCTGTCATGTGACGACTGCTCGGGATTCTAGTAACCATTAGTGATTTTTACGTGGGGGAGGGGAGAGGGAATCGTAATGAAAATGCGATAATTTTGCCTCACCTGCAGTCCTCTCGAGGCACTTTTTACACTCGAAACGGAATAGTTAATATAAACCGCTGGGCGTTAAAGAGAGAACGAATAGTCACTTGAGTGCAAAAAGTGTAAATAAAACGAGCGGACGTTTTAAAGGCGATAATTCGATTAAGCTCGACATTGGAGATAAGTTGATCGTCGATTAATTTATAATTTATATTTTATGCAGTAATATAGTTATATTTTTAGAATAGAATTAATTTTTTTTGTTGAGGCATGTAAAAAAAAATTAGAGCGAATTAGAACAGTTAGAATTTTGGTTATATAATTAAGCTGAATTGATTGTCGATTAATTTATGGTACCATTTATGCTTATACTATTTATAATATACATTTTGTTAACGTAAAGTTATTAATTTTTATTTGAAAAATAAAAAGTAAAATTGGAGGACAATGAATTAATCTTATATATTATAGTTGTATATAGAATTAGTTATAAAATTTAGCTTTAAGTAATTTAACGACAGAATATATAAATTAATCTTCTTTTTGAATTTCTTTCACGTATTAAACGATAAAAAAATTGTTATTTGTATTCGTATTAATAAAATAATATATGTATCATCTGGTAAATTAATTCAGTTTGGTCAGTCACTTTAAAAACGTGCTTGAATTTAAAATGCAATTGCCCACCACTTTGAAGATTCTAATTTCAATTTGCTTCAATTATTTACTAAAAGTTCTTTTGCTATTGCAAAGTGATTGCAAAAGAAAACTACAATCGTTATACGTACCTTATATAATCAAAATTACGTTTCCACTTATCAATAGCCACTGCGTTTTTTGTTGAGAGATTAAATATTTTATTAATTCTTATTATCGCTCTAGTAAATGCATTTGCACGTCGTTTTATTGACGCGCGAAGGAACGAGATTTTCGCTTAATTTTCTATAAATGGAATCATCGGACGCATTTCGTAAGAGGGGACGAATACACCGTCGGCCTAATTTTAGAATCCGTCGCGTTCGCGTCTCCGTTTTCCGCGACGAGGAGGCAGATCCCGTGGATGTTTTGCATTAAACGCACAATCGATCGGTCCCGATAACGATTAGCGGGAATGTCTCTGACGAAAAAGGGGTAAGCCAGCCTTGTTTTCAAGCCGGGCTGCCGGGATAGAAAGTTACGGATCTTGTCCAGATCCGTTCTCCCGGTTCGGAGTTACTCGTTGCAAAATCGGGAAAGGTTCTCCGCCTATTGACAAATTCCGCGAACGGAATGTTCGCTTCCGTGACCGGACGGGTTTGTCGTCGCTCACGTTCTATTTCTGTCTGCGATTAAATTTATAGCGTTAAATTTAGAGAAACGATGGAAACACGTTTGTGCTTGTGAACTCTGTCTGCGAAAAATCGAGATCGTCGCCGTGCATTCGTCGACCAATTCGCGTACACTTTCAGACGTATCAATATTTTACGTATCGACTATGTATATCGATTATATATTCTTACTTTTAGCGTGCGATATCACGCGCACGCAAACGCGTTCGCAGTGCATAAAATTCAAAATATTTAATGTATCGTCAAACTCAGAAATTACCTCGTGTGTTTTCAATAACTTATAACTTTTCCAAATAAATAATAAGACTAGTTCCATACATTTCCTGGCAAAATATTCTTGCACAAAATTATAGAGAAATTATAGAGAATGAAAAATATGACCATTTATATAGATAAAAATATTATATCTTTCTGAAGATTATCATTTTTGTTGTATTTCATTCTCAAAATTATCTCGAGTATATAACTCTTGCTTCTGCAAAGACATTCGTTTCTTCAGATTAAATGTCTGGGTATAACGTATAAATGAACATTGTTATCTTTTTCGTTTTACGATACATTGCCTTTCAATAACGTCGATCGTTTCAAAAGAATGTACATTTATTGTAGAAACGTCTAGCTTTTTTTTTAAGGATGTTTAGTACCTACAATAATAGCAAAAAGTTAAAGGACTGATTTTGACGAATATGCTCTTCTCATATAGTTTGAGTAATAAGGATTGTGCAGAATGTTATCATTTATTTAGAACCAGAGTGCAGAAATGCTTCTGTTGCTTTTTTCCTGAGAATTTTCGAATTCTATGGCCAAATCTAACCAAAAAATTCAAATAAAAATCCTTATAACTTTGGATTGCTTCAGTGAATCGACTCCGGCTTTTGTCTTAAGTCGTTCAACATATATAAGAATCTGTAAAATTTTTGTTAAATTCTCATTATTTTAAAAATTCTATAGGTATAAAATTTTTATATTCTATACCTATAGAATTTTTAAAATAATGAGAATTTAACAAAAATTTTACAGATTGTTCTTATATATGTTGAAAGACTTAAGACAAAAGCCGGAGTCGATTCACTGAAGCAATCCAAAGTTATAAGGATTAATTTGAATTTTTTGGTTAGATTTGGCCATAGAATTCGAAAATTCTCAGGAAAAAAGCAACAGAAGCATTTCTGCACTCTAGTTCTGAATAAATGATAACATTCTGCACAATCCTTATTACTCAAACTATATGAGAAGAGCATATTCGTCAAAATCAGTCCTTTAACTTTTTGCTACTATTGTACGTATTAAACATCCTTAAATCTTGTTACCAAGTGGAGTATTAACTTTTTATCGTTCGCCTATTGTGTTACAGAAATATCTCGCTCGACGAATTTTGTCGCGCCGTGCACGGCGCCGTTTGGCAGGAGCCGTTCGCGACTCGATTCGCGAGGCTATCCGCGTCGGGCGACAGACGAGGAATGGTCGGGATGCTCGCGGAAATGCCCCACGTGGCGGACTTGAGACCGGGCGACTCGTACGAGGGTAAGGACGAGGCGCAGGCCGCGCGGCTGTACGAGAAGTCGCTCGGGGCGACGATGGAGCCCGGGGTCGAGCACGTGAAGGAGATTAGAACCTGTAATATTCTCACGCAAGCACTGTTTGCGGCCGGTGCGAACGGCAGAGTGTTCCTAGACGCGATCTACGAGCGCGCTAGGCGCTCCTACAGCCTGCGCGCTTACGCGAGCTGCCTGCGAGACTGCGAGTGCATGCTGGCGCTTCCCGCGAGTTTCTATGACGACTCCGCGGAGAACGTTAGATACTTCGTGCAGCGTAGGAAGGAGTGCCTTCAACTGGAGCGGGAATGCTCCCGAAAGTTGGAAGCCACGTCCTCCAGGAAACGCGGCGCCCGTGGAAGAACGTTCTCCTCCTCATCATCCGCATCCTCCTCCTTGTCCCGCCGTTCTTCTTCCAGCGGCGCGTTGCCCAACGTCGACGGCAAGCCGCACGGCTACCTCGCGAGCTGCCCGGATAGCGTTGAGCTGCGGTCCGACGAGGCCAGGGGCCGGCACCTCGTGGCTACAAGAGACATCAGACCGGGGACTGTACTCATTGTCGATCGGCCGTTTTCCTTTAGCACGGATGCATCGGCTCTCGGCAGGAATTGTTTGCATTGCCATGCCACACTTAAATTAGAAGACAGCGTTAAAATCCCGTGCCGTGATTGCCAAACAGTTAGTAGAGCGCATGATTTTTACATTCGCGGCATGCCACGCGCCATGTACATAGCACCAAGAACTAATTATTCTTATACCTTCGCCCATTAGTCGCCGTTATTAATTTATTCATCTTTTTTCCTTACGTGACTCTTCTCGCAATTTGCATGCCTCGCCAGATCCCTCGATATAAATCAATATAAATCTTATCTCGCGTTCCCCAGGTGGCCTTCTGCACGGAGGCGTGTCGCAGGGAAGCGTGGGAGGCGTATCACCGATACGAGTGTTCGATATTCAATTACTTCCTCAAAAATTCGTCGAGCAACGAACGCCAGCAAACGTCTTATCTGTTGCTGGCTTATCGCACGACGGTCGTGCAAGCGCTATCGCTGCGAAACGGCGCGGGGACGACGTGCGCTTTAAATCCTGATTTCCTACGATATCACGTCAATGCGAGAGATAAAGATGACGACATTGGCAAGGAATGCGCGGACTTGGGAACGAGGGGAACGTATAGTCCTCTCGATTACCGAACGGTGTTTCAACTGGAGACCCATTGCGCCGACGTGGAACCTCACGTAAATCTCATACGCGCCGTCGAGGCGATTTTCCTTGCGAAATGCTTGATCTCGGTTCTGAGCAAGCTGGACGTCGTCTGCACGGCGGAAACTTTCGTTTCCCTGGCCGCGGCTATGCTGCACCATTTGCAGGCGATTAATTGCAACGCGTACGAGATTGTCGAGAATGTCCACGACGAGGCAACGCGCATCTGGGAGCCCAGGAACGTCGGTGCCGCGATTTACCCCACGGTCAGTCTCGTGAATCACGGCTGTTACCCCAACGTGGTTCGCCACTCTTATCCGAACGGTAAGCGATCCAGGAACAAACTGTACCGTACAAATTGACGAAGGCGCCAGAGGGATGAGTGAAGTTCTAATGATTCACTTCCTTACAGGAATAGTCGTGGTCAGAGCGACGCGCTTCATCGGCAAGGGATGCGAGTTACTCGACTGCTACGGGCCTCACTTTCTCAGCGAGGGCAAACTGAACAGGCGTGAGTTCTTGTGGAAGAAATATCGATTTCTGTGCGGATGCGACGCCTGCAAGCAGAACTGGAAATTGCCGTTACCCGAAACGACGTGCTACAAGTGCACGGCGTGCTCGGAACCGACGGATGTCCCGATAACGAACGCGGGAGCGTTGACGAATCGGCGGTGCGCCAAATGCGAGAAGACCGTCGATTTGAAGAGAATCGAGAAGCAACTTCGTAAATCGATTCAAAAGAGGCTGAGCGCCATCGCGAAAATGTATTACGGGAATTACAGAGACGCGTTGCCTCTGCTGTTCGAGCACGCGGGCTTTGTCAACAAATACTTGGCCGAACCGAATGTCGAGGGTATCAAAACAGAACAGTGTATCGTCCAGTGTTACAATTTTCTTGGCTCTATTTCCGTGTAATGTACTCCCCTCAGTCGATTTATAATAATTATTTATAGCACTGAAACAATTCTTTCGACGTTTATTCTACAGCTCTGTGAAAAAACGCGATACAATCCATTAAGAATAGAATGGATTCCTATTCTGGAAAAAGAAATTTATGCAAACAGCGGAGTTATATAGAAAATACACGGAACGATTTTCAATTGCATTTCTCGTTAACAGTAACGCTGTAACGTGAGGCAATGCAGGATTGGACTAAGTAATTAAGAAGCATATAATTCCCGTGGTAAAATACGTGATACAAAACAAGTTATTCAAGAATCAATCGATTTTCGTACAACGATAGGTCATCAGCATTATACATCTAACGCCGAGTAAAAGATCCGAGTCTGAATTACATCTCGTGAATCAAGTAAATGAGACGGTTGCACCAAACGCGCGTTTTACGCGCGACATGTCATGCCTCTTTCATGCTCATACTATAATATAAAACTAGGTGACGTAAAGTATCAGGGCCATTGGCTTCTCAATAGATACGTATACCTTACTTGCGTGAGAAAGGCAAGAGTTATGTACAGTGATTCATCATATACATTGGTAAAGTACAATCCTTTAAACTCAGTTCGTTAAAACACAGAGATGCAATGCCTAAATTCAACTAGAATCCGGTGGCGTGAAAGGTCTAGGCAATCGATTACCACATGTGCGTCTCTCTAATTTCGCTAATGATGTGACCTGCTTGAGTCAGTGCCTGCGGAATTAAGGGCAATGATTAGAAATCAATTATTATTAATTATTATAAAGCAAGGCAATTATTACAAAGAGGCTTGCATTTAATTAACTTTTTACGTACCTTAAGCATGTCCGCAGTTTCTTTACGCCTGACGGCGATGTGTTCGCTTTCGATCAACAAGGCCTCGGCCTGATCCGATTTGTACAAATGTGTGACGAGTTCGCTCTGTAGATTATCCTTCACGTAGTTGACTAGGAAATGCATAACAGCCTTTGGTACACTATCCTGAATGGACTTTCGTACAATATAAAAGTATGATCTTATGAGTCTTTCTGCAAACAACAAAGGAGAAGATTGAAATTCAAGAGTTCATTGTAATAATAATATGTACGACGTTCGATACGATACGCTTCCTTACCGATAATATCACAATCCCGTTGCTCGCGGTCGCTGAGTTTCCGGGACGTCTGTATTGGTACCGCAGGGAGTAGATTTACTGGTTTCTGTTGCGGGGACGCTTTCTGCAGTTCGATCGCTGGATTCGGGTGTGAGTTTTCGCGCATTCTGACCGGAGAACCGTCCGCGGAACTAGTCGACTCCGGTCGTCCCTGGAGTAGCAAGTTACTTAGCAGCCAGTGATTTTGCTGCCCTTGCTGTTCCTTAGTCTGATTGGAAACAGAGTTCATCTCACCTCGATTATTGACTGATTTTAAAATCTGTTGCAAATATATTTTACTGTTAATCGCAAACACGACGTAAAAAAAAGAAAAAAAAATAAAATGACGCGGATAAAGTAATGAATAAAAATTGACGAACACATGAATGTTGCTCTATTCACATTTAAATCATTTTTCTTGAAACAATTTTATAAATGCGTTATGCACAAAGGGTGACAAGTTAGTGATAAATTTCGCTAAACAACACTAAATAAAAACTACTCACCGTGTCATTGGTGATTATAGTATTGGACGCTGAGGAATTAACTTCAAAACGATTACGTTTATTGTGCTTCAGGTGATCTACATCAGTGTCCTTCAGCAAGGACGACACAAATGCTGCATCTTTGTGAAAGTCGGGATGCTTAGTGTTAATGTACGCCAATTCTATCGCAACCAAGTTCTCTACCTTTTTTTTTTAAGAAAAAAAAAATCGAATCATTATGTCAGTATGAGGAACACGTTACGAATACAGAACGGACATTCTTTTCGTTTACCATTGAATTTGTATGTGGGAGTCGTCTACGTAGCAACTGTGTAACAACGTCGACGATACGCTCGTGCAATTTGGGGAAACGCAGCATTTCCTGTTGCACCTCGGTGCCGCAGTGCTGTATTATACTTTGCATCTCTTCGTGCACAAGCTCCACGCACCGTAACGAGGGGTCCTCTAACTTTCGTATTTGCCGTTTAACTAGCAGCTCGAAGGAGACCTCTGGCACGAAGAGAGCCGGTCTCGGACCGGTGGCATTGCGAATAGCGGTCAGTATGTCGACCTTACTGAGGTCCGCCAGCGGATTAATCGAATCGAGCGTTTTGCCAAACGTCTCGTGAAATATGTAGCAAATGCGAGCGCCGCCGCACAGCTCGGTGGTCTCTATGTTCCTTGCCGTGCCCTCTATCGTCGCGCAGTAGCTGTTCGCGAACTTCGTGATGATCTGCAGCAACGTTTGACTTTTGTCCTCGACGTCCCCGCCGTAGGAATTGAGCAGGGTCTGATATTGCGCGACCATCGTGTTGACTCTGTTCTGTTTTCAAAAAGCACAAGTTCTACCAAATTATGCTTACTTTAGCAGGTTCTACAGCTACATCCTGTAACTCGGCAATTCTACCGTTAATGTTTATTACCTTCAACTCCGGCAAGCAGTCCCTAATATGCTGCATAAGTAAACGATTGAGAGTTTTCGCTAAGTAAGGGGTGCCATTTCTGTTAGCCAACGTTGGATATTTGCGTTGCAAGAACGTGGCTTCGTCCTTCAACGCTTCCTGAATACTCTTGTTATTCATTATGTCCTGCTGCGAGCGATTAACTACACCTATAATGCCCAGTTTGACCGGGATGACTCTGCCGCATAGGATATCTATGGCGTCAGTCCCTGAAAAAAAAAGAAAAAAAATGTAGTCAATAATTGTTGTTACGATTCTGCTGCTCTTCGACGAGATGTAAAGCTGTGTGGAAAATTAAATTTACCGGCATCCATGAGGTCCAGTTTTGTAACGACTGCAAGCGTTCGTCTGCCATCTGGATCAACGTCTTTGCTCAGCTTCAAACTCTCACTCGTAGCCATGTCGGTGTTGGCAGTGACAACTGCTAGGATTATGGAGTTCGGACTACATATGTACTTTAACACGAGCTCACGTATCTGAGATTCGATGTCCTCCGGCTGGTCGCCCACCGGCACTTTCGTGATGCCAGGTAGATCTATGAGCGTCAGATTGACAACGGACGTCGAGAATATTTTAAGATTAATTGGTTCCGGACAAATCCCTTTGTTTGCTCCGGCCATTCTGTCAGTCTCGGCCTCGATCTCCGCGCGAATGTCGTCGAAATCTTTGTAAATCCTGTTCTTCGTGTGCAGAAACATTCCCCACTCCTCCAGGTCCAGGGTGCCATTTTCCGCGCTTCTGTGTTCTCGATCATCTCTCGGCGTATATACAAGTTGCAGTATCAATGGACGTCGCGTGACAATACCGGTCCCTCGCGGCAGAAAAGAACGGCCCACCAAGCTCTCGATTACAGACGACTTTCCTGAACTCTGAAAAAATTCAATATTTGCTCTTATTCCATGTTCAAGATAAATGTTCTTTGTTCCACTGTCTTTGTTCCACTTTAGTTATTCATCGCTAGAAATAAATTCAAAATAATTTTGAAAGTGGATACACAGAAAAAAAAGATATTCTCGTATATAAGCAAGAATATATTTTCTTAGATTTGGATTAAAAATTTGTTTGATTAAAAATTTAACCATTTGTATTACAAAAGTATCACTTTGTTCAATTAAAAAAAACTAAAAATCTATACAAAATCTATATTTTTACATATAAAAATATTTAGCTACATTTAAAACTAATTTTTTCTGTGTACCAAAATTACAATATTTTAAAAACAATAAAAAATAAATCACAATATTTCGATTTTGTCCCTCAATTGATTACAAGCAAACATATATCTATATGATTCAGGCCTCGCAAGCTATATTTTTTTTTCCAACTGTAACATTCATGGTCAGCAGGCAATTCATAATGAACGAGTGATCGTTGCATTGTTCGTGACAAAGAAAAAAAATTCAAATGCACGTATCGACACCGATAACCAATGCTAGATACGCTCCTTTCAACTGCACCCTCTCGCAATTTTTCTCTCTTACCGCGAGACAGAGAGATTTTCGATCGCGTATTCATTTAACCTTGAAAGCGGAGAGGGTGGCAAAGTCCAGATGAAAGGGGCGAACTTATCGGCTCGAGTGGCCGACTTGGCTCCCCGAGGGGAGACACTCCGGCTAACCTGCGTGCCCAGAACGACGATCTGCGGCAGTTGCAGCACGGTAGCGCCGACGGTGTTGAACACGTCCTGCAGTTTGTTTATCACAGGTATCAGGGCTTCCATGGCGGAGCGGACAGGCGACGACGAAGCCTCCGCGCGTCGCGTTCGACGGAACGGGAATCGATCGGGACGACGGTCGGTCGGTTAACGAAGCCGGGTTTATTCAAGTAACGCTCGCGCCTCACTCGTCTCCTTCTCTCTGCCCCTCGAGCGTTTCGGCGCTGCCTCGTTCTCTCTCTCTCCTCTACATGCGCGTCGCGCGGCTCCTTCGTGTGACGGAAGCGGATATATTCCGCACACGCCAAATCGTCGATTGATGAGCGATGACGCGCCGAACGGCCGTAATTTCACTCGAAATAACTCTATCGCTCCACCACCGCGAGTACCGCGGGAATAATGCACAGTATATTGCACACCTGATTCCCTCGCCCCTACCGCCGCGCTCCGCAATCAACTGACGCGTGCGCGTTCTTGATTGTGTGAGGGCAGCGAGCGTACGTATGTAACATACATACGTGCATCACGTATGCGCATGCGTGTGATGCTCGACGACCGACGGCGACGTGCCGCGTGCGTACTGCGTATAAGTGTGCGTGACGACGCGGTACGAGGCAGCACGTATGATTGTCGTAGATCCATCGTTTCCATTCCCGCCTGATCCTGTTCGAGTCCTCCGGTTCGTTTGTTAACTATATATCCCCATTTAAAGGGAATCTTTTCCAATCTCTCAATTTCTTTCCTTTGTCAGGTCAATATTATACGTAATATGTATATTTATAACATAACCTTATTACCCTACATGGCACCTCCTTTACCACCGAAAGCGATATATCATTTATTTCCAGTTTTCCTAATTATCCGCACGGCGTAAAACATTTAATATTCGTTTATAATGTAAATCGTCACCGAATATTCCGCGAATATGGTCATTTCGAAATTTGAACCTGATCTGAGTTCTATGACTAATCAGTTATTGCCCGTCGAATAATGTTCATTTTTTTTATCAATTGTGACAATCGAATTTTTTTCAATAACGCAATTATTTTTCTCTTCACGTCAAAGAAAAAAAAAAGAGGAAAAATGAACGATTAACATAAAGCTGCGCCGTTAACGATTAGCAGCTTCTATTTGATTGGAAAAAACGATCGTAAACGCAACGCAAATGCGGACACATTCGCCTCAATCGCTAGTGATATGGGCATGATATGCGCCGTGTTCGTTTTAATACTGCATTCTCTGCACTCGATTTTCACAAATTTTTTTCTTTATATGCATGCTTATCTCGTATTCTGAAAATAATTAAGAAATTCAAATAAAGTAAAAAGGATTTCTTTTTCCTTGAAGAGTCTAACGTAAAGGATATTCTTTATTACAATAAATATTTGCTTTCTGTATCTGCACAACTTTAACTTAATAACGTCAGCTAGCGCTTATTTTACTACGCATGTGCGAACGTGAGCGAGTTTACATGGGCATAGGAAATTCCTATGTCCATGGAAGTTTAGGGAATTAGCAGTCGTACACGTTGGTTGGAGTCGTTGAACTTTTGCTCTAACCTCTTTCCTCTTGCTTGCTTCTAACATAACCTAATTATCGTCGTTTACATGTGCTTTTCATGTAGAGAATGTTTTTAAAGTGACTTCGACTAAACTTAGATTCATTCGAACGCAGAATTATTACACAATTTCTAACTGTGTAATTTGTGTGACTGTTACGTGTTCCGAATTCGTTTTTATTATAATTCGTACAAAAGAAAACGTATACACACGTCTACGGAAAATATAATGGTAAGTGCGTTTTTTAATAAATATTTAATTATTTAATCATGTATTTATGAAAGTTATATTGAAAGCATGGCTGTGTTCAAGTCAGCAAACCAGCTAACTTGAGCGAATGCATAACTGTTTTGTCGTAGTGGTTAGCATTGTCGCGTGGCTTATTTTGTTTGTTTTCTAATTAGCGATTTAGTTCAGTATAAGTTACATTTACTGGTTTTTTTTTAAATAAATGTCAACATAAATTTTCTGTGATTAATTTATGCTAATAATTTAATAATGTTATTTACATTTTATTAGTGTTTATTTACATAATGGAAATATCTTCAAGAATATAGTATTATTAAGAAGGAAATCTTTAGTAAGTCATTAAGGAACTTATTTCTTTATTATTACTTTTTGGTAATGATAATTTTGAGTATGTAATTTCTATCGAAACAAAAATTATGGATTATATTATTTTGAAAAAATATATACATTCAATGATGTATAAATTGCTATTAATCACACAGCGTTCATTCAACGAACAAGTAGCTGCTTTGCCAATTTGAACATACTCTATAATATGACAAATTATATTGGGCTTTAATTTAAATAAGTATAATTATGTAGTAATAATATAATTATATTATTGCACGATAATACTTGCTATGATTATTACATGTTACAGGGGAAAAATAAGAAAACGCGTAAAGTTGTGATGCAGAGATTTGCTCAAATGAAGAGGATGATTAGTTTGAGTGATACGCGAATGTAAGTTGATGTTTCGTATAATTTTCGAAAAAAATCATTGTTATAACTTTGTAAGACATATGTGAAAAAAATTATAATTTTGTTTTATAGAAAGCCAGAAAAGCGATTGCCATCGAAGAAAACTCCCAAAGAGGATAAGACTAAAATAAAAATTACAGAAGTGTAAGTAATGTTATATATATAATCTGACATTTTACATTGTTTTTAACAGAAATATCTTTTGCATGGCATTGAGAAATAATTTATTATAAAACATCTTGTTTTCACATTTTAAAATTTTATGGTACTTTTTTTCTTTCAGGCCCCAACAATCCTCGGCATTATTCTTCCAATATAATACACAACTTGGACCGCCATACCATATTTTAATTGACACAAACTTCATTAATTTCTCCATTAAAAACAAATTAGATATAATACAGAACATGATGGAATGTCTTTATGCAAAATGTACGCCATACATAACGGATTGCGTAATGGGTGAATTAGAGAAGCTTGGACAGAAGTATAAATTAGCATTGAAAATAATCAAGGATCCGCGATTTGAAAGATTAAAATGTATGCATAAAGGAACCTATGCAGATGACTGTCTTGTAAATAGGGTGACGCAAGTAAGTATAGATTATGGAATCTTGTATTAAAAAATTCTTTTGACAGTGGTAATTTAAATTTACTTTATTGATCGTCATAAACAAAAAATTGAATTATGCGTTGTATTATTATTTCAGCATAAATGTTACATTGTTGCAACAAACGATAGAGATTTGAAAAGAAGAATACGGAAGATACCAGGTGTGCCAATTATGTATATATCTCAGCATAGATATACAATAGAAAGAATGCCAGATGCTTATGGTGCACCTAAGAGATAAGAGTATTACTTACTTTGAATCAATTTCTTTTCATAATGATTATCTTTTTGTAAACATACACAAAGATGTACATTTTGTTAATAAAATTTATATAAAAATCTATAAAAAAAATTGTTATCCTACAATTTAATATATTATGGTATATAATACATATTTCTCTATTGTTTCCTATGTATAATATAATATTTTGCCAAAAACTTAAATACCTTAAAGACATTTAAGTTACTAATATATCTGCAGGAAAAGCTCTATTTTTAAATAAATATATATAACTATATATTGGTATATTATTTATTTAAATAGAAATTTATGTATTTACTAGAAATCTAATAGTAATATTGTTCTATCATTATTGAAGTGACATTCAATTTATAGTAGATACAGGTATAATATATGCAGCTATAGTGTACAGGTTTCAGTACCAAGCCCACGCGTAATAGTAAAAAGAGCAGGGAGAGATAAAACGGATATTCCCTCTGTACTGGCCTTTGAGGTCCAGTTTTATCAAATTCTTATTGTGGGCAGTGATGAGACATTTCTATTGAAACAATATATGAACATATTGTCATGACTATTTTTTTTAATTTCTAAAAGATAATTTATCAAATTTTTATAAAAATATTAATGCTCTTTATTAAATAGCAATAACAAATTTCGTTGGTCCTGAGTAAATTATATACCATTTTCTGGAATAATTATTTTCCTATAAACTTTCTTATTCTACAAAATTTTTGGTAAAGAATTTAGAAAAATTAATACAATTTAAAAAACTTTATAGAAGAAAAATTAATTATTTAAAATTTATATTAGCCTGCGCCTGCGCGCGCGTGTCTATGCCCTGTAAAATATTACAATATATAAATTAAAATAAATTGATATTTATATAAGTACTTATATAAAATTAATTTTTATAAATATTATTTATAATATTACAAAATTAATTCTAACATTCGTTTATTTTTTACGAAATAATATGTATATAATCAAAACTACAAACGGAGACGTTTCAGTGCGAGAAATGATCGGCTGCGTATTTATGGCGAGGCACGCTCGCAAAATAAGCTGTTAGGACATTTCTGTCAATTTCTCACTCTCTATTCCCAAGAAGCTCGTTCGCTCTATTGCGAAAAGTAATCCTGCTCGATGCCAGCGATTTTGTACACCCACGTACGGAGAACGATCGGATTTCTGCTTGGATGCAATGCGATGTTGCAATGTGTCAGTCACTTTACGAAATCTTATACCGCGAGCTTTTCCTGCAGATATATTAATAACTTATTAAATATCTATAAGGTATTTAAATTTTTGGTAAAATATTATATTATACATATAGAAAAAAAATTGAGAAATATATATTATATTATATAATAAATTAAATTATCGGATAATACATTAATTTTTTATAGATTTTTGTACAATATTGTAATACATGTATGTTATCCTTAGAGAAATTTAATATTGTAAGTATTACATTAGTTAATGATTAATTATTTATTTAAAATATTAAAAGTACAGTAATTTTAATTAATACTCAAAATAAATAATTAATCGCTAATCAATTTAATACTTACAGCATTGCATTTCTCTAAGGCAAGTATAATATTATTTATCATTATACTGTTACATAGTACAACAGAGTTTGCGTGACCTTGTCAACGCAAAGATACGGACATGAAGTTTTATAATCACTCTTATCAATCAGGATCGTATATCGCGATCTTCAGGGTTCGAGAAGCTCGATATATGCGAGGATTAATATAATTGATGATTTTGGCGCACAAAGTGTCATGGCTTTTCTATATCCGGATAAATGTCGGGTTTTCTCCGCCTCCTACCCCGGGTCGTGACCTTTCTAATATCGCGGAACAACAAATGGCGTACGCGCGCGCGCACGTTATCGCGGCGAAACGCAGAATATATTAATCATACGATTCAACGTTCTGTGTTGCATCCCTCGAGAGACAAGTCTACGAACCAAATTTCAATTTATTTCTCTCGGATAACAAATGATCGTCGTTTGAAATTATTTTCTGCTTCAAAGTATAATTATATTATCGTTTATCACATTATTAATTGTTATTGTAAAATCTTAATCGTATTATTATAATTTGCACATAAAAGCCTATTATCCAACTTATGGAATTTATAGGAATAACATGAAATCTTATTTGACAAATTAAAATTGAATATGAATTACTAAAAAAGTTTTGTATAAAATTTCAAATCTTTTTTTTACGCAAAGATGAAAATTATTTAAATGTAAAGAAACTAAAAATTAAATTTTTATCTATTAATATTATATAATAGATTTATTAATTCTTTTATTAATTGTTAATAATTATTAATTAAATATTAATATTATATATAAAAGCTTTTAGTTAATATAAAATTACTGAATGATAAGTTTTAAACGTACTGAAGATGTGATACATATGTGTGAAATCGATATTGAAATTAATGTAGTATATCGTATATTGTATTGTAAACACTGGGGGTAAACACTAAAACTAGGAATCATCCTAAGCCGCGAGGTTAGGTTTATTAAGCATTATTATAAATAAATAAATAGAAAGAGTTTTTAGTTTTTTAAATTTATTTAATTGAGATTAAAGAAAATAAGTGACAGGAAGTATGTTATAATTAAATATTTCATGTTAGTCATAATTTTAATTAATAATTTATTTATAATTTATATTTTGAATCGATATTTTGCCATTTTTTTCGCATGTATTTTCTTCGTACATCTATAAATTGTTCGACGTGAGAAAAATTATTTGTCGCACGAGTCTTCGATGCTCATTCAAAAATTTAACACAATTTAATAGTGAAACGAATGCATTTGACTTTGGAGCCTTATAAACTTATAGATAGCGCAAAACGCGTTGTTTGGGGCATTGTCACCTATTACCATTGACACCCTCTCTAATTTTCCCTGATATTTCCGACCGAGAAGAAGGCGACTCGTCCATCATCCGATAAGAAACCGCGTCTGACACTGTTCTTCGGCAGATGTTCGTTCATTCGTGAGAAATACTCGTACTTACTCTTATCTAAGTCCACGTAAAACGAGTCGGTTTAAAGCGATTTGTCCCTTTTGTTTCGTGAAAAAGAACAAAATAGGAAAAAATCATCGGATCTCTATTTTGTTTGCACGTAAATTGCTTTGTCCATTGTTATATATATTTCTCATTGCAACAAAATGAATTCTTTAATTCGCTCGATCTTAAGAACTGAAACTTGTTAGAATGGAAAAACTGAGTAGATTTGATTTATTTCGTGATTGAATTTCTTTGTGTTGATCTTGATTTCTTTATATGCACTATATTTATTATAGTTGAATTAAAATCACAAATATAAAAATATACTGAATATCGAAACATTAAAAACAATTTAATTCTTTAATTATTGATTTTGAATCGATCACATATTGTTTTTAACTTACCGTTTTATTGTTTTTAATTCCTTGATTTTGACTGACTCATTTTTAACTATCATCTGCACTACCGCGGTTACTGATCAATTATTGTTACTTTTCGATTTCCTGTATATAGAATGAACGCCATTAATCCTTTTGCGGAATACCATAAATTGAATCATATACAACATATTTCAAAGTCAGATGCGCGAGAAATTTTACAGCGAAAAGTGCAGTTTTGCGTGTCATGATACTTGGTTGCCATGCGGAATAGTATGGCAACTTTTTTATCTTATTTTATAATTTTGGTTTTAGTTTTTGTAGTTAAATTTCAATATTATCAAAGTAACAACCTATGCGGCGACGTCACTTATACAATGCGGCGAGGTCGCTTATACATTGTTGTACCTAGTAAACCAGATTAAAGAGAATCAACGGTCCAGTGAGCGAGTAAACTACATAAGAAAAAAAAAGAGAAAAGAAAGTAGACAGATAGAGATAGGAAGAGAGAGAAAGAGAGAAAGAAAAAACTGGGGAACCCGAGATGGTGAATTAGTTTGAAGGAAAGAAGATCGAAAGAATTGAGCTGAACACTCGATCGTGGTAACGGATTATAAAAGTGACCATAGGCCCGCGAATATATATCTACATTCTACACACAGGCCATGAGTCCGGATCCCGCAGATCACCCCCGCTTCACCTTTCTCACCCCACCTTACTGATATCCCGATGTTTCTTCGCGTGGCAGCCCGCATCCCCTAAGTTGGGGTGTCCCCCTGCCCGCCCTTCTAGGTATTTCCCCTCCTCCCCCACGCATTATTCATCTCTCGTTCTTCATCCTCGTCACCCTTTTTCTCGTCAGTCTTCGTATTACTCCCTCTTTCTTCTTCATTCATTTTTCTCTTTTTTCTCTTCCTCTTCTTATAGTCTTTCTCTCTCTCGTTTTCTTTCTCTGGTCTACTCGACGTCCCTCTTGTTCTCGTTATGTCTCTCTCATTCCCTTCAACGAGAAGCAACGTCCTCGTCGCACAGGGTTCCAGCATGCAGCGGCCATCTTGCATACCTGAGCCTCCGCATTGCTCGTTCCTCGAGGGCAAAAGGGAGAATATCTCAGCGAGACGGCGGCGGGATGCGCGAGGCGAGACGAAGGTGGAAGGATCGCGCGTGGAAGATGGCGAGGAGGGAAAGCTGGAGAGCTGAGTCAAGTGAGAGGGTGGGGAAGGAGAACGGGGCCCACGGTCGAAGCAGCGGGCCCCAGGTAAGAGCAAGTGGGAGAGAAAGAGACGGGCATACGCGTGACGGACAAAGAGGCCCGTATTCTGATATAGGCAGTGGTATGGCAAAATGGTAGGGGTGAAGAGGGAGGATGGGAGATGGGAAAGAGAACCGAGGTAAGAGTGAAGAAAATGAGCATTCGGGGAAGGAAGGAGTGACGAGGATAGGAGATCAAACGTTTCTTGACACGAAAGACAGGGAGGGAGAGAGAGATAGAAAAGGAGGAAACGAGCTGTTAGAAAGAGCGAGTGGGACCATATCGTAGAGCGAGGAAACGCGGTAGAACCACGGTGTTTCTCAGAGCGGACAGAGAAGGTGATATCGATAGGCCTTGCGCGGGGTGGTCGGGGGGCGAAGGCCCATAAATGGAGAGCGAGAAAAAGAGGGAGAATGGAAATGCAAAGAATGGGAGAAGGATAGGGAATAGAGGGAGGGGAGAAAGAGGGTCCGATGGATCGGAGAGGGACGGCGTCAGCCAGCCCGAAGAATGCCTCTCCTGGCAGCGGCGAGGTTCTGGGACCGGCTCGGTTCAGTCGAGTCAGGTCAGCCCTCGGGAAGACGACATTCTTCTTCGCGGTGCTCACGTTCCGCGTTCTTTCGGGGCCTTACGTCGCGCTTATTGCGGCCCCGTCGTGTTTCGTTATTTCTCCTTTACTTTTTATCCTTCCATCCTTTTTCCATCGGTCCCTCTGCCGATTGCCTCTACGGTTGCGCGCGCGATTCGTCTTCATCCCCCGATAACCGAGCTTACCCCGAGGCGCGCGCGCGCGCGCGCGCACGCGAACCCGTTGTGTTGCTCGTGAGATTGCTTCACGATCGGCGAACCCAAGCGAGCGCCGCATCGCGATCGCGTGAACTTCCTGACAGTTTCCGCGAAAGATAACGCGAGTTCGGCGGCGAATTGCACGAACTCAAGAGTGAATCGCGAATTCGAGCCTCTCGGAATTCGGTTACATCGGTACTCTCGTGAGAGAATACATCGTAAATCATATTCTTTTCGTCTTGTGTTTTGGATAATGGATCTTGGTGTGTTCCCGTCTCTGTGTAGTGTTTACGTCGCGAGGTTCTATCGAGTTTAATCCGGTTTTTTAGTGATAAATTTGTAGATTCTGAGAGATCCGAGTGTTTTGACATATAGCGAGATATAGAGATCGCAATGAAAAATCGTCTATCATTTTATTAATTACTTCTTTTCGGGAGGGATTCATCTTTCTAAAAATGCAATATGACAGTGCGAAGCACGTGACGTAGACGCGTCTGGAATGCAAGAGTTGAAAAAGGAGAGCAATCTCATCAGAGAAGATTCCATTCTTGGGGAAGGAGAAAGATATACATTCTCTTGATTCTATATCGCGAATCGCTAATCGGAAAATCGTCCGAAACGTTCCACTCTCGCGCTCGCGAAGCATTCGCGAGCATCCACAGACGCGCGTTTCGCGAGGCGCGGCTCTCGGCGGGTCACTGCCCCCTCTGCCGGGTGAAGTCTCCTCTCGTATATACACTTGACTTTTAGCGGCGAAGGAAAGGAGGAGTAAAAGAGGAGAAAATGAGAGAGTGATAAGGAAAGAAAGTGTATGTGTAAGAGAGAGAAACGGATACGGAGAAGAAGAGGAAGAAAGACGGAAAAGAAAGCACCCACCAGCTTCGGGTTTAAATCGGTACTCCCGGTCCAGGTGGGGAAAAAAATGCGACGCATCGCCGGACAGAGGACGGTGGTTCACGTCGTCGCGCGCGATTAATCTCCGTCCTTGGAGGAATGTCGCGGTACGTGCAATGCGCCGGTATGTAGACGCGGAAGACGACGACAGGATTATCGCCGGCCACGACCATGAGGAGGAAGAACGACAGGTAGTGCGTAATCGGAGCGCGCGATTTTACGCCTACGACGAGTGAGCCGAGATTTGGCTAAGGCAGGTGGGCGTGTCGCGGCGAGACAGAAGAGATGATCATAAGAGGATCGATGATCTTGACCCTGCTCCTGGGACTACTGTTGGTGGTGGACCAAAATGGCGGCCAGGTCGTCAGCCAGGAAGCGGCGGCGGCGACGGCGACGGCGACGGTGGCAGTGGCTGCGTCCGACCGCTATTTCACTTTGCACAACCTACCTCAAAGAGTCACGCGGTTAGTGCCACGAAGATCACCAATGTTGCCACAAGACAACACCGCGGCGATGGGTCTGACGATGCAGAGTAGAGCAGTTGACACGCGGGTCCAGCTCGAAATTAGGGAAGGCGAGCCTAAGGGTACTCTGGTTGGCACGATACCTGTGAAGCCCGACTTCACTTACAGATTCAACGAGCCGCCGAAGGAGTTCGTACTTGATCCGGAAACTGGCAACATAAGAACGACCAAGGTTCTCGATCGCGAAGCTCTCAGCAGTGATCGGTTCGATCTGGTTGTGCTCTCGAGTCAACCGACTTATCCGATCGAGGTGCGAATTCTGGTACTTGATATCAATGATAATAATCCAGAATTTCCGGAGCCCAGTATTGCGGTTAGCTTCTCGGAATCGGCTGTGGCTGGTACCAAGCTATTGTTGGACGCCGCGACTGACCGGGATACACCAGAGAACGGCGTGTTGGACAATTATTTTATCGTGGGAAGTAATATGAGTGATAACTTCCGTTTGCAGGTCATTGGAAATCCCACAGGTGAAATGTCGTACCTGCATCTCGAGACTGTCGGCAAGCTAGACCGCGAACAAATAGAATTTTATTCGCTCAACATTTGCGCGTGCGATCGCGGCCGACCGCCGCGACTGGGTTGTCTGCTGGTGAACGTAACAGTGCTGGATGTGAACGATAATCCGCCCGTGTTTTCACAAAGCGACTACGTGGTAGCGTTGAACGAGAGCGCACCTGTTGGCACCAAGGTGTTAACGGTGAACGCCACCGATAAAGATTTGGATGACAATTCTAAGCTAACGTATTATCTGCCGGACAATGAGCGCAAATTTACAATCGATCCAGAAACTGGCACAATTACGACAGCCGAGCCCTTAAAATGTCCTCAACAACGTTGCATAGTGGTACGTCCAGGCGGCAGTTGTCCCAAGAGTTGCGTCATCACAGTCTACGCTCGTGATCACGGTTCGCCTAGACAGGACGGTCGTACTTACGTGACGGTAAACTTGTTGGACGCGAATGATCACGATCCTGTGATCCAGTTCAACTACTTTCCACAGAGTGTGGGTTTTGCCAGCGTCGACGAGAACACCGCCAAAGACCAAATTGTTGCGGCGGTAGCGGTGATCGACGACGACGAGGGTCCGAACGGTGAGACTAGCGTAGAGATACGTGCTGGTAATGAGTTAGGCCACTTTCGGTTGGAGCGCGCAGCGGGCTTAAACATCGTGCGAGTCGATGGTCGGTTAGATCGCGAGGAGATACCCAAGTATAATCTTACAGTGGTTGCTACCGATAAGGGCACGCCACCCAGATCAGCCACAGCCTATCTCGTTATTCACGTGAATGACGTCAACGATCACGAGCCGGTGTTTCAGCAAAGCGAGTACTCAGCAGTATTATCGGAACTCACACCGATCGGCAGTTTCGTTGCCAGCATCTCGGCCACGGACGCGGATTCAGGGGTAAACGCGCGAATTTATTACGAGTTCAGTTTGGGTAATGAGCATCGATGGTTTACTATCGACAGGGACACTGGCTTGATCACTACCGTGGCTACCTTGGATCGTGAGGTCCAAGGTAGCATCGAGTTACGCGTGATGGCGAAGGACGGCGGTCCGAATGCTAAGTACGCGTCCACGCATGTCAAAATAACGATCCTTGACGAGAATGATGAGGCGCCACGCTTTTCCGAGAAAGTCATCGCGGTTACGCTATCGGAGAACACGCCGCCCTATAGTCTAGTAGCTACTCTCACAGCTATTGACAACGATCAAGGTACCAATGGTAGCGTCGCGTATAGTTTTCACCCTAGTGTCTCGCGTGATTATCCCAAGACCTTTGCCCTGGATGCTTTGACCGGTCAGCTGACGACTATGGTCGCCTTGGACCGAGAAGCCATAGCAGAGTACAGAATTCTAGTGATAGCGAAAGATCAAGGCACGCCGGTACAATCTTCGACCGCCACCGTGGTGTTAACGTTAGAAGACATCAATGATAATTCACCTGTTTTCTATCCTTCGAAATATTTAATGCCCATCTCCGAAGATGTTCCAGCAGGTACAACCATAGGTAAAGTAACGGCGTCTGACGCTGATGCGCGAGAGAATGCTCAGGTGAGATACACTCTAGAATCCGGCGGTGAAGGTCTCTTCGTGGTGGAAGAAAGGACCGGCGTGATTGTTCTGCAAGGTTCTCTACGGGCTGCGCACAAGACTCTTTACGAATTGACGATCTCAGCGAAGGACATTGGCGACCGGATGGCAGCCAGAAATGCCGTAGTAGAAGTTATACGCGAAGAGGATCTGGAGCACCTCGAGTTTGACACTTACAATGGTTATGAGTTTCGCGTTCTTGAGGATTATGGCGAGTGCGATTCGTCTGTTTCGTCTGCCAATCGGGAAATCGGCTCAGTACACGTCACACAATACGGCAATACGGGTAAAGTGAGCTACGCTATAGTATTCGGTGATCCTAAGGGCAATTTCAGAATCAACGAAAATACTGGAGTTATCAGCACCGCCGGCTGCCTGGACCGCGAGCGTATTACTTATTACAGCCTGCAACTGTCAGCGCGTGCCGATCTCGCGTATGGTCAGACAATCGTTAACATCACCGTGCAAGATGTCAACGATAACCCGCCGAGGTTTCCCAGGGGTGAGTGGGGCGACGAGATTCTCCTGCGGGAGAACGCGGCTGTGGGGCAGGAAGTGTGCCTGGCTCGGGCCAGGGATCGTGACACCGGTGCCAATGCCAGGATCGTTTATTCCTTGACGCATAATCCGGACGGGCAATTCAGAATCGCCGAGAACTCGGGCATTATCTATCTAAACAAGCCGATTCGTGCGCCGCCCGGTACGATCTTTCATCTAGAGGTAACGGCGACCGATTCCGGCAGGCAACCGTTATCCGCCCAGCACCAAATTCGAGTGACGATTGAAGATGTCAATGATCACACACCGGTTTTCCGACTGACCAGCTACGAGACTTCGCTGCCGGAATCTACGCCAGTCAACGAGCGTTTCTTTTCGCTAATAGCTCAAGACGTGGACCTCGGCATCAACGGCAGGATATTATATAGCATTACCGATGGCAATACGGAGAACCGTTTTGGCATCTTCCCGGATGGCCAGCTGTACGTGAAGAACGCGCTTGACCGCGAGGAACGGGACTATTACGCGCTCGAAGTCACCGCATCTGATCAGGGTAAACCACCACGAAGCTCTGTGGTCCCTGTGGTGGTGCACGTGATCGATGAAAATGACAACGCGCCCCAATTCACTAATAGTAGTTTCAGCTTTCATCTACGCGAGAACGAGCCACCTGACACCTTCGTCGGCAAACTGCTGGCTACTGATCGCGATGTCGGTCGTAACGCTGATCTCATGTTCTTGCTACCGGCCAATCAGCAGGATTTCGTAGTCGACTCGAGAAACGGTTTCGTGAGATCGCTGCGCATGTTTGATCGCGAACTCCTAGCCAATAACGGCGGCAACTACATCAGTCTGGAAGCCAGTGTCTTGGACAATGGCGTTAACCGTTTAAGTGACCGCGTCAAGGTCACCGTCTATATCACCGATGTTAACGATAATATGCCGCAGTTTCAACGTTTGCCCTATTGGGTGCAGGTGAGTGAGGGTGCCACGATCGGCATGCAGTTACTAAGAGTATACACGACCGACGCGGACGAGGGTTTGAACGGCGATGTGTTCTATTCGCTGGAGGATGGTAATCAACATGGTCACTTCATGATAGACGAGGCTACCGGGCAGATCACGCTCGAGAAGGAGCTCGATCGCGAAACGTTCGACACCTACGTGCTGACCGTCGTGGCACACGATGCTGGTTTGGAGACGCGACTATCATCTAGCGCGACCGTCCACATCGAGGTGCTCGATGAGAATGATAACAAGCCGCGCTTTGTCGACAACGAGTCGGAGATCTCTGTGCTGGAAACTACGCCAGTCAGTACCGAGCTGTTGCGTTTTAAGGCTACCGATAACGATCTCGGACCCAATAGCGAGTTGACATTTGCTATATCGGCTGGCAACAAGAGGGATACTTTCTATATTGATCCGCTGACCGGTATTTTGTCACTGAAGAGACCGCTCGATTATGAAGAATTGGTACGTTACACGCTCAACATTACATGTAGCGACGGAGGTCACCCGCGTCTCAGCTCGGTCACCAGCCTGACTGTTAAGGTAATCGATACCAACGACAATTCGCCGGTGTTTCCAAACACAGCGATTGTACGTCAAATACGCGAGGGTATCCCTATACGAACGCCGATCGTCACCATTACTGCCGAGGATCCGGATTCAGGCCCCAACGGCAAGGTCAGCTACTCGATTCTCAGCCAGGATCCGCAGGATGAAGTGCGACGTTTCGGTATCAATTCGTTGACCGGCGTGATCAATACGCTGCTCCCGATCGATCGCGAAGAGGTGGATACTTTCAATCTGGTGGTGGTCGCTACCGATCAAGCGCAACCGCCAAGCGCACGGCTGTCTGCCGAGAAGCAAGTGATCGTATTCGTGGAGGATATCAACGACAACGCGCCGATTTTCGTTAGCATGTCAGCGGTAGTGTTACCGCCTCTGAACGCCGGCAACTATCAGTCTTCGACCGAGAATATCCAGGTCATGCAACTGCTGGCTCGCGATCTCGACTTTAGCACCAACGGCTTAGTGACGTACGAGTTACTCCGTTTCAGCGTCAATTACTCGGACATGTTCCAAATCCATCGTAACACCGGTCAACTCGTTATGAGACTTCCGCAATCATCTCCGAAAGACGGCCCCTTAGAGCATCTTTCCTTCAAGTATCAAGTAGGCGTCCGAGCGACAGACGAAGCGGTTCAGGCGGAACGGCGCTCGTCCGAAACTTACGTGACCTTGATCGTGCCGGGCGAGGACGGCGACGATCAGCCGATTTGGGAACATCAGGGCAAGATTGAGGGCAACGTTTACGAAAACGAGCCGATCGGCACAAGTATCTTGCGCGTGAGCGCGCGTAGCCGTCGATCCAAAATTGAGCTCGAGTATTATGTGACGAATGTGACCGCCGGCGACGGGCCCCAAGTTGATCGGCTATTCGACATCGACACGAAGACCGGTGTGCTGTCCACCGCAGCTCAACTCGATCGCGAGACCGGTGTCCAATGGTACGAGGTGGAGCTGTACGCCATCGGCATCGGCGGCACCAGGCCCAGTACGACGTCCACCAAAGTAAGTCCGCGCCGCTTGGCTTTTTGATTGATCGTCTCGGTGATATTAATGATGCTTCCTTCGTCGGCTTCTGAAAGATATTCGGTGCTTTTTGTGCGCCGTGCCACTTCCTCGTCCCGCGCGCTCGCCCCGCGTAATGTAATTTCTCGATTGCCGGATAAGACCCCTCCTCGTGAGGCGGGCGAGCGAACGGATGAGTCCGGATTGTCGTTTGCGGCGCGAGATTCAGCAGGGATATTATAATTGCTGAATTGATACCACGCGAGATAGATGTGACAGTATGATTGGCGCCAGAATTATTGAGACACTTATTTTTATTTAATAGATAATCTCTACGCATTTATATTTATTCTAAACTGCCGATGCTGATATAAATGATTAAAACATAAATATATACATATATATATATTTAACTGATTAATTAATACTGCATTTTTGTATATTGCACGTGAAATTTTCAGAGAAGCAGAAGTTATAAAACTGACAGTTATATTGTGTATATTTTTACTTAGTATTATAATTTCTACTTTTCTGGAAAATTTGCATTCAGTACACAAGAATGAAGTATTAAGTATCAAGTCTTACTGATTTTTAATGAGAAAGCCGTATAAATTCGGAGATATATGCATAAGTTCGATTTTTCTATTTTTATTACCGTTATAATTAAATGGACAAATGAGTGGACTTGTGGGTAATAATTTTACGAAAATGATTAATTACTCATAGGAAATATTAATGATGTATCGAATTGAAAGAAACTTTTTATTAAGTCAGATGTGCGGATACGTGTGTAATTTCCGAACGAGTTGCTAGAACTTATTTCTTCAAACATTGATGTTACTGACGAGAAACGTAAATATACTACAATTATTAATTATATACGTCAATTTTTAACTTTTATTTAAATATTTTCTGTTTGTTATAATTATTTTATAAATAAAAAACAGAAATAATAATTTATAATTTTTGAGACATGAGTTTTGTTTAAATTCTTTATGTATTATGCATAGAGCAATCAGAAAAATTTGTGACGTAAAAATAACTTTTTATAAATTTTTTAAATTTTAGTTCATGTATTACACGCACAAGGCTAACCATAATTTTGGCAATTAATAATTAATAGTTAACAAAGCTTATGATACGATATTATGTTATTATAAAAAGAGCAGCCTTTGAGAGATAGATTTCGTCACTACTAACATGATTTCTATTCGTCTCTTCTATTGACGCTATTTCCGCATTCATCAATTTCTCCTTCTCACTTTCGATGACACAATAATTAGAGCGGCAATATACGTGCGCCGCGTGTCTTTCTCTCGCCAGACAAGCGATAATTTGACCGACTGAGAATTGTGTTACGCAACAATACCCTTAATGCAATTAAAGCTGACGATAGAGTGATATACAGGGGGATAAAAGGAACGAGAAAAAGAGATAGAGACAGAGAGAGAAGTGACGAAGGGAGTAAGGAAAAGAGAAATCTTTGGAGATGAGTAGCAATGGATGAAAGGACAACACGCGCGCGGGGAAGAGGACGCTCTTCTCGCGGTAGGAAGAGAAAGAAAATGTGAAGAAAGAGAAGGAGGAAAAGAAAAGGAGAAGAAGGAGAAGACGAGGAGGAAGAAGAAGAGGAGAAGGGAGATTGTGAATACGAACGGTTTACAGCCGGTTCAGTGCTGCATAAATAGGGCTTAGGACCCGGGACGTTTTCTCAAATTACAGGGCGCGTTTCAAATTTATACGAAAGCACCACGCCGCACCGCCACCGCCACCGCCACCACCGTCGCCGTCTGGTCTCGTTTTATTAGAACGAAGCATATCCTAATTAATTCGAGCTTTTTTACTCTGCACTTGTACAGGGTGTCTCACAATTCACAATCTTGTCTTTAGCGACAGAACTCTCAGAGAATTTAGCTATTGTTTCGACTGGAGATATGAAGGTAGTAATAATTAACGATTGTGTGTGTGTGTAGACAAAGGGAGGGAGAGGGAGAGAGATAAAGAATTCTTGTCTAATTACCTAAAATTTGAACTTAACATTTTAAATAATATCAATAAGATAAAATCATACTTTTCTATTAATTTGTTAATTGTTTATTACAGACATTTATTAGAAATTTGCTAAAGAACCCGTTTTATTCTGCGTCTATAAAATGATTTCTATAGATATTTTATAATGAATTCTTCATCTTTAATTTAATTTAAATTTATTTATTTTTCTTCTATTTAAATTTTTGTAAATCTTGATTTAAGAAGACGTGGGTCCAAGGATTAGAACTGTAGTCGAGCATGATTATTCTATTTTATTTTTACTTTGCGTAAGGAATTTCCTAAAAATTATTGAGAATTTTAAAATTGGTACAGTGCCCACGTGGGTACTAATATTCCATTCGCGCTCCAGTCCTGCCACATCCTGGGATTGGAGAGCAGGGAAGCGATAGATTGAGAAAGACGAGGAAGAGCAAACGGTTGTAACGGCAGAGAAAGAAAGAAAGAGAGAGAGAGAGAGAGAGAGAGAGAGAGAGAGCGAGAGAGGAATAAACGACAAGATGAACCGCGTGCCAGGAAATCAACTCGGATTCGAGTTCGGGCCTCTGGCTTTCTCTCTCTCTCTCTCTGTGTGGTTCGAAGACTTGAGAAAAACTTGATCTCGGATGAGCGAGCGCAGCCCTTACCTCGGCGCGCGCGCGCCGCGCTGAGGCCTTAGGACCGCTGAGAAGCGCGCAGTCGGTCCCATCTCTACCCCCGATGTGCGTCAACGCCGCTTTATTTCTGAAGATCTTTTCCTCTGTCCTCCCTCCTCCCTCCATCTCTTTCAAGCCGCCTACCGTCGCCCTTGGCTTCTCTTCGTCCTCATCCACACGTTTATCTCTCTTCTTCTTAAATTTAATCTTTTATTTGGTAATGCTGCTTTCGAGAAACATGATTCCTTTATATTGTACTTCATGTATCGCCTTTTGTTATTATGGTGAAGTTCCAATCGATGTTGCTGTCAAGGTAACAAACAAAGAATTGGTTTCCTTTAGCTCGAAAAAAGTTTGAAGAGGTCAGCTCCAGAAAAATTTGATAAATACAAAGGGACAAAAGATTACAAATATTTTCTTCGATTCCCTCTAAATAGAGATTCATGTGCGAAATCTAGTTTGAGAGCATGTTTTCAATCGTGGAAAAATGTTTTTCAACTTTCATCTTATCCAAATAAAAGAATTATTAATATCAGAATCATAACACAAATTAACACTATACGTAGTAATTATTAATTTATGAAGACTAATAGAAAGTTGAAGTTTATAAAAAATTGTTTTTTTATTATTTTTTTGAAAAGTGATAACTTCCACAATTTATACTAATATAATCATATATCTCCTCTTTAATATGATATTATTAATTATTTATATAAATTATCATTCCAATACGCGCTTAAAGATTCAGTCCTAAAATATATAATAAATAACATCTCTTTCTCTCTCTTCTTTTCTCTCTTTTTCTATCTCCATTTCTCTTCCTTTCCTCTCATCGTATCTTTTTCTCCTCCCACCTTCGTCATTCGCTATGGGATCCGCGACTCTTCGGGAATCGCCGACTCTGTAGTTCGGACGTTTTTGTTCCGCTTTCGGGGCTCGTTCTTTTCTGGTCCCGCGCCACCGTCTTCGTGGCCTCCCCGAGGGCCGTCCGAGGGCCCCGAGTCCTTCTCGGGCTACTTCTCCCCCGCGCTCTCTTACGGGCCAAAACTGTCCTCTTTTTCGTCGCGCGGACGGCATCATCGGGCCGTCGTCGTCCACGTCGACGGCTTTTTGCCCGGCCCTCGAAGATCACGGCGGGGTTGTGAAGGCGGCATACGGAGTCATACCGTCGAAACGCTCAAGCAACGCCCTTTGTCTAACCCTTTGTGCGACGGCATTTCTATCTGCGAAGGCCGCGCTTCCCACGAAGCGTGACTTCAATTATCGCGCAATGGGGTTCGCGTCTGGGTCCAGAGACGTACGGCGAAGTATATATCCCGCGATGCCGCTGCGCCCGATGTCTTCAACGCACGTGTGTTCAGCGTTCGTGCCTGGAGTCCCCCGTAACGCAATAATTTTCTGCTCACGCTGGATACTCGACTTCGAGATCCATTAAATATACAGGGTGTCTCGGAATTTCACCGGATGTTCCTCTAATCGTAGCCTCTCTGGTCAATATGGGACTTTTTTTTACCATTTAACGTATTTTGTTTAACGTTTAACGTATGTACATCTTAAAAAACGAACTGCAAATTAAAATTCTATGAATGAGTAAAGGCGATTTAAAATGAACTTAAATTATTTATCGCTATATCTATTTTTTTTCTATCCCGAAACTTTATATGTATATCCTTTATCTTCAATGTTATTTGAAAATTATACGAATGTTACGACATTCTTTTTAAAAAAAATTAAATCGACCGAAGAACCTATAACAGCGTCAAGAATTTTCAGTAGGAAATATGTATATAAAGTTACAGAAAAGTAATATTATCATTATTTTTTTGTACCTTCTTAAAATCGATAAAGACAATCGCGATATATGTGTCATGGCTACGTTAGTTCAGAATTAGTTAGGAAGCCACATACTACTGTGTGTTTGTTGCGCATAAACGAGAACGTCGACAAGACGTAAGTGGCACGTCATTTGATTTAAGGAAGTAGCCGCGAACGTGATGTTAACGTATGTCACGAAGGTGTGAGATTCGAATCGCTAACTCACACGCCCGTTTCTCCGGCCGGCGGCCACGGGTGGGTTCCGCGCGAAATGTAGGCGTGATACTCATTTTTCCATCCGATAAATTTATCTACAGACGGGACGGAACGGATGAACGAACGAACGAACGAACGAACGAACATAATGTCGGCGCTAACGTACGCGCGCGAGAGCGGGAGCGTCTAATAATAGCCGGTAATAATTACGTCGGCCGCCGTGATTAATAATGCACGGTTAAACGCGTTAAACCCCGCAATTAACTCTTTCTATTTCGCGGTCTC